ATACATGCTCATTCAGATAAAGAAGATACCGATAAGAGTTGTAACCTCCTTCTAAAGAATACTGCTCTTAACCAGCATTGCTGGTTGTGCTGTTTTTGGCTTATAAAGCCCTTGTGTTGACCCTGATGTTTGTGGGTTTTTTCGGCAAAAGTAACACGAGCAGTGTGATTGTTTTCTAACTTATTGTAATAAACAATATATATACAGTAACTGGTGAAGCAAGTAGAAAAGAAAACCCCATCACATCAACTAAAGTATCTTGAAGCTACATCGTTCACAATCCTTGTCCCATCTAATGCATATTACGCTAGTATGCCGAGTAAACATTGGTTGATACCTATTTAGGTTAAGGTATGTCCTAAAACGACAAATTCTCGTTGGTTTTAGCAAGTGGCACTCGTAAACACTGCGTGTGCTGTAGCGAAGTGTCGGTGGGTAACGTATGGACGCCTTCTTTACATCAACGCTAATGTACCTTCATGCTCTTTAACTACCTCATAACGTTGAAAGTTCTGTGTCGCAAAATGCCTGTTTCTGCATCTATGAGCTGTTGTTTTCACTAATATTTTCTTTTCTTTAAATTCAACTGATTCTCTTACCGATAAAAAGTTTTGACAGGGAGATGTGAAAGATCAGCATGTGGCTGGACTTAGGTGGTTTATAAATATTCAAGTTGTTAGTAATTACAATATTCGTCGTTAAAAGATCTCTCTTTCATTGTCATATTACAGTGTCTTAATTTACATTAACTATCTCTGCTCTTGTACGTTCTTTATTATCAACACATATCAAACAAACACATCCAATGATTACCTGAATAAATGAGAGTGGATTTTTCCGTCTCTTGACTCATATTATATCAATTATTGTGATTGCAAATTATTGTATTTGTTTGCGAGGACGAGTTACATATGATGCTGTGGCCGAGTTACAAATAATGCCATTATAGAAAGACTTAAATAAGTAATGACTTTGTGGGACGCATCAGGTCACTGGCAATCATTATTATTTTTACAATTAAGTACTTCACTCAGATGAATGGTTGTTTGATTATCGTGAAGCAATATATCGTTTGCCAGCAAATTAACTTTAAATAATTAGTTTCTTTTAGGCTTATAGCTATAAGCAGCATTGTGTTTATTTACTTCATCTAAGTAACACGGAATAACTAGTATTTTTTCTTATCGCAATAAAATAATGCAATAGAAGAACGATGCGTAGTCTAAAGACAGAGATCATTTGAATAAAGATCGTGACGGGGGCAGTAATTGATTTCTGTGTAAGCTTGAGCATGGCTGAACGTATTAAACCGCATACAATTTGCATTTTTGTCTCTGTAGAAAGATGGTTATTATAATAACACTTTTTATAATCTGTTTATCACACCAGTCGTTAATAGAACAAAATAAACCAAAATCTAAATATTAAAAAGTAAGAACTAATCTTACGCAATTTCAAGCGGACACGCACGAATAGGTATGTGTGGAATACTTAGTTTATATGAAGAAAAAGCGCTAATGTCAAAAGTTATATTAGCCTTTTAAAGTAAAACGCGATATCAAATGGTGAAAATTCGACTGCTAGGTGATTTCTGGTTGTGATTAAATGATTAAAGTAAATGTGCGACTTCATAAGCGGGGAAGTTCTTTGTGCGTATACTTATATTATTTTTTGTAAATCTTTGAGGCCCAATTGCATTTTGTGTAACGTACGTGACTATTCAATAGACGAAAATTCATCTAGTGGCGTAAGTATACTCGAGAGCTTTGTTATGAGCCGGTGCTTATCACAAAAGCGTCTCGTCATTTGCGAATACTATTGTGTTTTGCCCCATTTAGGTTGTTACTCGATACGATATACGCGTTATGTGTATATTTACGATACCATGTCCAAGTTTTTGCGGCTGGTAATATTGGGTAGGACAAAAAGTCAGTCACAGGCTCCCTGCGGTCCACTAAGTGGTGCGTTCGAGCGTGCCACCGTTTTCGATGGACGTCGGGACCGCAAACATCGGGCTGCGTCAAACCTGTTTCCTAGCCTTCAATAGGCTTATTGAACATTACTCGCGATACTCTTGATGTGCTCTACAAACTTGCCGCGGTTCATCATGATAAATAATAACAATACTCTAAGAAATTTGGTACTTACATGTACTATTCAAACGAATAGTTATTTGAAATACCATCCTGTAGGTAGACTATGTAAACAAGCTAGAAAGCATTTTACATCACATTCTTCGATGTTATACGACGAATGATTCATTCCTGCCTTACCCATGCTTTGCTTCGATGAGTTGATGCCAATTTTACTGTTCAGTGGAACAACCATAAACCACTGCATTATAAGTTTATAGCTTAAAATCGGTTTTATTGTTTGTTGTTTTATGTGTCTGGAAGCATTGTTGATAAAAATGTATTGTGTTTAATGACACTATAAAACTTGTTAAGCAGTTGTACAGTCATCGCTCCTATATCTCAACACACGTCGTCAGAGTGATTCTAAACATTTCTAATTATTATATTACCTTCGAAATTTCTAGTGATTAAGGCGTCACACTTACTATTTAGTCATATATATTGCGGATTTTAACCCATTTTCCCTTCTTTATCGGGATTTTTCCCTTTTTTATCGGGGCGAGTAAAAGAACTACTAATAATAAAAAAATATTCATACTTTATTTATTTTGAAAATAGCATTTAGTATCGCAATTTAACACTAGTGGAACTACATATAATTATTTTTTTGCCGTACACAATTATAGTTATTAGGCGCATATAAAAATGGTTCAAATTTAAACAATTTTCCTGATGAACTAAAGGTTTAATTATTTCTTAATTATCTTTATTAATGTTCACATTATTAATAAAACATTATTAATTTACATATCCAATTTAAGTACTAAGCTAAACATAGTGTATGTCAATTAAAAAAACAGAAGGGGATTATATGTAGTAAAAATATTAATGAAATGAATAGTATGTTGACGTTCTTACTACCATGACATCAATTGATATAGTCGTTTAAGTGCATGGGAATGTGGTAAGGCATCAATACATAGATATTAGTATCCTTACTCGTAACAGTAAAGACTTCTTCACAATTAAGTGGTCAGAAAGTGGTAGCTTTAGGCTTGGTTATATCTATTTATACTACTTGACGTCAAATCTCACCTCCTGCTAGTCTTCAGTCCCACCAGCGCATAAAATATGAGATTGATGAATATTTCGGCAACTCTTAAGAATAATTATTATAAGAATCTATAAATAATATTTTTTTAAAAAGCCTATCAAGTCCCATGGTGCATTAAGTCACTTCCTTATATATGACCCCGATCATGACCGAATTGACTGGAGCTATATTTAAGAGGTTTGTCATTATTATTCTCCGTTATTTCACATGTTGTTGTTATAGGAAGTAATCAAATTCATTTTTAAGTGTTAATAGTTCCCATTTTACACTCGTAAGTTATGGGATCAATATTTTCAAATCGTATCAAAGATAAATGTCATGCATTGCATGTTGTGTCGTTCGATTGCAAGGAACTTGGATACGTAGGACAATGGTGTACGCCAGTAATTCTACACCGGACATTTATAAGAACAGTGCGATTAGCATATCCTCATTCGGGTTGCAATGCATGTATTGCATTGATTCATTTCTGAGAATCGTGTGTCGTGAAATTGCTGTAGACAACACGACGCGACACTGAGTGGGGAAGTTATGTACTGCATGCTGCGCTTGCACTTGCCAGGTGCAATCACGATCATATGTCACACGTACGAACATGCATATTGTGTAATAACTACATAACCAAAAATTAAGGGGTTTATTTTATTACTTAACCCCTAACCCGTTTGGATAATATGCCATACTTACCTGTGTATAACATTTTTGTCCATCGAGAATCATTTGTTAAACAACATCGGACTGTCCCTTTACCATCTCCATTATCACTCTTCGTCCGAGAACGACACTTTAGAATACTTAACTTAGTATATTCCTTTTTGTCTTTTACGTTTGTATTCTAAATGTTGTACCTATATGTACGGAAATTTGATACCAATAAGTTCTATTACATTTTCTATTTATATTCTTTTGGCGATATGGTTGTAAAGCAACATTACTGAATCCCTGTTTTCGGCTATGTTATATTGTCGTGTATATTATAAATATATCAGATACAATTAGTGGAAAAGACGTATGAAGTCAGATAATATTGGAATTATTAAGTTTTCTGATTGCACTTTCATAATTATTTCTTATTAAATTTTGTAGTTGTTATGATGAATGTAGTTTCGTAATATTGGTCCTTTACTGTTTACAAAAGATTTCTTTACAATTGCTTTTTGAACTCAATTAAATCTGATATCTGCAATTAAAGTTCAGATAGCGCTAAAAACTCACTCTCAGTTAGAAATATTCTAAAGATTAGGATCAGTTCAGTAATGTGTATCTTGCTAGATAGATATACAGTTGCACCCCTATTTATGTTGGCGTGCTATGATACATAGGTATATGTACAGTTTTTATTTAACTAACTATTTAACTAAAACCAATAAATGCACGTTAGGGGCTCAGGACGCATATGGGCCTATGGAGCACGGTCCCCAGAGTTATTTTCACTTCAAAATAGGCTGTTGACAGGCTCACGTGTAAAAATTAGGGCCTCTTTTAAGAGTCCTTCCCCGGCGACAAATATATTGTTGTCCGTCATACCTTTTGGGACCCAAAGATACAAGGCGATAAATTGGTTTATTAGGATTCTTGTTTTAGAACCTCTCCATAGCGCACACAGTAACTTTATTAAACATAAAATAATGTTTTGCTCTATACTCTAAGTTTTATTTATCGTTTACTTATGGAAACTATCAATAGGAAAAAGAGAAAAGCGTTAATAACCCTTTACTAAGATAGGGCAAATGGGATGAAGCAAGCTCCCCGCCGCGCTCTCATACTACTCACGCTTGTCCGATAACATACATTTCCTGGGTGGCGATCTATCACCTTTGCACCTTGTAGCCCACTCTCACGTATTGTTCAGGTGTACAGTCAGTCGATGTTGTATGATTCATAAAATCCTCTAATCGATTGATGCAGGCGATCGGTTTAAAATAAATTTTATGGTAATGCACCCGTTGCTGCATCACGAATATGGATTGTGTTAGTTCGGAGATCATTGCACAAGCGTCAAGTATCGTTGAAATGTGGGCGTACGTACCGCTATCTTCAGATCTTGTATGCAATGGCAGAGCCTGTGAACTATGTTCTACATCAGTAACTTGAACAAATTTCATATTACAAAAGTCGAAGCATCTAAACGCAAGGTTAAGTTGTTAAGTTTTTTGTAGTACAAAAAAAAAGTGCTCACTATGAACATATTATAAGTAAATGTAAGTAAATGATTTAATTAATAATATTAAATTGTCAATATCTTAACTAGAATACTATTTTAAAGAACTTTATATCTGAGAAATTAGCTTCCATGTGCATACCTAACACCATCTCTGTATTTTGCCTTAGATGATATTTTGATTTAAGAAGCTTAGAAAAGTTATATAAGTACTCGTATATGGAGACTGATACCACAACTTTTTCGACTCGAGGTTTTATTTATTTTACCGTAATACAATTAAGCTATACTTCTAAAGAGCTTTGTTATTAACAATATAAGTTTGAAAAAAAATGTCGATCAAATATTCCATTTGTAATTTAACATGTGACCCAGTCTATTTTGGCATGACGTAGTGTTTAAAAAAACACAAAATTTATTTATTACATTGATTTCTAAACTATATATATTAGGGTCCCGCGAACATTTTTTTTTTATAAGATTATAATTATTGGTGTACTTATTTACCACGGCATTTGTTTTTCGAAATTCAAAATAAAAAAAAACCATCAACGGGTTTGTCGGAGGTTCTCTCATGGCTTTTGCGTCAAAAACCACTGGAGACTATCATGAAGAAAAGTTTACTGAATGGTTTTCCTCAATGTTGTGTAGCCTCCCTGAACCATCTATTATAATTATGGATAACGCCCCATACCACTCGATGGAAATTGATAAGCCACCTGCCCAATCCCAAAAGAAAGCTGACATCGTCTCATGGCTTCAAAAAAATGGCGTAAATGCAAATTTAAATATGTTAAAAGCGGAATTAGTACGTCTTTTAAAAGAAAACAAACCAACCAAGATACGATACGTCATTGACGAAATAGCGTTAGAACATGGGCACAAAGTTATACGTTTACTGCCTTACCATTGTGAATATAATGCAATTGAGTTGGTGTGGGCTCAAATTAAGTTATATGCTGCAAGACACAATATAGAACCCCCATTTACCACAACAAAAATGCTAAAAATATTAGAAGAAGCTTGTGAACATGTGACTAAAGGAGACTGGGAAAAGGTTGTGAATAGAACTGTTAAATTAATTACGGAAGATTATGAAAGAGATGTGAACATAGATAATATTTTAGAAAACGAACTTGTAATTAATGGAGGTGATGACATCATCCGTGACGACAGTGAAAATAGCAGTATGGATGAATCTGATTAAATATAGCCTTTTGTGGCACCTTTTTTTGGTCTCTTTTTGTATTAATTTGTTTCTTGTGTGCATATAAAGTATGTGTATTCATTTTCATTCCAATATTCATATCGTTCAAATATATTAAGTAAGCATTTATATTTTTGTTTTATTAAACCTTTTTAATCATATACTACTTGCTATAAAAACTTACAGATTTCATTATTATTATTTTTTTTTTTTATTTATTTATTTTCTTTAAAAACAACTATTTTATTATATTTTTTTCGAGGATAAATTGACATTTCACATCACTCTTGTAATATGTCAAAACGGCCATCATAGCATGCCGCAACTATAGTGTTACATTTCACTTAATAGAACTTGATAAATGCATAAAGTAAAAAAATATATACACACTCTTGCTTTGCTTTCATAGCATAAATCCCAAATGACATTTGGCTCGTGGAATATGCAATCACTCCTTGATCGCGACATAAGCGTCTGCCCGGAGAGGAAAACTGGTATTGCAGCTCGGAAACTTCGTCGCTATGATAGAGATATCGCTGCATTAAGTGAGACGCACCTCGCAGACGAGAGAGAACTGATAGAACAGGCTGGCGGGTATACCTTTTTCCGGAAGGGGCCCGCAGCTTCGAAACCACGACTAAAATTACTATATCAACTTATCCATGCTCACGTTGTATTCTTATAATATCATCACTCCTTTTAAAAATCGGCTGTCGCTACTGTCAGATGAAGAAAAATTTGATGTAGAAATTATAATTTTATTTTAGAAAAAAATGTAAATTAACCATAATAATAGCAGAGCTACTTATTACATCTTTCCACTCTTTTCATTTTTGCTTGTTTTTCCTGAGTAACTGAATAGTTATAGTTAAAAAATAATCAAACATGAAAATATTAATTTACAGAACAACATTTTTTTAAAATTAGTATTCGCCTATCTATATAAAAAAGGTGATTACTTATTTAAAGATACTAATATCTTATATACAGAAGCACGCATGTCAATCAAGAGTCCGCGTTATTCCTACCTACACTTATTGTTGAAATATCGACCTGTAACTAGATAGACATAAAAAATCCACCGCACGGCTCATAAAGAGACTCCGTAAATGTAATTCAGTGTCTGCCTGTTATGACGTTTTAATGTTTTTGAAAATTAATAATACTTATAAAGATTTTTATATGCTGGTTGTGCGAAACCCACTGTGAATACTAGTCGTGGACACATAAAAAACATTCGAAAGTTTTCGTGTGCACTACTATTAAAATTCGATACCACGTGCTGTTATTCATGAGAATCAGATTTCATCTTGTACGACTTGTAAAACTGTCGACGTACAACTTTGAAGATTTATTATTTATTGTTGCTTTATAGAGATTATCGTTCTGTCAGTGCTCTAACGCCGGCGGGCGTCGCATGCGCCTAACCGTCGAATCTTTCATGTATCTGAGATTTGTGCATCGATGTCAAACAGCGATGAATCAATCTTCCGTTTGTAAGTTGTTATCTAAGCTAGCACGCCCACTTAATGTTGAAAGCTTTTGTCAACAAAATTTAAATCGCTTCACTAAATCTAAATATTTCAATGCTAGGGCGTTGAAGTTGCTTTATTGCATTACCATTTTTTTGCCACCTTCCAAAAGTTTCGCAATACCTTGCAACTTAATTAGGAAATACGTGAAAATAAGTGGATATGTTATAACTGGTATTTAAATTGCTAGTGATCAACCCAATGTATGACAGTCGCATTTTATTGCCATACTAATGAAACGTATTCATTATCTCTCAACACAACTTAACTGTTCATTTATACAAATAAATTTTATAATGCATCTAATAGCGATGTGTTAAGATGTTAGATTTTTCGTCGTTATAATATTTAAGAAACAACGTACACCCACTGTCAAGTTTAAGCGATAATGTTCTTGGAATCAGCGTAGGTCGTGTTTATTGGCTTATTGTACCAGCCGGTCTAATACCAATCACTATAACTTAAATATCCAAAGACTTAAGTTTACTTGAAAATCCTTCGTTTGAAAGTTAGAATTTTGCATAGTTGTAGTGAGTTTACACGTTGCGTTACGTTTACGAGTTACAAACGTAATCATACCAAAGATACTAGATACTAAAGGGGAAAAATGTAAGGCTAAATGTGCGAGAGACTTAATATGACACATGACAGTATTGTGTAGGTACGTTACTCAGAACCATTGTGTCAATCTTGTTTCGAAATATCTGCGAACATTGACTTTACAAATGTAATGAAATCTTTGCAGCTAACACTACGTTCACTCTTGCTGTGAACAATAAACGGTCTTGATGTGTTTGCTACTTACTATAGACGGAGTTGAAGGCCTGACGTATACCACTTTGATATAAAAGTCGATAGTACCTAACATTTAATACGTTATTTATAGTTTGCGAAGATGCAGCTTAACAATTACTTTTAATAGATATTCGAATTTTTTTTTTAATTTCTCTTGGCTTTTGATGATGTTATTTGATGGTGATGATTATTTTTGTTAACTTCATCGTTACTATCGATTTAACCGGATTTTATCTTCTATTAAATAAGTTCATACGTGTATTTGTATTACTATCACATTATTATAGGGTGCCACAAGGTCGGTATAGCTTCCATTGTAGATAAACAAAATTAAATGATGTATCATTTTTATTATCTCAAGTAGTTAACACGATGCATGTGAAATAATAACGGCGGAGAAGTGATTATTTCATTGGCATCGGGTCCCATTTGTGTAATAACACCCTTTCGATAATAACTATCATAAATCAGGGTTCAGTTCATAATTATTGACGCGTTTGAAGTTACTAATTAGATTAAAAGCTTGTTCTTCAATTGCATATCCGATATACAGTTATTTCTCTCTGTTAAATGGATTTATTGTCACTATCAGGTCAGTCGGGTTAGCTTTATGGCGGAATTCGTTTACTACAGTAATGGAATTTCATTTCTAATTACCTACTTACTGTACTACTAGCTTCTAGTCACTGCGAGAGAAGCTCACTGCGTTTTCAATCAGGGATCCAAGATCGTCTGTATCTTGCAGAAAAATTTGCTGTACTTATGTCCAACACTGTTCTGAAAAAAAAAATTGTGATCCAAATGCTATTTATATTCTTGTCGTGCTTGTTGTATAATGTTATAGGAATTTACATTAGGGCCTATTCGAGAGTTGCGTGGCATTCCATCATCCACTTGAGATCATAGTTTTAAATTTTTAAGCACATGTAATGCACTTGTGCAGTACTACCGCATGTATTTTTAGATTGCAATATACGAAGATACATATACTATCTTTGTTATTTGTATTTTAAGCCCCGTTTGCAGGGTTCTTTTTTGTAATAAACTCTTTAATTACTTAAACATTATTATATTTCGGAATATATTTCAATTTAATAATCTGTATAATTTCAATATAATGATATTGCAAAATATACCTATTCGTCAAACCCTGTGTGATTCTACAAAGTTCGTTATCTCATCCCAGTTCTAGTGGTTTATTGTTATTAACATGTCATGTGTTACGTGCCATTGGAGAGGCCTATGTCCAGCTGTGGACTGCGATAGGCTGATGATGATGATGGGTTACGTGTTGTACTTCAAACAATAAAATATATTTTTACGTCTGAGGTAAATTACCGGAATAGGGTCCCATTTCGGGCATGACTAATAGATTTAGTTTTTTTTTCTACATGAAACGCTACTTTTAACTGAATTAATAACATAAATCATGGTTTATTTGGCGAGAAGATGACGATGAATTTATATGAGGGTAGAATGTGGGTGTGACACGCGTTCGAAAGGGGAACCTAGTATTGGGAACGCCACAAGGGTGCAAAAGTCAAACGATTAATGTGTGTTATGTGTCTCGTAGAGGACATGCGACCGTTATGTGTGTCGCTCCTTAAATTCGGATTTACGCTGCCATTGATTGGGGTCCGAGATTAAATTCTATTGTGCGGAATCACTTTTATGTCATTCGATACTATTTATTGTTGATATACGATGCCTTCCATTTGTTCGACGGGTTTAGTCGGTGAGATTAAGAGTTTTTTTTTTTACAGGCAGAGCTTGTGGATATGAGGGCAGAACTGGTGCAAGCTCGAGCTTCGTCAGCTGGTAAGTTTTTGACGTCACAATAAATATACCTAGTTTCAATTACTTACTTTTCATAATGCATTATGAAACCTAATGATTTATAAATTTAAATAAGGCAACCACTTCATACATTTATATGAAGATATCTGTTTGTTTTATTACTTAATAAGACATCGAAGTTTAATATTTAAAGAATAAGCTTCGTGAGCCATAACTAAAAATTTTAAAAGAATTACACATACTGAGGTACTTTTAAATATGCAACTCGTTTTCAATTGATCTATGCAATTCTTAGGACTATTCAGAAGTTATATTTGGAAATTTAGTCACCCGCCGATGAAGGCCTGACGAGTAAGTGTGGCCTCCGTCGCCCACATCTAATTCAACAGATATTTTCATATTCAATTAAGCGATAGAAACGTTTTGCAAATAGTAAATTATATTCCGGACCCAATTTAACATTCTATGACTGTGTCAGTTTTAAATATCTTACAAAGTTAACGAAGACGGAATGAAACATTAGGTACTATCATAGTCTGTTTCCAATTTCATCAGTGACATATGCACGTGCATACGAGGGGTGATCAATAAGTAATGATAATCAATATGAAACAGAACTATTAGATTAAAAAAAGTATTTTATTTTTCAACATAGTCTCCTTGCAAGTTAATACATTTAGTGTATCTTTTTTCTAAGCCCATGATTCCCTTAGAAAAAAATTATTTGTCTTGACCCTCCCAAAATGCCTCTACTGCGGCCATCACTTCACTATTGTCCTCAAATTTGTTGCCCCGGAGGTGTTCTTTGAGCCGAGGAAAGAGGTAGAAGTCACTGGGAGCTAGATCTGGCGAATAGGGAGGGTGTTCGAGCAGTTCGAACCCCGTTTCTTCAATGGCAGCCATCGCAACTGCGGCTTTGTGAGTCGGGGCGTTGTCTTGGTGAAACAGCACTCCAGCGCGCAGTTTACCGCGTCTTTTTGACTTAATAGCTTCTCGCAATCTTCTTATTTGGCCTGCGTAGTAAGAGCCTGTTATAGTGGCCCCCTTTTCCAAATATTCCACCATAATAATTCCTTCTGCATCCCAGAAAACAGACGCCATAACCTTTCCCGCTGAACTTGACACTTTGAATTTCTTCGGCGTTGGTGAGGAAGCTCGTTTCCAAGTCATTGATTGTTGTTTGGTTTCGGGATCAAAGTGGTGGATCCAGGTCTCGTCCATGGTCACAAAACGCGACAAAAAAAATTCTTTATCGGCCTGGAACTTTTGAAGATTCACCCTCGAAATGTCGACTCGTTTCGCAAGGCGCAGAGACCTTTTTCATATGCATTTTGTTGACAATGATTTTTTGAACGCTGCCATAGGAGATCCCTGTGACCTCAGCTACATGCCTTACGGTCACCCTTCGATCGGCCAACACGATATCTTCCACTTTTTTGACGTTTTCTCCAGTAAGGGACGTGGAAGGGCGTCCCTCGCGATGTTCATCTTCAGTGGAGGTTCTGCCCAGCTTAAATTCCTTTGCCCAGCGTGCGACTGTGGAATATGGAGGAGCAGACTCCCCCAATGTTTCCTCTAAGTCGCTGTGTATGTCTTTGGTAGACATTTTTTTCAGGCAGAGGTACTTGATGACAGCTCTTATTTCATTTTTCTCCATTTTGATGTTTTCTCTTCGACAGTTCGTATTCAAATGAATGTATCTCCCGGTAATGGTGTCCTATTTATAAATTTTTTTGAAGCTGAAGTAGTGGATATATAAGCAAGCAGAAAAAAAATAATTTGGGTTTTTGTGCGTTCTAGAAATACTCGATTATCATTACTTATTGATCACCCCTCGTATATTGTAGCATATGGATTCCTAAAACATGTTTCGGACGACCTTTCTAATTTAGTGTACACTAAATCCTGATGTCTACAATGTTTAATTTAAAGTTGCATTGTTGTTAAAGTTCTATCGGGCATTTGCTTGTTAAACTAATAGCGAGCAGGGTATCAGTATATGGGTACAGAAGTTGTCAGTTTTGCTTACGCATTTCATTAAACAGTTGTGAAAAATCGCGTTGTTACTGTTACAGTTCATTGAATTGGCAATAACATTCTTAGTTATGAATGTGCAATCTAAAAACATTTATCATCTGGTTTGAACATACGACTTCAGATAACTTACAATTGAATGTACTTTGTAATTTAGCTACTCACTATAATCTCAGCATGACCAATTGCAATCTTAATCTCCTTCTTACACTAAAAGTTCATCTAAACTAATATTAATACAGCATTACCTATGCGAAACTGTACTGATTTATTCATATAACTTAAACAATCTGAATAAACTTGACTGCACGGATGGCGTAGTGGTTTAAGCGGTCGCCACGCCGCTTACTACTACGCTGAGTGTTGTGGGTCCGATCCCCACATGGAATGACACTTTGTGTAATCCACAAATGGTTGTTCTGAGTCTGGGTGAGTCTGGGTCTTGTGTCCGTTTCATGTATATTTGTAAAGTTGTCAGGACCAATGCAAAGATTAATTGAAAACACGGTTAAAAATATAAACACAGAAATTATTTTTTATAGTATTACTACCTAGCTTTTTCGCCCGCATAGGTATCGTCCTGTTTTAATCATGTGTTAAGTACAGCTCCTTATGCTAAACCGAATATAAATACGTACTTTTTTTTCAGAAAAAAAATGTATCATTCACAACATACACTCACAAGCTTTTACTTGACAACCAAACAATTATAGTATATTATGTATTTAGTACTGTACAGTATATGGTATACTGTAGTGTTTAGTTCAATAGATTATTCAAATAGAGACTTATATGTTACCTAAGGCCTGGTTTGACCTATTGTTTTCCCATTCACAGATCACATTTACTATTGTGACAATTGCAAAAATAGTTCATTGACATACAGGTGGGTGCCAGGAGAGCGGTGACGCAGCAGGCAACGTACCGGACGCAGCGCGGGCTCGATCCGAAGCGGCTCAACTTGCAAGAGAAAATGCTGCGCTCAGGGAAACTGTTCTTGCATTACACTCTGAACTTTTTGGAGCCAGGTGAGGATGGAAATTTCAAAGTTAGTTGTGTTAAGTCATAGTTCTATAAAGGCCTATTCAAACCTGAGCGGTATTCGCTGCCGCCTCCTGCAGCGTAAACCGAGTGACTACGCGGTGGTACTATTGTTCATACCAAAGCGGATTTCGCCACCCCTGTGGGTAGAATATCGCGCGAGTGCGCTCAGGAAGGTATAATTGTAAAATTGAATGTAAAATTTAGAATACCCTAGAGTACCCTCTAGGGTTTTGCACTTACTTGTACGTGGGGCATACTGAAAGTCTCTATATCTGGCCACTTACTATAAAAAATGGTGAAAAATCAATAATGGAATTCGAATATTCACCTCTTTGGGAACATGATACTTTTTTATTTTCAATTATTTTCAATAGTGGTGCCGTAAAATGATAAAAAAGTTTAACAGAGGTCAGTCATATGCTGTCTATAATATCGTAACAGGTGACAGCACCTGGGTGTACTGCTTTGAACCCGAAAGGAAAATCTAGTCGGCAGAGTGGGTCTTTCCTTTTGAAGATTTGCCGACGAAAGCTAAGAAAGGTCAAAGGACTAGTAAAAAAATGGTTGCTTCCTTTTTCGCCAACACGCCAACACTTGTTTGCCCAGAGTCTTTGAAAAAGTTCCCGAAAAGCGTCCTCGAAGCAATGTTCTCCTTCACCACGATAACGCATCCTCACGTATATCCTCATTTCACGAAGGGTATTTGAAGGCTTCAAATGTGGAACTGATAACACATCCGCCTTACAGCCCGGACCTCGCACACTTTTTTTGTTCCCAAAAATTAAAGACAAACTTAGAGGCACACGTTTTACGAGCCCTGGAATCGGCGGTGAATGCCTTCCATAAAGCCATTGAAGAAGTCCCTAAAGAAGACTGGTCCAACTGCTTTGTGGTTTCAGCGAATGCATTAATTGCGATGGAATATACTTTGAAAAACAATAAATGTATCGTAAGTCTTATATCTAGTCTTATTTATCACAATCCAGAAACTTTCAGTATGCCCTAAATTTTTTGAAATGAAACATAATTAAAACTTCGCGAACTCGGAGATTGTTGATTTTCAAAACATAAGAGCTTTTTTGCACGCGGCTTTGCTCAATTAAACGTATAAATCTATTGTTGAGAACATTTATTTTCCCTATGTGGTTTTTTGCATCATTAACAAAAGTATGCAAAATTTTATAAACGCCGGACACGAACCAAAAGTTGGTCTAACATTAGAAAGAAAGAACGAATCGTATTAATTCTTATTCAATATACTTTTATAAAATAAATTAAATTATTTATAGACTGGCGACGAAGTACTTGGATAAAGAGCTAGCGGGAAGAATACAACAATTACAACTCCTCGGTCGAGACATGCGTGCCGAACTGCGTGATTCACTTTGGGCGCAGGTACAGTTTACTGCTATTTCTTTAAAATCAAAAATTCTTCAAAAGTTCCAACCCGTACATTATGTACATCAAAAAGTCAGGACAACATGTACGGGTTGGGACTTTTGATCAATTTTTGCTATTGTGATATATTTATATTACTTGTATTAATAATAACTAAGCATTCTTTGATGCATTAGTGACTAAAGCAACAAAATCTTTCATTCAATTGTTCATTTAATCACAAAAATTAACAATATGTGTACCGTAACATACGTAGTATAAAACAAAGTTAAAACGAAATAAAAACTCAACATGTTTTACAAAATGAAATAACGTCATTTTTTTATAATTTGGTAATTCAATACAAAGTGTGCTTGTCGGCGACGATTTTTCTTTGAATTTACAAGATTGTTTATCTAATCCTGCGGCAATCGCTCCCAATGGAATTTTAACAAGTCTTTAAGTTGTTGGGTCATCGACACTCCGTCCAGCTTCTCTAGAACACGTCTCTGGAGCAAGTCCTATACGTGCTCAATGGAATTGAGGTCTCATGATTGTGCAGGCCACGGCAATACCATGATGTTTCCATTGCCAAGTACTCTCTGGTCCTCCGAGCTGTGCGCGAACGCGCATTGTCATGCATCAGCGTGAAATCTGAGCCAAGACTTTATGCAAATGGGTGAACATAAGGCCCGAGCGCATTTTCAACGTAAGTTTCAGCGTACAAAAACGACTCAGTTCGTCAGTTCTTTACAATACCCGCCCATACCATCACTATGGAGCTACTGTTGGGCTTGTACTGTTTTAAGGGTGCACTTCCTGGACGCATCTCTCGTACCCTTCTTGAATCAGGCCTAAATTCAAACCGGGATATATCGCAAATTAAATTTTATCCCATTGCTCCTGGGTCCATGTCAAGTGTTCGCTATAGCATTCATTTCGGCACGCGCAATTCCCACAGCTCTTGCTCGTAGGCCGTATTCATGCAATCTATTTTTCACGGTTTTGGTGGCTAACAACAACACCGCTTGAGAATTGTAGCTTTAAACCTATCTCTCGGGTGGTTAACATCGGCTGACGTCTTGCAGTCAGTTTTATGAATCGGTCCTGTCGAGCAGTTGTGCTCCTTCCACGTCCTGGGTGCTGATCAGCTGAATCCCTTGTATTAACATAAAAAAGTCGACAATCACGCTCCCATTGACACCAAAATGCCGAGATACCTGGGGCTGATTTCTGATAAAAAAATACTCAGTACTCAATTTTTTCAAGAACTGCATAACTCAAGATGATAAAGTGAGATAAAAATCAAATGTATCAAGCAACGAAAACACGTGAAATCATCATCATCAGCCTATCGCAGTCCACTGCTGGACATAGGCTTCTCCCATTGCACGCCACTTAGATCGATTTTGGGCTTCTCGCATCCAGCTCCTGCCAGCCATCTTGCGCAAATCGTCACTCCACCTGGCCTGTGAGCGTCCTACACTACGTTTGCCGAGACGCGGTCTCCACTCAAGAACTCGTTTTCCCCAGCGGTTGTCGGTTCTGCGGCTAATATGGCCAGCCCACTGCCACTTCAGCTTGCTGATCCGGTAGGCTATGTCGGTGACCTTGGTTCTCTGCCGGATCACCTCATTTCTGATGCGATCCCTTAGAGAAACGCCGAGCATAGCTCTTTCTATAGCACGTTGAGCGACTTTGAACTTGTGAACCAGCCATACCGTAAGTGTCCACGTTTCAGCTCCGTATGTCATGACGGGTTGGACGCACTCATTAAAGACTTGAAATCGGCCAAAAATAATTATTTTAATGAAAACAAAACACAATCGAAAAGTTTATATTTTTTAAATCAGCTAGTGTATGTTTCCGAGAACGAAAAAGATTGTATACCAATCTACTTTGCTAAGAAAAAATAATATAACATGCAGTATCTGTAAATGATGCGAGTTGCTTAGACTTTTGTGACCTGTGTGTATGGAGGTAAACGAAAGGAGCGCCAAACTAGTTTTAAAAATGCTGTGCTTTAAAATGGCACCTCCTTATATTTAAATACATAAAATAACTTAATGTGACCATCTAACTGTTACTGTAATTCGATGGCTTTTGTTTTGTAGGTAGAAGCAGAAATCCTGGTACAACGTCACAAGACGCTGGTGCGAGTGTGCCGCGGGGCAGGCGCGGGAGGAGCGCGCGGCGCGGCGCGTCCCCCGCCCGCGCCTCACCCCGCGCGCGCTCTCGCCCGCACCGTGCGTGTGCGCCGCTCTCCGCATCTGGGACTCGGCATTTCCGTCACTGTACGTAACACCTTTTTTGTTTTTTATTAATTCAATCTTGTCCATTTTGTTTAGAGAAATATTATCTCATACTGGAGTATGTGTGCGGTGTTCCTCAATACAGGGCAAACAGCCCTGTATTGAGGAACACCGCACACATATTGAACTTGAAATGTGCCTAAATAGGAATAAAACTTTGGTCAGATCAATCCATGATCCGTAAAGTCAACACCTGTATGATAATATGCTCTCCAGGTGACGGGTTGTACCTTTCGTGTGGAAAGTCACCCATATGCAATTTATACGAGTTATGTTTTCGACAGATTACGCATTTACGTACGTTGTTTTTTGTCACCTCGCATCCCGCTAATGATCTAAAACTTATGCCTTATAATTGCTATATATAACCTTACTCCATCGTGATATGTAAATTTCTGTGCGTGATCAATTAATAGGTCTGTTAATCACCGTTTTGATGTGATGATCGGTTCTTTTCTTTCTTGATTCATACGAGAGTGTCTCAATCTGCTCCCGACTCATAAAATACCTTGAATGTCTAGAAATGGATGCAAAATAAAAATTTAGCTTTTGTTTGACATGATTTTCCATCTCTATGACTATTGATTTCATCACTTAGTAATGCCTTTTTAAACTCTTAATTGATGAAATATTAATATATATTGAGTAATGTTTATTTTAGTTAACATACTTCCATGATTCAGCGAGTATAACGTCCTTGATCTGGTTGACTCCATTTTCTACGAACGACTTTCTACCTGCCAGGGTCACGGTTCAGCCACCCAATACTCCTGATAATCCGGTTCGAAGGACCAAAATCTAAGGTTACGTTAACCTTAGATTTTCGTTCTTCGAGCCGGATTTTGCTTATAGATGATGGAGAGGTTAGATATTTTACTTGTAAACTATTTAATTGATTCACGCACTAAAATGATTATATGTTTTTTGCTTTTGCAGATGCAAAATGCTAACTGTGGCAAAATATAAAAGAATCTTATTAATGCCATATATATTATTATTATATTAATTCCAATAGATATATATTTCTTCTTTATTCATTCTGATATTTGTGTATTGTTAAAAATCATACTTGTACTGTGAACCTAATCCATTCTCTATAAAACACTGTTACTTTTGCCATACACGTATTTAAAAAATGTATTTTTGTGTGTTTATTATTCAGGGTGGTCGTGAGCATGGTGTTCCTATTCTGATCTCAGAGCTAGAGGCGGGCGGGCCCGCTGCACTTACTGGGGAACTTTACGTCGGTGATGCCATACTCGCCATCAACGACGTTGATCTCACACAGGTTAACTACGTCGCATTACGTATTTGTTGAACTAGTTTCAACTTGGTTTTATTGTAACTTTAATTATTAAGTTCTATATTTTAACAACATTGAAGATGAAAAGAAAGGATTCCTTATAAAAAATATCGTGTCATTACTTACTTGGAGTCAGATTTACTTATATAATATTCGGCTCCAAATTATACTAAAACAAAGCAAAATACTAAACAATAATTGTTGCAATGATTCAGTTACAAAAAGTAACAATGGTCCTATAAATTGCAACGTGATCGGGTTGCAAACATAATATATTTATATTATAATATGTCACAATATTATAATATAAATATATTATACATAATATATTTATATTATTATATTATAGTATGTGTTATAACTAGTCCAAAAACTGGTTAAGGGACATCAGAGGTAGTTTTACAAATGTTACAAACTGACTGGAATACTTTTTTTTATTTAATAAAAGAAGGGAAATTGGCTCTTATATATACTCTAAAGTCATAGATCAACACACACAATAGCAACAATCTGTTTTGTCAAATATTTAGCAAATTGGAACGAAAGTTGCAAGACGATCGAACTCTGCGATGTTAGGCGAACTTGTTGATCGTCGACCAACTCACCTTCATTGTTGTCATGTAATGTATATGTAAAATACCTGGATCATAAAATGTTTATACTGGCAATCATTCTGCCTTGCCGTAGTGTCATCAGAGGCCATAAAATTGAAATAATAACATATTTATTACATAATTGTGTTCATAGGGTCATAGCTCATAGATCATATCGTTTTAAATTTATGATGTTTTGCTTGTAAAGATATAAGAACAAACTTCACAACCACATCCATTGGGATCTTTTTGATTCTAGAAAAAATTGAGGTAAAAGTTACGAAACTCAATACGTGAAAAATACAATTTGTCGGTTCCATATCGATTTTTATTATATTTTGTGTTTTCGATTCTTTATTTAGTTTTATTAATTCCATTGTCCAGCGCTCTGTACTTTTATTGTTACGTAAATATATTTTATCGTTTCTATCTCATGACAATGTTACTTCAATTAGTCTTGTACACTAAGACAGTTTGTTGTCTTGACTAACTTCTTACTCAATTCTTATAAAATTAAATATAAATAAGATTTCAATTTCAAAAAAAAAACAATTATAAGTTTTAATTAGTCTGTTTCTACAATATGAATCATTATAAATATTTGTTTCCTAGGCCAGTTATTAAGTTGTAGACACATAAATGCTATTTATTTTACTCTAGGTGCTAGATATAGGTGTAACACCTATTCGTGATATATTTATTTAACTAATAAATATACTATAATTATATAAACAATAGTTGATCATGAACATGTTATTACTGTAAAATAAAGTGAGAAAAATACATTTAAGTTCTAGATAACCCAGGATAATAGCTGACAAGAATTACGCAATATAATTTTTTTATGTATGTTTTCATAGCTGGTCACATGACCATTCATCCTATACGCATTATGTACCTACATATATAAAATATCTCGTTTGTAATACTAGTAATCATTTCAGGCTTGTCACAAGGAAGCGGTACAGGCGCTGCAGAGTGTGAAGGGAGACTGCGCGCTCTGCGTACAGTTTATAGCGACCGACGATGAGGACAGATTATCAGAAGATAACTACAGGTCACTTTCTGTTGTACATTCATATAAATTAAACAATATTTAACTGTCACTACCGAATCACAAAATATTTTAACTGTTTTCTTTGATATTATTTGTCTAGACAAAAACTCTTTGACTTTTTGACAAAGAATATTCTTTATTTCTTTAGTATCAGCGTTTTTGAAGTATCCAGCTACTTAAATACTGATGTGTGTGAGGTTAATTCTTAGTGATTTCCACATGATTTTATTTAGTTTCTACATTAAAAAAAACACATTCTTCTGTTCAATACCTTTTTAATATTTTGTTATATCTGTTTTTTTTTTTTAAGAAAGTATACATTACAGGTTTCCACTGTATCCTGAGGATGGGGAAGTGTTCGGCGTCGAACAAGATGGGTCGGGAGCAACACCGACCGCACCACGCACTCCTGAATATAATAGGTCAGATAAACGTTTTGTCCTTAGACACAGAATAGATAGATAGTATCCATAATAATAGAAAATAGATATATTAGTACAGAAGAATATTTACATATGTGTGTAGTGTACGCATTCATTTAAATAAAAAGCGACTTTTGCTCCGACATTATAAAGTGCTATTCAGAGACAGCAGCCCTAATAAACTTACAGTTTTATTCACGGCAAAGTTTATTTCTGTTCCGTAAATCGTCTTTGGATGACGTTTGCGTTAGGGTTGATTTTTTGTGTATTAAGAACAAAGTTATTCGGAAAATTAATTAAGCAGTACGTGCGAATTACTCTACTCTTGTGAACAAATAACATTTCAAATAAACATAGCCTAGGCACTTACTTTACATACCTATGTGGATTATACGAAAAGAAAAAAAAAACTTTTACCCAGAAACATAGGCATTCGACATACGTTTGTGTGTACTACTAAACTATCTCTTTGATGCGAGCAAGCCGACACCCAAAAATCATGATGCTGGTTCTCAGCTATCTCGGTTATCACAGACTAACATCTATAGTTTAAGTATTTATAACGATAAACGAGTATTTTTAAACGTTCATTTGCTTAGTCTCCGCTACTTATCAGTAAGTACCTATGTAAATGAGCAAATAAAAAGAAATGCTAAATAATTAAAAAATCTCGACATACCTTAATATGTAGTTACAGATAGTCGAACTACCACACCGCTACCTACAAGATAGCTACTAAATATAAATTAAATAAATTGATTTAGTATTCATTGTGACATACAGTAGACATTGTATACAGAAAAACTAAAATATTTAGTTTATGTCCATATTTCCTTTCTTTTCTTATACATAAATTTAGAAAACATCCTATATCGTCCTACAGCTATTTCATACGTTTTTATAGTCATTAGAATTACTAATCAATTCGAACAAGAATAGGATTCTAACATAAAGTGTACCTATAAGGTAAAGTAAAGGTTAAGGTAAAGGTTAAGGTTTCTTCATAGGAAAAATGATACACGTGATCACTTAAAACAGGTTTTATAAGATTCACATCATCACATCAACAGCCTTTACTAGTCTACTGCTGGACATAGGCCTCTCCCTAGAATGTAGGTTTTGGCCTACTATACCACGCTGGCCAGACGGGTTGGTATAGGGTTTGTTTCAAGGTGTCCTATTAAAGAAGCCGGGACGGCCTGCCGATTCGGTCGCGGCCTACAGGCCCATCGTGCTGCTGGACGAGGCGGGCAAATTGTTTGAGAGGGTTCTTTCTGCCCGCTTCGTCCGGCACCTCTACGAGGTGGGCCCCGATCTGTCGGACGCCCAATTTGGTTTTCGGGCGGGGCGTTCGACAGTCGACGCTGTTTTGCGCCTGAGGGCCGTGACCGAAGAGGCCGTGAGCTGTGGCGGCGTGCTGTTGGCGGTGTCATTAGACATCGCCAACGCATTCAATAGTCTGCCATTCAGCTGCATCAGGGAAGCACTCCACTATCATGGGGTGCCAAAGTACCTGAGGCGGCTAGTGGCAGACTATTTAGATGAGCGTACCGTCGTGTACGAGGACCGAGATGGTAATTTGAGGTGTCGGCCCATGTCGTGCGGTGTTCCACAGGGGTCTGTTCTTGGACCCCTCTTGTGGAACATAGGGTACGACTGGGCCCTTCGCGCCGATTTCCCCCCCGGGCTGGGTGTAATCAGTTACGCAGACGATACCCTGGTGACAGCCCGGGGGGCAAACTTCCAAGAGGCGGCGCGCCTGGCATCAAGGGGAGTCTCCCTGGTGGTCGGGCACATTGAGGCGCTGGGCTTACGGGTGGCCCTAGATAAGACGGAGGCCCTGTTATTTCATGGGCCCCGTCGTGGTCCACCCCCTGGCGCCTCAATCGTGGTCAACTTGGTCCTCGTACCGGTTCGGGCCCAGATGAAATATCTGGGCCTGATCCTCGACGGGAGGTGGCTCTTCGATGAGCACTTCCGACAGCTTGCTCCAAAGCTGGTCGGCGCTGCGTCTGCCCTAGGGCGACTTTTGCCCAATTTGGGTGGACCCAGCGTCGCGACAAGACGGCTGTACACGGGGGTTGTCCGGTCAATGGCACTATACGGTGCACCGGTGTGGGCAGCGGCTCTGACCGCCCAGAATAGCACGCCTCTGGCGCATTCAGAGGGTATTGGCGGTCAGAGCCATACGCGGTTACCGCACCGTGTCGACGGAGGTGGCGTGCGCGTTGGCCGGAACTCCCCCGTGGGATTTGGAGGCGGAAGTGCTCGCCGAAGTTTATCGGCGAGTGGCTGACTCCCGGGCGGAGAGCGGATTTCGCCCCCCGCCCGAGGATGTGCGCGAGTGGCGCGAAGCCGCTCGCCGAGCCACGATGGCTCGTTGGTTGTTCCGGCTGGAGCCTCCACGCGCTGGCTTCGCCGCCGTGGAGGCTCTCCAGCCGGTCATCGCCGAGTGGGCAGGGCGGCAGCACGGGACCCTTACCTTCCGGCTGACGCAGGTGCTTTCCGGGCACGGTTGCTTCGGAAAGTACCTGCACTCGGTCGCTAGGAGGGAACTGAGTCCCGCCTGCCACCACTGCAACTGCAGTGAGGACTCGGCCCAGCACACGCTGGCGGTCTGCCCCGCATGGGCGACGCAGCACCGGGCCCTCACTGCAGTCATCGGAGTGGATCTCTCGCTACCGGCCGTAGTACGCTCCATGGCCGGTAGCGACAGTTGTTTTACCGCGGTCGCAACCTTCTGCGAGGAAGTAATCTCGCAGAAGGAGGCGGCGGAGAAGGCCCGGGAGGACGACCTCCACTCGGACCCGATCCGCCGCCGGCGAACCGGGCGGCGGAGGCGCGCCTATCACCGCCTCATGCCGCCCTGAGTGTGGCCGCGGGTGGACGGGGTGGGTTTCCCCTCCACCCGCATTAGTTTGGCCAGCCGCGAGGGGGCGGCGTCCGCGTGTGCCGGACGTCGCCTAAAGAGAGGAACAATTTTGAGACGGGGCCCGCAACTGGAGCGGGCCGGCGCTAGGAGGGGTCCGGATGTCTTAATAACAGCTGTTCCCGGATCCCTCCTATTACAGGCGCAGAGTGGCACACCGTGTGGTTTTAGTCGGTCCGAGTCCGACACACCACCCCGCCGCAAACCCCGGTGACTGTCCGAGGGGATTTCCACACGTTAAAAAAAAAAAAAAAAGGATTTGTTTCAAGGTTTCCTTGCCTCCTGCGTAGTGTGCTCCTTTATAAGATTAAGAAGAGAAAACTAAATAAAGGTGTTCAACTTTTCTACTTAAATACTCTAGTTACAACTGGTTTGCTGGAGTCGGATTAACTTTATAGCCATGGTCTGAAAGAAAAAACTGCGGTCGAAAAATTTAATGAATAACGAAGAAATGAAGGATACCGTAGCTAGCAACGTATTAAAAAAGCCAGTCGTATTAAAAGTTAAGGTTGCAGTTGAACACATTCGTATTAAGAAAGAAAAACGATTTTGCATTTCAACCCTCAACCGTTAGCCAACTACCTTTTCGTGCGCCTTCGATCAAATATGTCTCGGATATACGTTACTTTACAAATATCTTCATTTTTCATTCACGCACTTGACTATATTTGAATGAATATCCTTTTTTATGTATGTTATAAACTCAAACATCTTTATATCATAAAAAAAAAAACAACACACACAATAGCAACAATCTCTGTTTTGCCAAATATTTAGCAAACTGAATATATACGTATAGAAAATCTCTTATATGCCTGTGCCGATCTACAAGCGCCCATTTCCAAGGGCTTAAGTCTCATGAAAAGAAAGGGCAAACAAACTCACGGCCTGTGATAGTTTAATACATAAACTTTTAATGGAAATTTGTCTATCAAATTTTATTCGTTTTTGTATTAGTATTTACTAAAAATGACATTTTACACGGGGAATCTAATCAAACATAGAATTTCTAGAAAGAATATGGTAATTTTTTTACACACCTAATATCAACTGCCTTATTTACCTATATTTCAATTTAGTTTTCACCAACTTCAAATCGTTTAGAAACCATAAAATGAAAATAAATTACGGCTAATAAAATACAACTACTTTTGAAACAAACCGTGCTAAACATTAAAAAATAGTTTTTGATTGAAAAAGCTTTGTGGGCCTGTCAAAAAATGTAACAAATAGGTTTATTTTTAGAAACCAGACCATCAGTCGCTATCTAAGTAACACATGAAACAAAAGTCGATCTATAAATAAACATGTCATTTTCACACTCATTAAACTTTATTGCTGTGGTTCACGTATTAATCGTAAGAATGTTTTGTATACAACTTTTTGTCTGTTGTCAGTCAGATACAATCTTGGCACTGGTCCCGCCACGAGTTAAATTGTCTTGATATAATCGACACATAACGCCAAGCGAGACTTAAATGTCTCTCCATCTTTAATCGGTAGTTGATTGCACGGATGGCGTAGTGGCTTAAACAGTGTTGTGGGTTCAATTCAACTAATTGTTGTTCTAAATCTGGGTGTTCCTTACATATTCCTCATACCCAATTAGTATCTTGCCCTAAAACATCAAACGACATCATCTAAAGCAAACGAGATCCAATGTCTAACAGTATTTAAAAAATCATTTTCTCATAGTGTTTGGTGCGATGTCAAAAAATATTAAAATACAATGCTAAGTACAGAGTGCCGCAATCACTATCTTAATTTATTTATGTTAGTTTCACTTTCATAAAAGCATCTAGTAAAATACAATATCCAAAGTTAATTCCAAAGTTAAAGTTAAATTTTTATTTTAGGTACCTAAACATTTACAAATGTTTCATGACTATTAGTTCAGTGCCACATAGGAATATTGTCTATATTCCTGTAAATGTCAACTTAATCCTTACCTTGCACTTTCACATTACACATTGTCACTAATAATAATAATTTCTATATTTTGTGTGCAGGCGCACCTCAGAGGCTGGCTCGGCCAGCGAGTGCGGGTCTGACACGTACCGCGTGAGCGCCCCACCGCCCACCACTTATCCTGACTATAACAATATCAACAATAATCTCAATATACTCGACATGGACGACGACTCAATAAAAATAGAAACTCGGCTTGAGGTAACACAAAGACTTCTTCATTAATGTATCATTTTAGAAACGAAAATTACTGCTGTTCCGGGCCGCTAAAAGTGTATTTCCGCGGTTACGAATTATAATACCGGCACCACACTTCATTATGTGTTATTTGTTATTCGGCGGCATACGACGAAGTGTGGAGGGCTTATTAGTCTATATTAGCTTTATTCGCACGCATTAGGCTTAAGCACGTATAATAAATACGTGTATGCGCGTTCACTTGTCGTTTTTTGACGTTTATCAAATAACACAAATAAGCTCAATCTGTGTCGATTGCCCACAGTTCACTTATTCGCAAGTGATCGCACGCTTACGGGTTGTGTTCGCATCTCGACGTGTGCGAAAAATACGCAAATGGAGTAAACGAATGCAAAAGTTGTAAGATTGCTTGAATTGTATCAGAAACAGCCTTGTATCCGGGACCCACAGCATGGTTGCCATAGTGATGCGTTTAAGTTAAAAAAAAGTCAACACTTTCATTTTGTATTTTTTCATGGATTATGATAAGGCAAACAATACATATACGTATGGTACGAAGTAAGGACGGCATGTTTGTTATTCACTCAAATGGCAAATATTTGAGTTAAGACGAATACAGCGTAGCTGCAAAACATATAACGTAGTGTGGTGCCGCCATAATTTTCTCTCATTTAATGCCAATACGCTTGACCTTGAAACGACAGTGGATGTTGAAGATTAAATAACACATGTTTAACTCGCACTACACGCGTTTTAATAAGTATATATATATATATATCACAATGATTATGTGAAATCTTGTTATAAAGAGAATCGTATAGTACCTTATAACAGTTTTACACCCAATATTTATGATTTTCAACTCTAGACATTCAAATGTTTATTTCAATTGGTTTAAATACTAAACCCACTCTAATGTTTAGACATTTATGTTTAGAATTTCATAAAATAATAAAATGCAATGATGGAAAAGTACCGCGCAAGAATAAGGACCTTTTTTACCCACAGATAATCAGGCACATCACTCATTTTGATTAATAGCATAAAAATTTAGGTTTCTTACTTAGTTTCTGTTTATAAATATGTGGAACCCATTACTACGTACTACATACCTACATCGTATCATAATGTCTAAAAGTTTTAAGAAATAGTAAAATCAAATAGTTCCTTTAATTTTGTAAATGCACGTTTTAAAATTTAATTTACGAAGTTTCAAAGTTATGTTCTAAGGCAATTGTGATAAAGAAAATATATAAAGTTTCAAAATGTAAGAGTGTTTTGCGCGCAGTGGTCGGGCAACGGTCGTCCGGGCCGCGTGACGCGCGAGTGCTCGTCGGGCGAGTCCAACAACTCGACGCCGGTGCACGCGCGACCGCTGGTGATCAAGAAAAAGCGCAAACCGCAGGTGTGTACTCACACTACATCGCAGCACAATCTAAAGTATTTATAATGAAGAGTGTAAATATATAAAATAACGCATAACTAATTCATCAGATAATTTTACTTACTACAGCCCACATTGACTCCGTAATTAGCTCTCGGAGTAAGTGTTTATTACCCTCGCATAATCAAGTTAATTGGTCGTTGCAGCCAACACTAAATATGACTTTCTATTGGAGCTGGACAATTAATTTAGGATTTACGACTCACTAAAGTTAACATCTAAAGAGAAAATGCTTGAATATAGTTGTCTTTCACCAAAATGAAAATATATCGTAATAATCTAATGTGACTAGAAAATTAGAAAGGAAAATGGAAACCTATGAACGAAGACGACCAATTGTTCCTTTTTATTAACTTAACAGTTAATGGTATAACTAGCGGCACGTAAGTCTAGCGCTGAGCGGAACGTGGAAGGGATAGCCGCGCATGGGTACTATCGCGCACGCAAATATTAACTTTAGTAAATAGTTAATGTTATAGAGTGTAACTTCTGAAAGTTGTTCACGTGCCAGAGTCGTCAAATTTGAATTTCTTTATTTTCTCAACAATAGGTACAAAAGGTAAGTAAGTAATCATACTATATAACATTATAAATGTGAATGTAAGTTTGTTTGTTACGCTTTCACGTGAAAACTACTTAACCGATCATCATGAAACTTTGTACACATATTCTTGGAGGTTTTAGAAGTAACATATGATACTTTTTATTAAAATAATATTTTTTACGAAAAATAAAACTGCGAGCGAAGCCGCGGGTAAAAGCTATAAGAATATATACAGACAGTTATTGTGCTTGTAGGAGATGGGAGCCTGCACTGGGTTGAACCAGTATTATTGGTCTCCATGTGTATTAACATTTAAATCTTAAATAGTAGTAATAAACGTGTATGTTAAAAAAAAAAGTACTTTGTGCGTGTGCGTGGTGTGCGTGCGTGTGTATGCGTGAGTGTATGTGTATGTCATTATTATAGTTTATAGTTCCAATATCCAAAAAAAATATGTTACCCAGGATTTTTAACAAGTTTATAGGAAGTAGAAAAATTAAAACAGAATTTGTTGAACTATAATTATATGCAATTCACTTTGTGAAAGTTTTCAACTTAGCAGTTTATTATCTAAACAATGATGCTTGATTTGTCGCATTAAATACCACAACAATTACCGCAGTCCTTTCCCTACCACAACTTACGACTGTAACGTTAAATAATTTTAAAACGCTTTTTTTATGTCTTCTGTTCCCAGCTGCAACCTGCATTGTCTTTAAATGAGTATTGTATTTATTGCAACAAAAATTAACAGCGATAACAATATAACTCAGAACGCGACTGTACTCTGGAAGCACGCGGCGTGTCGTATCAGTGCGGGGGACGTAATGCGACTGGAGAGCCAATCGGCGCTACGCACGCCCGCCCTTCGTCCCTCTTACCCCACAAGATACCTGATTTTTGACTTCTGCGCAGTAACTGTCACCGCTAGAGTTTCGTGCCGCTACTTATAGCCATAACCTAACAATATACCATTACAATTTATTTGCAAATGAAATTTTCAACGAATCGAAACAAAGCCAAGAAATTTTAATTACAATATCAAAATGAAAAGCCAATTTGACAAGAAGTAGAAACCTATTTCGTAAAACGCACTATTTTCTATGAAAATGCCTTCAAAATATAAACAATTTCAAATGTATTGAAATACTCGCACTTACATCGTAATACACATTGACTCCCTAATTGTGTTTTATGGTATAGGGGGGCAAACGAGCAGATGGGTCATCTGATGGTAAGCGACTACCGCCGCCCATGGACACCTGGAAGTCAAGAGTCACTAGTGCGTTGCCGTTCTTTCAGTCCCTTCCCCTAGGATCAGGGAGAGGGAGGGGAGCACTCATCATCATCATCAACAGCCTCTAACAGTCCACTGCTGGACATAGGCCTCTCCTTACAATGGAGGTTTTGGCCTACTATACCACGCTGGCCAGATGGGTTGCAATGCTGTTGTCCTGCAGAGTTTGTTTCCTTAGTCGGCTCTTACGACACCCACGGGATGAATAGGGGTGGTGACAGTCTATATTCTTAATCCGTCACCACACGGACTCACTCACTCGGTGAAAAGTAACGACACTATTGTTTAACACCGGTTTTCCTGTAAGGCCGTAGGCTCACTCCAATGGAGCCAATCCCATATATGCCGAAGTATGGCTCTCCCACGATAATAATAAAAAGGAAAAATTAAATATTTCTTTATTCATTATAATTAGTACAATCACATTGTATATAGTACACAATTCACGTACATTTTTGTTGTTGTAATTATTCTGATAAATACAACAATTACGGTGTACATAACATTCATAACAATATCAGTAGTGATATAAAATATGGATCTAATGGAACAGTTACTAGATTTTTTTTTTTTAAAGAAACAATAAAAATAACAGTAATAAAAAAAAATAGTTTGTTGTTACAAAAAATTTTAAAAGTGGTGCGAAGTACCACAGTGTAATATTAAAACACTGAATTGGTTTAAAGAAAACGATCTTATACCATATTATAATTGTTTACAATAGTAACTTAGCGTGTTAAGAGTTTTCTTATCTATTCTAATATTTAAAGTAACAAAAGTAAAAGTGCTTTAACATTATTAGGCAAACTAAACATCAGGGTTCTTTATTAAAATTACTTATATCATAATCGCGTCTACATTTAGTTTTAATGATCTCTATCGTGATTTACTTACTATAACTAAAGTGTAATATAAAATGTTTATTAATAAGCTACATTTTAACTAGTTTTTTTATATATTTAAATTATTGTATTTGTTTTATATTTGTTTCCTAGTCTAAAATAAATTTAAATTTATTCAGTGTACGTGACCTTGACGAATACTTATGTCAATAGTACGGCTACAATTTGCTCTGGAGCCTCGCCAGTGATACTGTTCCGAGATTGTCCACTGAATTCCTTGCACGAGAATTACTTGCTTATGTTGTAATCAAAACATAATTTCCAAATTGAGCCAAGAATACAGTAAACAAACGTATTTCATGTTCTCTAATGTTGTATTATATATATAACAGATGTATGTATGTTATTTTTCAAAAATTCTAATGGAAAAACAAATTGATCGTGATAAATTGTTAAAGGATTGGCGCACTAAAGGTGCATATCGGCCTATCGAACTAGAAACTCCATCGTCCGACGAGCCCCAAACGGAAGCACCATGCGACAATGCTCTGGCGGTAACAGATGGAGGTAGGTACAAGATCATGTACAGCGCCGGATCTCGCCCGCTCCAATCGCTCTAATCAATGTATAAATACTGATATAATTAATATAAGTATTTAAACATTACAAAAATTACAATTTATATAAGCAGTCAGTTTTTTAAATTAAAAAAAAAATGTTTTTATGAATGTGAGATCTCATTTTGTTAAGAGTTATTTTAGTAGTTCGACTTTTAAAACGTAATTGCGAGGGTTTTCAATATTATGCAATTGTGGTAATCCTGTTCATCGAAAACTCTCTTAACTAAACTAAAAATCAATAAAAATTAGTACTACATTTTCAGAATACGAAACGTTGTTTGACAGGACTAAACAATTTTTAGTGATTTTTAGTTTAGTTTAGAGAGTTTTTGAACAACAGAATTAGCACCTATTACAACAAAAACTTTCAAACTTTTTTAGTGCTTATCTTTTTCGTAGTCTTGACTAAATCTACCCACACCTAATTCACTTCGACTGCCAGTGCTGTACGCACGCTCTTTCTTGGTCCACCTCTTTTTGCATCAATTACCCCTTGTAAACGCATATTATTTTTTAATTACATATATGCCACATCTTATATATATATATATATATAAATATAAGATGTTTTTGATGATTGTTCAGTTCTAAAATTGTTGCACATTTCGTTGGCCTCCTGCATAAAAGAGTACCAATATGATTGAGTGACTAATAACAGAATTTGTAGTGACCTGTTCATAAATAACTAATAAGAAGATCAATTGTAGTGGCAGAATCACCGCTAGCGCCTCCGTCCCCAGCGCCAGCGCCTGCACCTCTGCCGGCTCCACAGGAGATAGTGCAAACTCTCATTGAAATCGACACTAAAGACTACAGAACCGAGCCTAAACCAAACAAGCCCGTCAACGGCGAGATCAAACCTATTAGAAGAGAATCAAAAGGATTCAGGTATGATACACATATGTGGCTTAACAATGTTAAAAAAAACATTTTTAAATAAAACATTGAGTTACTGAAATCGGCCCTCGGTTAAACCTTAAAGGTGCAAAATTGTAACAAAACATTATTTCACTATTGTTTCGAAGATTGCAAAATTATAACCGATTGTCTCGTAATATTTTTAATACTTTTAAAATATGTAACTTATTGATCCATTGAACGCCATACGGTGTTCAATGAAGTGAGTAACCGGATCTAGGCTCAATACTGCATAGTAGCGGGATATCTTTCATCTCTACTACTAATAGTTTGATTTCTCTGTTATAATAAACAGGATAGGCTCGGCGCGGAGAGTGACGGAAGGCGCAGCTCTAACTAACGGTGAGGCGGAACGGACGAAGTTTCCACCGCGGCTACTCGCCGGTGACGGGGACCCGGACTTTGGCACTCCGGTGTGAATGCACTCCTGTCTTAATACATTTAAGAACACGCAGACAACACTCGCCACGCAAACAAGCTCAATATAGTAAAATACCAGATTGAAACTACGTAGAGGTCTATCATACACACCAGCGTTGATAATCTACTATAAGAATGCGCAACATGATCTACTAATGTATCTCTCGTACATAATGAGTGAATGTAGCGGTTGTGAATGTGAGCGACTTCCTTTCGAACTAGTCGTGGTATCGATACTACTTAGTAGGTACTGAGTATTTATCGAACTCGCTCTGCGTGCGTTTATGGCCTACTGAGTCATGGGAGAATATTCAAGGCGACTTAGTTACAAGAGGTAGTTAAGACTTAATCTGTCGTTACAATTTCCCTCAAAGCGGCAGATATCACGAGACATAAAGACTTCTTGTAATTGTGTGACTTTGAATATTTGCCCATTTTATTTTAACAGTATTTTTATTTATTTTAATGCTGATGTGATATATTTTTGAGTGCTTTATTTTTGTTAATTTCTTTTAAAAAAACGACAAGGGTAGTACGCGTAGTGTTGCCTCAGTTGCTTTAGTGTGTCAGTACGACAGAGATCCTAAAGATTTACATGGAAAATGTATGAAAGTTTACACGAGAACTTGCCCGATGTGTGAGTGGGAGTGTATGCCATTACGCCGAGCTAAAAGTTCATCTATTTATAAGTTGTGTTTAATAATTTAGAAAATATAATTTACTTTGAGACTAAATTTTATTTCATATAGTATATTATTTATAAAATTGTATATGCACAAACATGTTATTGCCAACAAAATATTGACGGACACTGTAATTAACACCCAGTTTGTAAACGCTCATTAAATGTCCACACAAACTAATCAGACATCAAATGTTGTCACGTTGCCAACTAGTGTACTGTTACCGTACCGAAATCGGGTTCAGTGAGATTGATGACGGCTAACGGAATGTAGTGCCACCTCACACAAACATCGGACACTTGATTAGTGAAAAGTCACTTACATCTTGTTTATCAATCGAATAACTAACGGCGCGATCCGTTATTTAGCAAACGACTAGGTATGTTAACATTTAGAAAATTGAAATCTCAGATGAGTGCGTGTAAACCTGATCTTTACTATATATTTGTTTTATTTATTTTTGTAACATTTTACATATTGTACATATAGACTTAGATTTCTTTTGTATATTTTGATATATTTTAAAATGGGTTACTAGTGTAATGAAAATGAATTCAACTTAATGTGATGACTGATAAATTAAATATTTGACAGTAAACATTTATACATTCCTCTTTATATTCAATAAACTACAACAAAATTAGTCATGCTGGTATTTTAAAGAGATCATGATGTAAAGGGAATATGTACTTATGTTGAATAGAAATATAAAATGATGAAGTTGATATGTTATATTTTTTTAAAGCCAGTAAATTCTTTGTGATGTTTATTTTACCGGGATATTATTATAATACATATCAGCACGGCGTGCTAAGCGTAAAGACTTAATCGTCGACTATATCAAATCTGGATATCTGCCAATAATGTTTTCTCACAATATCGCCGTCTGCTACGGCTGAACAATGAAAATTCGAATATCTTCTGAAAAATACTTAATATTTGACTATCCCAATTGGCAATTGTTCCAACCAAACATGTCACTTTCATCAACTATTGATTCACGTGCGATTCCTACCTTAAGGTGGTGGACACACGTTTAATAACGGGCAGCGCTCACGGTGCGTGCTGGCTTCGGCTTGAGGCGTGTGGTGAATCAAGAAAACAAGAAATCATGTGCAAAGTACACGTCTAAAAACGTCCATATAATATCTACTATATTGTTTATTTATGAAACATTTTTTCCGACATACAATGCCTCGCCATAAGGCGCAGCTGAGTGCGTGCGTGCTACGGATGTGTAACCGCCTTTAAATGTACCTAGTCTTAAATTCGATGAAAATACTTATAAAATATGACCATTAAGCAGTTTTAGTTTTTTAGATGTCATATTATTCAATGTAAAATTCCATTGTCACAGTAGAAACAGTGACTTGTTAATGTCATTGCTACGGGAGCTAATGACATTTACATAGTCATGGGATCTACATAAACATCTCGCTGGAGAATGCAAACACTTAAAGAAACGCCAAGTTACATCTGTATTTAATGCCTGAAAAAGAACCAATTTGGTTCTTAATCCATTGTATCTAAAAGTTTTTATTAATTCATTACACAATAATTTCACAAATATTATGTATAAACATTCCACATAAACTCTGGTCGCCTTTCGATAATTTGCTGCTATAATGAATTCTTTTTTACATTTACATGACAATATGCCTATATATTATAAATAAACGTATTACATTTTTAATGAAACTAAGTTGTTTTTATTTCCTTTCTACATAAAACATGCAATAGTGCAGATGTGAACGATAAGTGAACTTGTTCCAGTACCACCTATTTCATTAACATTACTCAAACCTCCGATTTTTTACTTTTTGTAGCTGTTGTTGTATTCACCGCCACCCATTCAGTCCGCTATCTTCCACATTAAAAACATAATAGCATTTTTTGTATGTTCTTGGTGATCCTTATAATTATCCTTAAAAATAAGTTATTATAAAATAACATGTTGAGCCGTGAAATACGATATTCGGGTATGGATACGCACTTGTCATCCAAGTGTAACTTTCATATTTTACCACCAAAGTAACCTGCGTGAAACGAAACATGGTAAAGTTGCCCGATGTATTGTGGTAGAAAACTAGAAATTGGATGTATGTTTTGAACTACTACCGCGGTTAGGGAGTAGATAAATGATTCATTTTTATTCTTTACCTAGCAATCCGCACCGGCTTCGCACTGGTGCAACATAATGATACTACTAATGTGATGTCAGTGTGGAGTAATTAATTATACTATTCTTATGATAAGACTATTATACAGGTCATAGACATATTTATAGGCCCGCTCCCATCCTGTTGACCGTTGCCAACTCGGGACGGACGTACGACTAGACGGTCGTTGGGCCTCCGCATTTTAAACCCTATATCTTCTAAAATATTCATTTTTATGATATGCTGTAAAGAGCAATTTTAATATACATTAAATGCACAACGTATCTAACGTATTTAATTGGGTAAGGAATAATAATGCATTGTTTAAAATAGCTTGGTAAAAGACCCATTAATTTTTTGTAACATTTAAAATATAAAAATGGTTACTGTGGATTATCCTTAGGAGATAGACATAGACCATCTCGGAGTTTTTGTAAATCTTTTTAAGATATACAATTCCGTAGTATTTTATTTTGGTCTATCTCGTAAGGTCGATCGGTGAAAACCTTATTAAAATCCATTGCTTAGTTTAAATTAACTAGGGCACAACACAAAAAAGTTGCTTTATTTTATGCTATGTAAAGATTCATTATCATTGGTAGACGAATAAAAATTTGTAAAATTAAATCAAGGACTGTCTTAATATCCCTAAATAAAGGTTTATCTATATTTATTGTGTGCTTGCAACGAATACTTATTAAATGGAAGATAGTACGAATTTAAATATCCCATTGGTCACACATGAAGTGTCATGTCTGTAATTATTATTATTAAAACAGATTGACTAATGGCCAAGCCTATTTTTCTCATATATTAATTTTTAAAGACTGTTATTTTTCATTGTTATAGTTTAAATCGAAAGTTTATCAATATGGTGGTCAAAGTATATGTTAGTGGTATTTCAGGAAACAAAGAGGTAAGTTTAATATTAGAAATTCCTGGGATGGCCGGGTGCTTTTCTCTACTTTTTCATGAAGCTGATTCACATAATGATTGTTTCTGATTACGTGAATTATGACACTTTTAGGTAAAGAAGCGACAACAACGTGTTTTGATGATATTAGATTCCAAAAACATCAAATATGATGTCATTGACATAACGGAACCAGGAAAGGAAACTGAAAAAGACTTCATGCAAAACAACTCAAAATCGAACGGCGGCACCGTCAGCGACCCCAACCCTCGGTCGCCGCTCCCGCCGCAGTTGTTTAACGATGAGGAATATTGTGGGGTGAGCACCTGTTTTTTATAATTTGAAATAACACTCCCATATGTAAAAGGAAGAAATGTCATATCTAATATTTTGGTATGTTGCCATATGTTTGTTTTGTTTCTTTGTTCATGTAATCAGTTCCGTAGTTTTTGTTTAGTGTTGTTTATAGAAATCTTGAGCAAAAGATAATTATTTTAGCTGTATATGGCAATATCTTGCTAAGAAGTTTGACATGTAAACAATATAATAGAACAGCTGTTTGTAAATTTTTAGGACTATGATTTGTTTGATCTTGCAAATGAAGTGGACACCTTAGAACAGTTCTTGAAGTTGGAAGTACCTCCCGAAGAGCCTCTACCAAATGAAAATGATAAGGTATTTTAAAAACTACTTCATTACTACTTGATTTGTTTTTGTTACTATACTCATAATTTGACTAGCAATATTCTATTTTACCAGAAACCAGTAAACTGTATTCATTCAAACATATGTATGTGTAGTTCTAATTGCACAGTTATAATAATTTTTATAGTTATTAAGTAATTCTATTTTCAGGAAAAAACTGTAAATGGTAATATTGAAGAGGAAACCAATAAAGAATCTGAAGAAACATCTGATGAGAACACTATTGCAAAATCTACTGAAGGTGCTGATGAGTCTGGAGACACAACAGTAACTGAGAAAGAAGGTAGTTTAGCTAAAGAAGATTCTCCTTTAAAAGAAGCAGTTAGTGCTACATCTAAAGAAGGTTCACCAGTAAAAGGTGAAACTGGGGATAATGCTGAAGACTCAAAAGAGAAGTCCCCCGAAAAAGAATTACCGGAGAGACAAAAATCTATTGAAAAAGAAGGCACACCACAGCCTAAAGCTCAATCTCCAGAGAAAGAAGTTGAGGAAATATTAATTGAAACTAAAGAGAGTTCTCCTGAGAACGAAGAAGTTAATGAAAATGGTACTGTGAGCTCTCGGGAGCATTCACAGGAAAAAGATGCAGCTGCAGATTTAACTAAGGTGGAGAGTAAACAGGAGAACCCCTCAGATGCTTTAATCCAGAGTGAACAAGCTGCTGGGGCGGAATAATGTACTGAACTATTACCTGCTTTTCAGCTCAATTCACACCCTATTAGAACTAAGCAAGCACTATTCATTAAGTTCTGTTATTTATAATGCATTATCATCATCACTTCTTTGATATAGTCATTGTATATAATGCAAAGAAGTATTTGTTGAGTGTCCATTTAAGTGGCGATGTATAGTTACAGTTTCTAATATGAAATGGCCTATCATCATAAATCATTAGAGTTTATATTAAATTAATTAATTTAAAAAATCTATGATGTTCCAGAGTAAGAATTCTATTTAACAATTTTACCCTTCATGAAGGCTTGTATTATTTTTAAAGTATTAATTTTTTATTTACAATTTTCACTTAATATGATATATTGTTCTCTTTATGTTTATAAAGTAAAAAATATTTTTCTACAAATGAAAGTGACATTCATAGGAATGATCTATTGTGCTATTATTTCACGTCGAATGCAAAAAAATGCTTAATTACTTCGACTTGACTGCCATTCTAGATAGTATTATTTACACCCGTTATAACGTTATAATTGCATAAGTGGTCATTCTATATGAACATGCATGGCTTCATATGTAATTTACTTTTTTCATGACAAATTTGTTTCATTTCTTATTAATATTAATTAAAGACATTTTTTAACAACTTTTCATATGAATTATATAAAATATGAATGAAATATTATATTTAATTGCTTCCCCCCTTTCCAACTGTTTTTTCATGACAGACACGCTTTTGCGTTTGCGAAAATATACCATTTCTAGATTACTGATTTGAAATAAAGACTAAGTAGTAGGTGGACAATAGCATTACAGTAACACGAAAAGATTTTAAATTATTTTTATGTATCTTACGATTGTAGACGGTTCCTCAATGTACTCCCAATAAATCCACAATACCCTTATAATTAGAAAACCAATAATTGGGATTCTGGATATACGATATTAGATCTTTACACAAAATAAATCCCAATAATATCATTGTAGATTTCTTAGTGCTTACACGTCACATTGACGATATGAGAACTTAGAAAAAAATACTTTAATGAACTCACTGGTGATTACATTTAGGTTACAATACAAAATGCAAGCATTTATAGTTGAGTCCAGCATATTAAAAAAGTGTGAACTGGCCAAGTCCTAAATACACAATACTTCGATCTATTTGATAGACAACATCTACCCCCTTACTTAGAACTAAGTAAGTCTGACCCGTCTGCTCGTTTGCCCCCTATTCTAAAAAAAAAAGTGTTGCAGAATAATGCTGCATCCAATTTTTATTTGTAATTTTGTACACTGGCTAAACATGTTCTAAAATCTCTGGAAATCAAGATATCGACGAAGATAATTTAAAAGGCGAGCCTGATGACGGGTGGCAACTATTACAACGCAGGTCGGCCAGTGCACGGCTTGTTATACCTCACACTTTCCGTCACTTTCAATCAGGTTACCCGTCTGCTCGTTTGTACAGTACATACCCATAAGTCTGCCGCCTAATGAACTGATTTATCATTCGATTTTTGCGTACGTAGGTTAGAGTTGCTAGTAGATAGGTTAGACGCTATTTAACAGTAAATCTAGTATTTTTTAAATTATTATGTAGGGAATGGTAGCTATATGTAATAAAATAATTACTAGATTTACTGTTAAATAGGCGGTCTTTATCGTCTGAAAACAGCTTATTGGCAACAACGCGTGAGTAAGTAGTAACCCTAACCTACGTACGAAAAAATGGAATGACAAATCAGCGGTCTTTCTCAGTTCACTGTGATGGTGTTCCATGCATACAGCCAAGGTGGGCCCCGATCTGTCGGGCGCCCAATTTGGTTTTCGAGCGGGGCGTTCGACAGTCGACGCTGTTTTGCGCCTGAGGGCCGTGACCTAAGAGGCCGTGAGCTGTGGCGGCGTGCTGTTGGCGGTGTCATTAGACATCGCCAACGCATTCAATAGTCTGCCATTCAGCTGCATCAGGGAAGCACTCCACTATCATATCGTGCCAAAGTACCTGAGGCAGCTAGTGGCAGACTATTTAGAGGAGCGTACCGTCGTGTACGAGGACCGAGAGGGTAATTTGAGGTGTCGGCCCATGTCGTGCGGTGTTCCACAGGGGTCTGTTCTTGGACCCCTCCTGTGGAACATAGGGTACGACTGGGCCCTTCGAGCCGATTTCCTTCCCGGGCTGGGTGTAATTTGTTACGCAGATGACACTCTGGTGACAGCCCGGGGGGCGAACTTCCAAGAGGCGGCGCGCCTGGCCACAAGGGGAGTCTCCCTGGTGGTGGGGCGCATTGAGGCGCTGGGCTTACGGGTGGCCCTAGATAAGACGGAGGCCCTGTTATTTCATGGGCCCCGTCGTGGTCCACCCCCTGGCGCCTCAATCGTGGTCAACTCGGTCCTCGTACCGGTTCGGGCCCAGATGAAATATCTGGGCCTGATCCTCGACGGGAGGTGGCTCTTCGACGAGCACTTCCGACAGCTTGCTCCAAAGCTGGTCGGCGCTGCGTCTGCCCTAGGGCGACTTTTGCCCAATTTGGGTGGACCCAGCGTCGCGACAAGACGGCTGTACACGGGGGTTGTCCGGTCAATGGCACTATACGGTGCACCGGTGTGGGCGGCGGCTCTGACCGCCCAGAATAGGGTACGCCTCTGGCGCCCTCAGAGGGTAATGGCGGTCAGAGCCATACGCGGTTACCGCACCGTGTCGACGGAGGTGGCGTGCGCGTTGGCCGGAACTCCCCCGTGGGATTTGGAGGCGGAAGTGCTCGCCGAAGTTTATCGGCGAGTGGCTGACTCCCGGGCGGAGAGCGGATTTCGCCCTCCGCCCGAGGATGTGCGCGATTGGCGCGAAGCCGCTCGCCGAGCCACGATGGCTCGTTGGTCGTTCCGGCTGGAGACTCCACGCGCTGGCTTCGCCGCCGTGGAGGCTCTCCAGCCGGTCATCGCCGAGTAGGCAGGCCGGCAGCACGGGACCCTTACCTTCCGGCTGACGCAGGTGCTTTCCGGGCACGGTTGCTTCGGAAAGTACCTGCACTCGGTCGCTAGGAGGGAACTGAGTCCCGCCTGCCACCACTGCGACTGCAGTGAGGACTCGGCCCAGCACACGCTGGCGGTATGCCCCGCATGGGCGACGCAGCGCCGGGCCCTCACTGTGGTCATCGGAGTGGATCTCTCGCTACCGGCCGTAGTACGCTCCATGGCCGGTAGCGACAGTTGTTTTACCGCGGTCGCAACCTTCTGCGAGGAAGCAATCTCGCAGAAGGAGGCGGCGGAGAAGGCCCGGGAGGACGACCTCCACTCGGACCCGATCCGCCGCCGGCGAACCGGGCGGCGGAGGCGCGCCTATCACCGCCTCATGCCGCCCTGAGTGTGGCCGCGGGTGGACGGGGTGGGTTTCCCCTCCACCCGCATTAGTTTGGCCAGCCGCGAGGGGGCGGCGTCCGCGTGTGCCGGACGTCGCCTAAAGAGAGGAAACATTTTTGAGACGGAGCCCGCACCAGGAGCGGGCCGGCGCTAGGAGGGGTCCGGATGTCTTAATAACAGCTGTTCCCGGATCCCTCCTATTACAGGCGCAGAGTGGCACACCGTGTGGTTTTAGTCGGTCCGAGTCCGACACACCACCCCGCCGCAAACCCCGGTGGGGTGACGGTCCGAGGGGATTTCCACACGTTAAAAAATAAATAAAAAATGGTTAGGATCGTCCTAGACATCTCTACCTGGACTCATAATTTGCCGCTGACGAAACAGCCGCATATTTAGGGCGAATATTTTTTTTAAATCTTATAACTCAACTTTTTTATCTAAGCAAGGGAATTTGGTATTCAAAAACCGTAAAATCGGTAAGAATCGTCTTTGACCATTCCAATGTCCTAACCGATATTAAGGTTTTTGCATGCCAACTTCAGCCCAACAGGCCTTACGGTGTACCTACCTAATATAAAACTAGTTTTGTTTTTTTTTTCAAAAATGCGTCGCTAAACACTATTGCAGGTCTCATTCACTTTTCGGGGGGGAGTGGCGTATGCCATCAGTTTTGACATAGTCAACGCCTTTAACTCTCTCCCGTGGTGGTTACACGCGGGGTTCCCCAGGGGTCAGTCATAGGACCTCTTCTGTGGGACCTCGCGCATGATGCCGTCCTGAGGAGCAGCTTGCCCCCGCAATGGAGTGTCGTCTGCTATGCGGACGACACTCTGGTCCTGGCTGGGGGCCATGGCTTTGCGGGAGGTCCTGAAGCTCGCCGAGTCAGGGGTGGCTTGTCGTCCAAAAGGTCAGCGGTCTGGTTCTAAGGGTGGCACTGTGGTTCCATAGGAAACGCAGAGGTGCAGTTCCCACCTGCTCGATTATTAGAGTGGGGAGAACAGAGGTCGAGGTCGGTCGGAGAACGTCGGCGACGATAGAATGGCAGCCTGATTGCATTAAGATGCAATCGGGCCGCCACGCCGCGATTGAGGGGGAATGTTTTCTTCTGGGATAGGGCCTTATTAGGCATGGTGTCAATTCGGAGAGGACCTGAAATAACATGGTCCGGGTCCTCCCAGAGTAGGACACCTGAGACCGGCCGTCGGGGTGGTTTTAAGTGGAATCACCTACTCCTGGCTCCTGAGTCCCCATGGAGCAGGAGATCCGAAAGGATTTTCGAAAACCATAAAAAAAAGGTCTTATTTTTAATACGTAAGTAGGTCCAGCATGATCTTTGATCAGTAGGTATAGAACTTAGAACAGAAATGATAATTAGACGCTATTGTTGGTAATGTTCACGCTCGCTTCATCGGAAAGGCATTCCTTTCGATTTATCATAGTCGATATTTGGAAGAGATTGCCTAATTTCTGCAGGCCTTGGCCACCTTTAGCCACAGTGGGCAAAAATACTAGGTACTTGGTTATGTACGTGCGATATGAGAGAAACAAAACATATTAATCCCGATATTGGCGTCTTCACACATGCTAGAAAACGGGATATTGCTCATACCGATGGATTGTGGAATGTGAACTAACTTGAGCAGATCAGGCTGACACCTTTTTTTTTTCCGTGCGGAAATCCCCTCGGATGCCACCTATCGGTGGCATGTCGGACTCGAACCGACTAAAACCGCACTCCGTCTCGGGTACTAATAGCCGGGGAACCAGGTATACCCTAGAAAGGAAGTCCCGACATACCTCGGGCCATCTACAACAACAGGTAGACTACCCCCCCCCGTGTGGGAACCCCATGTTCCCTCTGCTCCCTGGAAGCGAGCGCGCTTCGCAATGTGCTCGCCGCCACCCCGGCCTACTTCTGCCAGGGTGACAGATGGCCTCACCTGTCACCCCCAGGCCTGCGCTTATGGAGGACGGAGGTCGTTCTGCGACCTCGGCGCCTGAGTCGCCTGCGGTACCTGGCCCTAAGTCCTAAACCTCTCCCGGTCCCGCTCCGCCGTCTCCTTCGCGAGCATAACTTGCTCGCAGAAGGAGACGGCAAAGTTCCACGCACTCTGTCTCCGCACGAAAGCCGCAATCAGGCTATCGAGCGAGAGAACTCCCACTCCGATGGCCGCCACGAGGTCTCGCCTCTGCTCAACCCACGCCGGGCACTCTGCAGGCGTGTGGAGAGCCGTGTCCACGGTCTGGTCAAGACACAGGTGATCCCCGAAACATCCTATCCCAGTGATCACCTGCGTCAGTCGGTATGAGAGGGTCCCGTGACGCCTCTCGAGCCAATCCTGAAATTCAAATAGCTATTGCCAATGAGTCCGTAAATTATAGTTGGCAAAATACGTCTCTGTTTACCCCTCTCGCGATAAAAGATATAGGTGAATTTATGTATTTGTAAACGGCCAACGCTGTCGAATAGCCTTCGAACGGGTTTTCCTGAAACCATATCAAAAATCCTCGATGGACGGACGACCTGGTAAAGGTTGCCGGAAACCGTTGGATGCAGGCCGCAATCAACCGTCCCCACTGGAAATCATTGGGAGAGGCCTATGTCAAGCAGTGGACAAGCATAGGCTGTGGTAATTACATATCAAAAATGTGATATCTTTCGCAAAAATAATTGGAGGCGTATTATCACAAAAAAATGATTAATAGTTATTAAGCGGACAAGGACCAGTTTTCAAGATACAGCTGACACCTGTGCTGTTGTAAGTCTATGAGCAGTGTTAATCGCTTACCATCAACAAGAATGTTTGTTTGTATTAGTGCTTCTATAAAAAAAATCTAAGAAAGCATAATAACAGGAGGAAATAAGCGAAAATGTTATTTATTCAAGATTAGGTAGTATTTTGAGCAAATAAATTTTCTTAATAATTTATTTTACATTTAACTTATCATAGTAAAATAAATATGGAATAACATTATATAAAATCTATATTGGTAATGTAAACATTCAGGTATCTAATTGATTTCATCGTATAAGGTTAATAATAACGAAATAGTTCTATCTGTTAACAGCCTCTAAGTATGGTGCGAATTTCAATACGTTCATATACTTTTTTTCATAACCGGAGAGGGAGGATTGCTGAATTCTCTGAGTAGTGACTCGCCGGGAAATTCCGCCAAGTTTCTGCGTCGCAGCTCGACGTCTGGGCACTCGTCTAATAAGCCAGCTTGTATGTTTTTGTCAAAAGTGACTAATCTTTGGCTTCGCGCGGTCTTGTATTCTTCGACTAAGCTAAGGTTTCTTTTGATGCCGTCGACGAGCTTCACCACAGAATATTCTCCCATAGCAGCGCCTTCTTGGAGCTTTGTGCCAGCAGTTTTGGCTATAGAAGATTCTTTGACATCTGTAATCAACTGCACGAACCATAGTCTTAAATTATTTATAATTGTCAAAGGACCCTCGTACTCGTTCGGTACGATTCCATCGACTTCAGATTCAAAAAACGACAGGAGTGGAAACCATATTCTGGTTCTGAAATAAAAAACAATATTAGTAAGAGTGGCTCAAGCTAATATTATAGTATCTAAAGTTAATAATTTACTTATGTTTCAACAAGTTGGTTCTCAATACATAATAATTGACAGTTTAACGTAACCTCCTGATGATTATGCTAGGAGCATAAATTACAAAGCTTTTTGCATTGCATGGTAAAGGCTGTCGCCTTTACCATGCAATGTGACGATGTCGCCGTCGATGAATGTGAAGATTTAAAAAAGTTCTCAAGTGTTATTGCTGACAGTCCCACTGAGCCAAATATCCCTTCTGAAATTGGTCAAGCTTGCAACCGGTGCCACGGTTGCGTCCGGGCGAGTAGAAGGACTTCAAAGTGTATCATCCTACCCTGTTGGGTGATTTTGTCAGAAGTTGGCTTCCTCGTAGTAACGAAGAGCAGTGGCTCTTCGTTACTACGAGACCCTGACCGGTAACAACTCCGGCTGTTAATAGTGATTAACAGCGGGAGTTGTTACCGGTCAGGGTCTGTTTGTGACAGATGTTAAGTACATTCACTGAATCAAAATTCGCAGATGGCTACTAATCAACCGCTTTTTATATGCGGAAGGTAGCAAAATAACTACACAGGCGACCTCAAGAAAAGCTGTTACATATCATAAAAATGAACGTTCGTCTCACCTGGAAGAGTCATTCTGCATGAGAGCTTGATTGTTGGAGAGCGTGTGGTAGTAGAGGAAGAGTCGGGAAGTAATGTAGAACGCGATGAACACGTCGATGGAGTAATGCTCGTGCGCGGCCAGTATAAAGAATATACCGAACATATTCATCACCCACGTTGAGATATGGAGAAGATATAGGTTGCGTGGTGTGTCTGTAACACAAGATTTTGTGTGATTACTCATGGGGTTATATTTTTATTTATTTATTTAAAAGTTTATTTCCAAATTAAATGTAAAGTGGCGGACTGCCGAATCAGAAATAAAGTAAGTATAAGTCTTACTTTAGTTCCATCTAAAGCTGTCTTATAGAAATACATTTATTATAAATCTATAGAACAAGCAAAATTTAAAAAGTGATTTCCGAACATAGATCACTGATTAAAAATTGCCACGAACGAGAAGGGCTCTTTGTCATTCGTGATTATTTTCAATAATTATGACATCGGTTTTATAAAGAACAAAAATACATCATCACGATAGATATCGCATCACAAGGTGCTTGACACCTGGAAAACTATAGAAGAACATTAAGTTTTTAATATTAATTATTTATCAAGCTACGACCCTCAGAAACATACTAGTATTATTTTAAAAATTACCTACTCTTAGCATAGCGTTGCGATTAGAAGTTTACCTAATAAAGAGTTGTACATAGGCAATCAATCACTAATCAGCGACCATCGTACTTCAACAAGTTGAAAATGCGCGCCAGCCAATATACCTATTCATCAATCGATCCAAGTTTCCACCTTGGTATAAAATAATGGCGTGCTATCAGCCACCGACCGACTAAGTTTTTAAAAAGATAATTTATCAACATTGACTTATACTAAACAAAAGCACCTTTCCAACAGATGATTGATGTAAAAAACTGTAATTAGAAACACGAGATCTTTCTCTACAATTACATACAGGAACCGTCATACCGCTTGTTTATGACATTGTATATATATTTATTTTATTATACTTTGATAATTACAACGTGTTAAGTGCGTGTCGAACTACGAACAATATCATGATTACTGTAAAGTGTACTTGTAAAGTTCTAGCTAACACAATTATGGTTTTCCTCACACATTACTCATATACCTTCCTTGCCATTCCCTTCCAGAGCCTTGGCGTTTTAATCACCATTTTTTGTGTTCCGTAGATACTTCTTTTTTATTTCCGCATAGCACAGTAATAATTAACAACAATAAAGTGACTGAAATATTACGCGTTGTGATTGTAGGGAATTTGAATAAATAAACATTACAGTGTATTTGAATTATATATTTATGATAATAAGGTATCCTGATATTTAAATATATTAGGGTAAAATATGAATTGCGTATTAACATATCGAGAAGATATGTGCGTTAAGTCAAAACATAATTAAATTTATTACCGTCGCGATTAGCAAATAGACCAAAAAACAATAACCGACGCAAAAACCAGGTTTGTTTCAACAGATAACTAGCACGATTTTAAACGAAGTATATTCTTTTCCAAACACATATATATATATATGGACCGGCGACCGGATGGCGTAGTGGTTTGTGTAAAGGACTGCTATTCCAAAGGTCGCGGGTTCGATTCCCGCTCAAGTCAAACATTTGTGTGCATGAACATTTAATGTTTGATTTGGTCTGGGTGTTTCTATGTATAATAAGTATGTATTTACAAAAAAAAAGTATATATGTATTTATATCAGTTGTCTAGTACCCATAGTACAAGCTCTGCTTAGTTTGGGACTAGATGGCGTTGTGTGAATGTGGTAGAATATTATATTATTATATATATTATTATATATATAATCCAACACTACTACTCGGCAAGAAAGGCTATTCGGCAAAAGCTGGGGACTATCACCATGCTGGCGGCATGCACGGCGTGGGCTGGAATACTATCCGACAGCATGGCCGTCCTAAAGGCACTAGAGGGCAACACAATGACCTCTGGTATTGTCTTCCAATGCCATAAAGCATTGAAGCAGCTTGCCACATTAAATGTGGTACTCCTCCAATGGATTAAAGGGCACAGTAACTCACACGGGAACCCCAGCTACCAGCCCAACCATACTCCTGCCAATACCGTTTAACCAAATACGATTCTTGGCCAGGCAACGGACTCGTGAAGCACAATCGGAGGTGGAAAAACTCACCCGGATGCAGACAGTCCAAACTGGTGCTGACTCAAGTCACACCACGACTCACCTGCAGATTGATTAGTTTTAGCAGACTGGAAATCCGAATAGTTGTCGGTACTATAACAGGACACCTAGCCCTGAACCGACACCTATTCATCATAAATGCGACGGACAGCCCTCTGTGCAAGGGATGTCTGGAAGCAGAAGAAACGGCCACCCACGTAGTCCTGGAATGCGAGGGAGTGGCCACAGAGAGTGGCAAGTATCATTCCTGATACAAAATCGCTCCTAGAAGCCTGTGAACGTCCCAGGAGGCTTCTGCGCTTCTGGAAGGAGCTTGGTATGCACACCTAGTTAACCAGTCCTCGACGCATAAAGGACCACCACCCTGGACAGCCGCTGAAGCTTCGAGGAGCATTTCGAGCGGATGATCATCAGAGTTCGCGGGGTGGCGGGCTCCCTACCGAGGCCGTTGCCTAATCTAGGGGGTCCGCGGGAAGAAGTTCGCCGCCTCTACTGTGCGGTGATACGATTCATGGCCTTCTACGGAACGCCGATATGCCGATTTACATAATGTTCATGATTAATCTAATCGATTTGAATAAAAGTTATTAGTACCTTTCCTTAAATTAATTGATTTAAAATAATTATTCCTTTATTAATTTGTCTAATATATAGTCAACATTATTAATAAAGAAATGTTTGTTTTTAACTGCTAAATACAGTAGTCATTGATCTCGATGTAAACATAGTGTTTTATGTAATTTATATTTTATGCATAGCAAGTTTAGAAAACGTAGAAATCCGTTTTGTTAACAACACTGCAACGTTTAGTTATTGCAGTTGTAATAAGGAAATTATGGACGAATTTAATTATTTCCAGCAAAGTTCTAAAATCATGATAATTACAAAAAATTAGTAAGGATGATTCATTTTATAAACGGTACAAGTTTCATTATATCCATTCTCCTTTGGTATGAGGATAGTTTGATTCTTGATGAAGGACAGGATTTTTATCGCGAAAACCGATATACACGCGGGCGGAGCTGCGGGCAAAAGCTAGTTACGTTACAAATATGCATTATATGTTTCCATTATACATAGTAAACATTGCAAGTGTCTTCATGATATGTGTGTGATGATCGCCTAGGTGTATTAAAAATAAGGAGTAAATCGTGCTGCCGCTGCCACCCTGGACGGATACACAGCCCGACGGCCGCTCTGCCCCGAATTTTAAATCTCTGATATCTATTCATTTTAATTAAACATATGCTGTAAAGTGCAATTTTGATCTACATTAAATGCACAATGTATCTAAAGTATTTAATTGGATACGAAATAATACTGTATTGTAACCCCTTATTTTTTGTAATATCTAATAGAGAGAAATGGTTACTGTGGGTTATCTTTAGGAGATAGACATATACTATCGCGGACTTCTCATAGATCCTTTTAAACAATTCTGTAGTATATTATATTGATCTACCTCGTAATTTAAAGCCAACGTTTGCAATATAAGCGCATTATAAATCTTTGAAATTCGAACATCCTCGACTATATTATACATTTGCTATTATAATGTTACCTGTTATATTGAGGGTACTTAATATAGTTTTTTACTTATATTTGTAATTATTTTTTAATTTTTAGTACTCATTGTCAGTGTTATTTGAAGTAGATTCAACATTTTTTAAAGGATTTTATCGTATGTTAAGATGATTATGTACTTGTCTTGATTCGTTTTACACTCATCACTATATACTCACTATATTGATTTACACATGAAAATCTTTTCCTGACAATACCAATGTATACATACAGAAGAGTTTTTTTAAAGCTGGTCTTGTAGGGTATTTGACTGAAGACTAAAATTAGTTCGGAATGTTCGGATACTAGATATCTGATTCTTTTCTAATGAATACTTAACATGGCAGCTATAGCTGAGTAATAGTAAATAATAGCAACTTTATTGTAACTAATATTAATACATTCAATTATAAACAATAGTACAGCATTGCTCGTACATGTTAAGAGATACATACATTTATGATCTTACCAGCTTCTGCCGGCTCCGCCTTCGTGTGTAACAAAAAAACTCCCTTTACGTTTATAAGTACTCGTATGGAAGTATAGATTACAATTATCTTTTTAACAGGCTACTTGGTCTAGTGGTTAGTGATAGTGCTAAGACAAAGGTCGTGGTTTTGATTCCCATCCAGGGCAAATACTGTGTGAATAATACGATTCATTTGTTCTGTAACAGGGTATCATTTCTCTATAATATGTATGTTTATTGAGTATTCTATGTACCCGGTTGGCGGTAATTTGCTTGCCCCCTATAAGTAGGATTAAAATTATAGTCAGCAAAATGTCAGGGTTTAATACGCCTCTGTAAAGGCGTAAGTATATGCGTGTAAAAATAATTGTGATAAAATAAGTTACCTACATATAATTTCACGTTCGCGTTCTAAGTGACATAGGTAAGTTTTACTTTGTAAAACTAGTGGCCCATGCTGTTATCTAATAAACTCGATGGAGCTCTTAAACGTGTAGGTACCTACTAAAAATGATTTGATATTTGTGAGTAATCTTTTCGACTTTCTTTATATTTTGTTGTTTACTTATTATAAGACAATGGACGTTTTTGAAATCGTTATGTAGATAAAATGACGTTTTTACGCTAGTCAACAAATTTATCAAATTTATTTTAGTGCTGATAAACAGTGTGCGTCACCACTCGCCGCTACTGTTTGCCAAACTTCCTTAATACGTCACACTTTGTACTTGTGTATGCGTTGTGTACGACTGTTACGTAAACACACAGATTGTAGAACTTTGACATACGGTATCTTTGTTGTTATTATAGTAATATGTAGGTCATAATATTAACACAATATTAATATTAGGTCTTTGCCTATGAAATTGCCGTTTTGTATGCACCAAGTGAAAGTACTTATTTTTTCAAACTTTTTTATTTCTGTTATTCGAAGTAATCACCCATGCAATCGACGCATCTTTGCCAACGCATTAGCAGTTTATTGATGCCCTTCTTGTAAAAATCAGCTGGACGGGAGGCAACAAACTCTTCAAAGGCATTTTGTACTGCCTCTCGCGAATTGAATTTTTTACCCACTAAAAAGTTGTCTAAATTTTGGAAAAAGTAATAGTCGGTCCAAAAGTATGTGGAATGAAAGTGTTTTAAATAAAATGAAAAAAAATATCTATTTTTCCTATTCAATATAATCACCTTTAAGCTAAACTTAACCTTTAAATTGGGAAACAAAAGAAAATCGCTTCGGGCCAGATCTGTAGGGTGGGTGGACCAGTGTTTCGAAGCCATGCTTATGCAGAGTAGCCATTGCAACTCTGCTCTTGTGAACCGGCGCGTTGTCATGCAAAAGCAACACACCCTTGGTCAATTTTCCTCGACGTTTTTCTTTGATGGCCTCCTTTAATTTCTCTAGTATCGTTGCGTAGTATTCTCCGGTTATGTTCCTTCCCCTTTCTTTGTAATCAATGAGTATTACCCCCTCACAATCCCAAAAATTCCAGCCGACTCCGACACTTTAAATTTCTTTGGGAGTGGTGTGCCCTTTTTATGCCATTGCATAGACTCTTGTTTGGACTCAGGCTCAAAGTGATGAACCCATGTTTCATCCCCGGTAACAATCCGCTCCAAAATCTGTGCAGGTTCGTCTCCACACAAATCCAAAAATTGTTTTGACGCATCGACGCATTGACTTTTGTCATACCCAGGTGGTCATGTAGGATTCGCAAAATGGTGGTATCTGATATACCAACTAATTCAGATAACTGTTGTTTCTTTAAACGAGTGTACTCCAGTACATTTTTTTCTACTTTTTCGACGATGTCTGATGTGGTGGCCTTAACTGGCCTTCCTGAGCGGGGGTCGCCTTCAATCGACGCCCGACCATGTTTAAAAAGACCATGCCACTTGTCAATCATTGATTTACTAGGGCACTGTCCCCCATAAACGGTTTGCGTTTAATTCAAAATAGTCTGAGCTTTCTTTCCTTGCTTGGTAAGGTATTTTATCACAGCACGGTGTTCAATTTTCTCCATAGTTTCAGTTTTCTTCCGGATAGAGTTGTTTAGCAGACTATTATTCGTAAACGAATGAAGCAATAGGGCTGAAACTTAATTTATATACTAATGATGAATCCCCAATAAGTTAGACACTACGCGAGCGCCCCTATCCCTACTCCATCCCCTCCATTCCACGAACTTTTGGACCTCCCCTCGTATGTAAAATTAAATAGTATTATATGTCTTTCAATTCCTCATGGATTATCGTGTCCTTGACATTAAGAATAGGACAGTTTTGAAACTGTTTTATAACGCGTTTTAAATGCGATGCGAAATATGTGCAAGTAACACATTTTCTAATGTAGAATATACAAGGTGTAAGGGACATCGTACCGAATACTGAAATAGTGTATTCAGACCATGATCATAAGTCGAAAATCATTGAAATGTTCTGGCGGTAATTTATTTATTTTTCATTTTTCTGGTTAAAAATGATGAAAAATGATATATGCCAAAAAACTGCAAAGTAATTAGTCAAACAGCCGAAGCGCGCGGGGCCTCCCCTCCGGCCGCCATTTTGTGTTAGTGTGCGTAGACTTTTTGCACGGAATACACATGTAGTTATTACTTTTGTGCTATAAATAAGGGGAATGAACTTACCATTTGACAGCTGATTGCATAGAAAATTCCAATGATTTTCGACTCAGAATGATGGTCTGAATACACTATTTCAGTATTGGTTACGACGTCCCTTACACCGTGTATACAAATCAGGATTTCTTTAATTAAAGAGATTAAAGTAAAGCCCGCCTGATACGCAGCGGCAAGCGGTAACCGGTACTAGTATAATATTTACACGCATTATTGGCATTGATAGGCACCGGAGACACCGGTTTGTTTGTTACCAGTTACCACGCGCGTGTTGAGCTTAGGTAGTTACTTATTAGCAGTAAACAGCTTCAATATGTTTTAGTACCTGTTAAGAAGTTATCCTTATTTCAAATTATTCCATTTGTTTATATTCAACGTTAATACGAAACAAAGTGTAAACATACCTTAAATAAGAGATCAATATAAGTACTTACACTCAGTTATGAAGAAATTGAGCAGCGTAAGAGCGACAGTGTGTCCTGAGAACATGTAGTCGCCACACGTGCGTACTCCGCGCACAGACATGCCGGCGCCGCTCCATATGTCGTAGGCCTGCTTCAACCGTCGACCCCAAACCGTCAAGTCGTCGGCTGGCGGATACGACCGCGGCTCGCACTTTAAATGCGAGCCCGGCACTGACAACGATGTGATCAGCATCGTGAAACACCGGAGGAGGAACACCGTACCCGCAAGCGCGAAAAACCTCCGAAGAATTATAAACCTGGACAACAAAATGTACAGATTTCAAAATTTAACATTGCATTTTACCAAAGGTTCTTTTTACTAAGTGTGGGATGTGGATAACAGGGTCGGCAAGTTAAAATCTTTTAGAAGCCCTAAACGACAACCACGGGAAGACATTTGGTAGCCCTATTCTATTTCACTGAGAACTAACCACAAGGCATTAACGGTGTACATGTATAAAAACGACAAATACTATTTCTTTGTTGTTTTTGTTTTTTTTCATGTTTTTGTGTATACCGCGTGAATGATGTACGCGGACAATGTAATGTGGATATGTGTTCATTAAGCCTTTTCTTTCTTTTTCTGTGCGGAACTCCCCTTGGATACCAACCACCAGTGATTTTGTCGGACTCGAACCGACCAAAAATCGCACGCCGTCTCCAGGTACCAGTAGCAGGGTAACCAGGTATACCCTAGAAAAGAAAGCCCTGGTACCCCAACGTACCTCGGGCTATCTACGGCTTATAGATGACCCCTCCTGTGTGGGAACCCAGATGTTCCTTTCCTGCCCCCGACGCCACCACCCACCAAAGCCTGATCTGCTCGAGTGACAGATGGCCTTACCTGTCAACCTAAAGCCTACGCTTATGGAGGACGGAGGTCGTTTTGCGACCTCCGGCGCCTGAGTCGTCTGCGGTACCTAGCCCGTTCTCGGGCCTGACGGGTCGGGAGGGTTCTGAACCTCTCCCGGTCCCGCTCCGCCATCTCCTTCGCATAACCTGCTCGCAGAAGGAGACGGCGGAGTTCCACGCACTCTCGCTCCCTACCATGGCGGCAATCATGTTACCGAGCGAGAGAGTTTCCACCCACACAGTTTGCTTCACCCACGCCGGGCATTCTACCAGCGTGGGGAGCTCCGTGTCCACCGTCCGGCTACGTGCAATAAGTCTGAAATCGAGCCCAGCGGATTCGGAATTCGAGTACAAGCATAATACTTTGTTCGAAAATTCGGATATTGCTTTATCAAAGAATAATCGTTATCAAGATATGCATCACACAGTCACGCTGGCTCGTTGCTTAATGGTAACCGAGTAGGTTAACACATTGCAAAGATAAGCAATTTTAGCCAGGTCAGTCTATGAAAGGGTGACGGTTCGTTGTTACCAACCGTCATCCTGTGCTCTCTGACGCAGAGGGGTCTCAATGTGTTCATTGAGACCCCTCTGCGTCAGAGAGCACGTTAAGGCGTCGTTCCGGTTGCCATACGAACATCTTTTTGGCAATTGAGCCCTAAAAAAGTCCGACTAGTCTTCCTACAGAACGTCGATATCGCCTAGTACTTGGGTTGTGGAGGTCTTATAGCAGTCGCTCCACGTAAAAAAAATCGAAGTTCAGCCGTATTATAGTAGAATAAAGCCTCAACCTAGTTTGGGAAAATGGTTAGGAGCAAGTAGTCACACTGCTCAGTCTGAGTTAGTACCTAATGCGAGGTGTTACTAACTAAGCAGTTAGGGGTTTTTTTTTTAAGGCACATATGTATAGAAACGTATTAGAACTGTTCACTCGAGCTACATAATTATCTTCATGTTAACGACGTCTTCGAAATTCAGAACCAGCATTCGCTTACTGTTAACTGCGTACTACTCGTTGCCTAATTTATTTAACTAATAAAATACGGCGGAAATGATTCACAAGCTTAACAATGTGGATTTACAATGCCTAACCTAAAGTAGGATTGGTTTTATGTAGGCTTGATTTTATTTACATTCAAGTTGAATGAAATTGTCACAATAGTTGAATGATTCAACTATTGTGACAATTTCATTTCATAGTTAAAGGGCTATACCATTTTGTTCGTCCGTAAATGATTAGATCGTTCTCACTTACGTGTTTGTCTCGATTCCGCTTAAACTACATAGGTCACCCTTACAAACAACAATACGTTGAAATGCGAATGAAATTTGTTTCCAGAAGACCCACTTCTTAGATCTTTCTGCTAATGGTCTATTCCTATTCCCTATTCGACGACTATGAAAACGGTTAAGTACCTACTTAACTTTATTTTAAACTAGCTGTACCCTACCACGTACCTGTGGTATATTTTGTTTACATTGATGAGAAATGAGGAAAATATATAAAAACAACATGGTCAATCATGTCAAAATTTGAACTCAATTGGTGCAGAACCTTTTGAGTTTTTGAAACGTACACAAATCAATTAACATTTATATATATATATATATATATAGATAACTAACCGCCCAGGGGTAAGGTTAGTTGTATGGTAGTGATTTTAGTATGTAAAATTATTTAGATAAGGAAGTTAGTTAATACAATAAAGCGTATTCAAATGACCATGAAATAAAACCAGTAGGATGAAAAAATGTACGGTCAACTTATTTTGACAATTTAAAATAAATAATAATCAGCCTAACAAAAGGTGAGCAGTAGATAAGGCAGTATTTATGTTAGGTATATGTTAGGTGATACGTAGACGTATTTGTAGTAACACGCGAACAAAATATGCCACAAGTTACTGTCCTAATAGGTATTGTAATTGTAAATAATATCGTGAACATTGTAGATAAATATTGAGTCACAGACGACTTTGATAAATAGTTTGTTCCTAAGCAAATAGGATTGCATTTAGGACAGTGAATACATGGCTATAATTTATTATGCCTACACACAGGCCTCACAATAATAAAAACATACAAAATAAAAAAAATACGAGAATGTTTCGAGTTCATGTGTTTATGTCGCGAGGTTTAAAGCGAATAGGCATTGAAGAGTAGTTAAACGAAACTATAATATACCGCCTGACTGTACATGTATGTAGGATAAATATGCAATCACTGCATAATCTAGCTTTTTAAATTTCTTTCGTTTTCTAATGCCGTCATTGTACCAGAACGTAAAAATGGATTGTTTTAATGTAATGTGTTAATTATGATAATTTTTTGTTTTGCATTGTGTTCTTATCAAACAAAGAATATGTCCTCCATTTGGTTACGAGTTTAATTCTGTTTTAAAAAAAAAAAAAAAAAAATAAATTTATTTATTTTTTATATTTTTTCTCAAAAAATATTATCATATAATAAGCACATGGTAAGGATAACAATGTTCTCCCATTACTAGAGATTGTAAGGAGGCGTATGAGTGGTCTAATGCTACGTAAGCGGGAAATGGTGCCTATGGTAGTGTCATTCACCCAATGCCAACCATATCGTTCTTTTGATGGAACTCTGGGCATTACGACGTCTAAAATTAGGGAATGCACAATCACAGAATTTCTTAAGAGTTTTCAACAATCAAATGTGAAAACCTACCATTTCAATGTGTGGATTGTTTATCAATGACCATTAAGTATGCTTTGTTTGGCTCACTCGTCCCCACACCAATGATGTGTGAACAATGGCTTTTGATTTTTATGCCTGTCAGCTTTTGCAACATTTTAAAGAATGATGATAGAAATTTCTGTGATTTCATTTACGAGTATTTAGTTTTGTTGATGTTTGCACAGGAAGCATACACATGTGCATGTTCAAAGAAAGAAACAAAGGAAAGGGCATACATTTACACGTTATTCTTCACTACTTATATCTGTTTTGTTTACAAGCATAACTCGACGTGTCATGTTGAATATATGAAACAAAGAGATTTTACAGCATTTTTGAACCAAATTCAAGTATGACTACTTAAGTAAGTTTGAGTATAGATCTCTTTGAAAAACTTTCCGCTTTTCTGAATGGTAATTGATATTACATATTATATGTTGTGTATATTGTAATAGATAAGCTTTATGACGACTTTTTTGGTTTTGGTTTGAGGCTGACTTGCTTCAATACAAACAAAAAATATAGTAGCAGTAAAGTCAGTTTCTTTACGGTTAGTGTTATCGGCCCCTACCGTGTTCAACCCCAACAATAGATTTGGAGCAGAAACACTACTATGCTATTTATCTGAGGAATTCTGAAGGACCTCTGCACAGTGTATTATGAGAGCTAAGTTGCAGTCATGTCTAGATTATGCGTAGTCATGATAAAGAATTGACAGGAATACCGACAGTATACTTTTCTTTAGATTCGGAGAGATTAATTATTCAGTGAGAGGTCTCTGACCTTAAGAAAATCTTAATTTTATTATAATTCTAGAAATTAAATACTCATTGACTTAATTAGCATTTAAAACGATGTAACCTCATATTTTATATCCACGTTATAAAGTAGAGGCTTGTAAGTTTAATATTTGAAACACAAACGACGAATGTGCGGTAAAGGAGATATAGCGTTTCTGAGTATTTGAAATATTTCTATGGAAATAGGGTTTTCAAAGGTTTTAATTGTAAAAATAATTAAAATACAATATTTATTCTATGTCGTCGTCAACTGATAGCGTTAAACTTTCTTCTGACGACAAAAAAAGCAGTTCATCGTTAGTTTTATTATCGTCAAACTTTGTGATAATCGGTTATGGATGGTAACATTTTCCATAGAAGGTTTCAAAAGAGAAAGAACCTTCTGGGCAATTCCAGCATATTTGTTTTTATTTTGTCGTATGCCAATGGACATAGTTAAAATACATAGGTCTGTAGATTCTGACGTTCGGTGAAATAAATCAAGCATTGTTGTTTTGAGGTTTAATTTTCGCGTATAATGCTCACGGTCGTAACGCCAAAACTTATTCCTTGACTCTCCGGCTTGTTCTGAAAGCATACCGATTGGCAATAAACCATGGCACACACACACACAATGCATCAGTATTTTTAACCTCCGAAGAAAACAAGGGGTGTTATGAGTTTGACCTGTGTATCTGTCTGTCTGTCTGTGGCACCATGGCTGTCGAACGGATGGACCAATGTCGATGCGGATTTTTTTGCTCGGTGATCGGGACGGTTCTTAGCTATAAATTTATAAATATCATCAGCTCACTTCCTAGGTGATGAAGGGATGTTACTAAAATTTTCAGGTATGATTGACCTAGAATTTGGTACGACGACATGGTAACCTCGAACATGCTACTTCATCAAGTAGTATGCGGGATAGCCAACTCCTCAAATAATGACAGTATATATACCATGTTTGGGCTTTATACTGTTTCTTTTGTATCGGGGGTTTTTTAATGTTGTATTATGTGCAAAGTGACTGACATGTAAAACCAGCTGTAGTCCTGTACGTACTTGCAAGCGACATTATGACAAAAATCTTTAAACTTTAAAGAATAAATCACGAAACCACTTGACAGTGCCACGAGAATCATATGAAGATCCTCTACTAGCCAATTCTTCGTAATCCCCAAGATATTTGAGAAGTTGAACGTTTTTTTATCTAGCTATGTAATGCTAAGATTCAAATATCACATCGCCATTATCCGCCTACCAGAATGAAAAACTACTCACTATGAAAAAGTTTGCCGGTGAAAAATTATATGCCGCGGTCACCTACTTTGTTGACAAGCCTAGATTGGATTTTAAAATCACCATATTTTTGGAACCCTGCGTTTGTCGCAATTGTTTTTTTTTTATGAAGATACAAATTAATGTATTTAAGATATTTGCATTGCAAAAAAATGCGACCATGTAAAAGTTCGGCTTAAAAAAAATCTGCTTTATAAAGGTTGGCTAATGTATTATTTACGTATTTATTGGTTCCTTAGGTGAACACATCACACCAAGAAGCATTTGATATAAAAATAAAATAAGAAAAAATTTTTTTTTGGTTTCTATGGATTTTTCTCGATTTTTTTAATTTCTCGATAAGTATGAGACATAAAGTCACGAAACTTTTTTAAGCATTTTTCTATAAATTTTCCTTTCCTTTTTCATAACACACTGTGCTCTGTGGTTCTCCACTCGAGCAGTCAACAGGGATTTGTACGTTCTAATAGATAGAATTAGCAATTAGTACCCGAGACGACGTGCGGTTTTTGGCCGGTTCGTGTCCGACATAACCACCGGTGGTGGTTTTCCGCACAGAAAAAAATAAAAGGTAGAATTAGCAATTACAATTTGCTTTTTATTTCGCTTACCTGTAGTAATATTATGAAGCTGAATTGTTTGTATGTTAGTTTGGTAATCACAGGAATACTGGTTCAAATTTAAAAAAAAATCTTTAAGTGTTGGATAGATCACTTACCGAGCACGGCTATAAGTCCAATAAGAGTCGAGCACCAATGATAAATGTTGCAAAAAGGGGGTAAACTTAATTCTTTAAAGCCACGCAGACGAAATTGCACAGGTCAGCTAGTATTTTATAAAATGAGAAAAATCTGTAGAGACCCCCAATAATAGTACTCTACATATATAGTAAAAAATATTAGCCATAATATAAGCTCACACTGCATACTAACAGGAAAAATATAAATTTTGCTGCTCCCAATGGGTCAGGGTGCACTCACCACTATACCAGAGGCAAACAATGTCAAGAAACTGTGGTGAATAAAATAATAGAAAGAGGTAATATATAGGTAAATATTCAATATTCTTACCTATGCTTATGGAAGAACAGTACAACAAGCCAGATGGCCATTAGGAAGGATCCAGTAATTTCACACATGTCAAAGGCCCAAGGGATGTGTGGCACGTTGTCTAAAAACAAATCTGGTAGCGGAGGGTACTTCTTCATGTCAGGCACCTTGTCATGCACAATCACCATCACAACAGCTGTCACCCACGTTACCAAGAAGAGATAGCCTGGGTACAAATAATATTCATACACATTCATAAATTGTTTTAAAAATACACAAATATGCACTATCAAATAAAAATATTCATTAGTGATATTCCAATTAAACAAGGATTAAGGTTTTAGTCATGTGTATGCATGGTTGAATGCTTTAATCATAAAAGTAGTTCCATTAGATTATACCAGTCTAGCTACTAGTAGGATTCTACTGATATAGCGGTAATGTGCAAACATCTAAATATATTTTCTCAATTAATACATACATTAGTAAGAATATTCGAAGAATATACAAGTTACCAGATGATATTATATCTTCCCAAAATGTGAACCAATAAAAAAATCGACTTAACAAATATTTAATTAAAGACAAGTAATAGGAATCTATCAGGATACAGGCTATAATTAGTTGTTTTAACTGTCTGCATATCTAAATAATAATATTTTCTTAATACTAGTTTAAAAAAATTGTAAGACAAGAGTTTCACACACATCACACATCAGATCAACAGCCTTTGATAGTCCACTGCTGGACATAGGCCTCTCCTTAGAAAGGAGGTTTTGGCCTACTATACCACGCTGGCCAGACGGGTTGGTATAGGGTTTGTTTCAAGTTTTCCTTCTCTTTGCAGTGCTGTTGTCTTGAGTAGTTTTCTCCCTTAGTCGACTTTTACAACACCCACTTGATTGATAGACATTACTTATTCTTAATCTGTCACCACACAGATAACAAGACAAGAGTTTAGGGCTAAGTATTTTTTACAAGACAATTTAAACTTGATTTTGTTGTTACTTGTTGTTGGAACTTGATAAAAATCTTTTTAATTAAACTTATAATTATTTTTCTATCTTTTTACATCTGTGTCACAGATCCAGATATTCAATGCTAATACTGAATATTATATCATTCTCACAGGTAAATTGGAATTTCAAAAATAGAATAAAATTAAATCCAATTGTATCAACATGATGTAAACATATATTATAGAGAAAATAAATTAATATCAATAACAATTAATAAAAACTATTGCAAAAATAACTAACTAACTATACAGAAAAACAATTACTATCATAATAATAAATAATATATATATAACAGTTATACCTTATCTACTAACGTTATGTGCGAAGTCAAGTGTGAAGTATTGCTAACAAATATATTATTATATTAGATAATTAATAACATGTAGGTAAGTTAAGTAACTTTCTCAAAATAACAACTAACAGAATAGTTTTAATTTTCTTAATAGTTTTTAACTTTGTGATACAATTTAGGAGAAAACAATCTAAATTTCTCTGTCTGTCTGCATTTTAATATGTGTTGTGATAATAACAGCAATAATAATTCACATGCAATATACATACCTTTTAGTATCTATTAACATGTGTTACATAATTCATTTAAAATATATTGAGTCTCGGTAAACATTTCATAAACAATTACTATGTTGGAATGTGGATGGATAAGGGAACCAGATAATTAAGAACTTAACATCAAGCTTGTTTTCATCATCATTTCTAATTAGATAGTAACAATAACAATGATTTCCATTATGGTGTATCTTACATACACATAGGTAATGGGATTTTTAGTTGTTTTGTATCATACACAATATATAGCTTGCATACCAAATAAATGGCATTTGTTTTCATTACTCACTTCACTAATAAAGTACTGTGTAAATTTTAAAGCAAAAAAGGGGTGAATTTCTTATACTTGATTATTGACAGATTTAAGGTTGTGGCAGTAATACTAAAATAATAAGAATGTAAAGCAGACTTAACTGACTCTACCACAACTTTGTAAAAGGGTGGAGTAGACAAAGATGAGAATAGAACAAAAGAAAAAACAACTACATATTGTTTACAACCACCTAACAAATAAGAATAGAGAAAATAAATAAAAATATAATTCTGATGTAGTACACCAGATAGGCAAAGATATGGAAGCAGGTTTTTTTAGGAATACTAATATGATGTAGCATAAATTTCAATAAGCATTATTTTATGCTTATTATTAAACTATTGTTTTCTAATATTTATAATAAGGTATAATAATAAGGTTATTTTCAAACAGAATATTAACATGACCAGACCACAATGTATATACTGAAAACAGATACAAAGGTACTTGTGTATGGGTACACAAGTACATTTTTGGACAGATTCCCAGACACAAGACTACTACAACAAATAAGTCATTGTTTTACTATGTATACTTACCTAGGGCTATTGCAGTCTTCCATATCTCGGGTTTCAGCCTCGAGGCCTTAACTTCTGGTGTGTAGGTTGATACACATTCCGAACTTCTTGTATATATTTCACTGGGTATTTTTTTATGAAGATTGTAACTCAAATGGGACAAATTAGTTCCAAGAAAGTTTATATTTGTCGAAGGATTACTCTGAGCATCATCACAAAGTCCAAGCTCGAACATCGCATTACGGTTGTGTTTCTGCAGTTTTTTCACTAATAAAATGAATCTCTTCCGTTCACCTAACTTTAATTGATCAAATGGAAAATCATAAAAGTCTCGATCAACAAAGGAAAGAAGACACTGACCGTCGATATCTTGGGATTTAAAGATATCTGTTAGAAAACTAGATATTTTCTCTTTGTGTAATAAATCTAACACCTCTTTGTTACTCCAGTTGATAATATCAGACTCCATTTTCACCAGTTACTCTTATAATAAAACAAGTAATTGTTCTTTATGTATATCTTGAAGAATTTGTAGGAGTGTAAATGTATACAAACAACATAACACTGAACAGACGATCACAAAACTGTATTTGTTTTAAAATTTACTAATCCATCGCTGAATGAAGTGACAAGTGACGTTACATCTGTGACATTAAAAATATGTCAAAATGCAGTGTTGTCAAAAGCGAAAGCAGTGGGCATGGGACGAAATCACAATCGCTTGTTACTTATCATATGATTTTAAAATCTATATCACACCTGTGACTCAACTACAAAACCACTACTATTGCTACGCTAGCGCCACCTAGCGTGCACTTGCATTCGTTGCATTGGGAGCTCGTCCATCGAGGCGTAACTGAAAGAGAAAGAAGAGCGTCGTAGCGTAGCATATGCGTGTGACAGAGATAAATATATTTATAAATCAGTCGTTCACACTTCACAATAGTTAACATTAGGCATGGACAAAATCACACTGAACTGTGAAAGAGTCGAAAATATCGAATGATAAATCACAGTTCACTGTGATTTTATCCCTTATCTAGTTAACATGTTCATGTCACTTCATGTCTATTCCATTGTCTCTAATTCAGTTTATAGGTACTTTACACAATAATCTTAGTCTGTGGAAAAACGTGAACATTGTTAACAAACATTGGCCAACTTTTGTTTGTTACTGATAGTTAGGTTAGCGTAGTTTTTAGTGTAAGTAAGCAAATAATTGTGTAAATAGTTTAAGGATATAACTAGTAAAAAGTTATACAGTTAATATAAAAACATTGAGTGACGTGATTTCACCGATGAGTTCGATTTGGAAGTGCAGGGTAAATTAATTGCCAAGTGTTTAGGGAACATTCCCACACTGTGACCCACTTTTTGCAATTTTCAACCAATTTTTGACATTACTAACCGACACTTCAATTTTATTTATTTGTATAGAAAATATTTTTTCTGAAGTTTCACTTTTGCCGTGATTCATACACACATTTCTTTATATTTTTTTACTAAAAAACAAAAATAACAAACTAACAAATATATATATATTTATAATATATATATATATAAATGTAAATAAAATAACAAATTAACAAACAAATCTTAAAAACAAAATTACTATCATTTTATAAAGTTTATTCTTTGATAAATAGAAAATTAAATTCATTGCATTTTTCTAATCGATTGGTTTCACAGATTTTTGTAAGTTACTATAAAAGCCCGTGTAATAGTACATTATAGGTTGTACTAGTAAGTCTTAGTATACACTAGACTTGGACACGAGCGATTTTTGCCTACAAAGATTTATTTAAAATTACATTTACTTACATACTTTTAATTTAATTATGCGTTGTCATTGACAGTTGGATGTCAGATTAATTTTAAATATTATTAAAAATGATTCGATTTTCCGTACATTTTAACGATTATTCGTATTCAAGTGAATTTTAAGAGCCGCAACACTACGGCAAAGGACCTAACTCACTTATCACTTAGTTTGCCTGTGCCCAGTGTTACCAACCCTACTGTTTTAACAGTAGATTTACTGTTTTTACGTTGATGCCCCTGTTTTCTGTTTCATTCCTAATTTTTACTGTTTTTCAATTAGCGTTCAGCGCCACCTATTATATTACGCAAATATTTTTTTATAAATACTTAAATGTCTAGTTATCAAATATAATGCAGTGACACTAGATGACAGTATCTACACTTGTCGGCATTTGAGGGAATTCCCCGACCACAATCTATGTGATTGACAGTCATATTTTATACACGGGAATTCCCAGTGTATATTTAGAATGATAGCTACAGGTTACAGCCGTATTGTACCGTATATTGGATTCTATGGCTACATATTACAAGTGAATTATTAAAGTACATGTGATCCCGCCGTTTAAAATGAATAATAATATTTACAACGTCTATAATACAATTAGCAGTGATTCATCGACTGACAAAAGTTCTCCTAAAAAGAAGATTGTGAAATATGAACAGAAATTTATAAATTCGTGGTTAAAGATGAAAGGTTCAAAGGCTGGTTAAAGACAAGCACTAAACGTGAGACCTCTTTTTTTTTGTTCAGCGTGTAATTGTGACCGAAAATGTGGTATACATAACGTGACCATTTATTTTTTGACTCAAAACGGGACATTGGTTTATTTAGGTTAATTAACAGGTAGTTAATAAAAACAAAACACTTTTTTAATGTTATTTATTCAGAAAAAGTCAGTTAGCTTAAAAGTTACAAATTAAAAAAATATATATACCCGAAACGTTTAGTTATATTTATATTTATTAGAGGAACAAATTTGCTTTAATATAGATGGTGATGATTTTAAGTAAGAACTGAAATTTGTAACTGGGTTTTCTCAGATGGCCACAATTTGTTCATCATAGAAAATACTCTTTCTACTGGAGCATTTGTAGCAGGCAAGCATAAAATATATTCAATTAAAATAGAAAAGTTTTCATGCTGAAGATTGTTGGCTTGAAAGTGTTTGAATACTTCCACCCAGCGAGTTTCCGTGGAAACATTTAGATTATTCCATTCGGTTACTTTCTGCGATGTAATGTAGTTACAAATTAACGAAAATTCGTCAAAACCAAATTACGCAACAGAATATCGACTACAACTATTAAAGGAGCATTACACACTAAATCCGAAGTAACTGATTGCTATTCATTTGCAACCACAGAAAGGCATATGAAGAAATTTAACAAAAATGTGTATAATTTTAAAAACAATGAGTCTGAAAATACTGAAGATGAGGAAATTGAGGATGAAAGTGGAAAATAATTTTACTTTGATTTTTGTTATGTTATTACTACCTAATAAAAGTAGTTAATTGTTTTAATTGTATCAGGAAAGTATGAAATTTGCCTTTTTTCACTTTACCTACCGTTTTCTACTGTTTTTTTATAGGTGAGTTACTGTTTTTTAGTTTTTTGAGGTTGGCAACACTGCCTGTGCCTTTGAAACGAAGTTTAAAAAAAAGATCTATTGATAAAACATATGATTGTGTATTAATTGGTTATTTTGCTTTATTTCAAAGATAAAAATTAGAATTCAGTCATTAAGAATTGTATATCTTGCAACAAATACTTTTATAATTTTATGGTTTTACGGAAAAGGTTATTGAAATTGTGTGAGTTACGCCTATACAAAATTGTTTCGTCTTGAAAAGTATGAAACGTCAACCGGTATATCTTAGATTATATGATAGATATTATGGACTATAGAAGAATTAATTATTTTTGTTCTTTTTTAAGTTATCATCACATCACATCCCATCAACAGCCGTTAATAGTCCACTGCTGAACATAGGCCTCTCCTTAGAAAGGAGGTTTTGGTCTACTATACCACGCTGGCCAGACGGGTTGGTATAGGGTTTGTGTCAAGTCTTCCTTCTCTCTGCAGTGCTGTTGTCCTGCGTGGTTTGCTCCCTTAGTCGCCTCTTAGGGCACCCACCGGATGAATAGGGGTGGTGACACTCTTTTTAAGTTATATTGTATTAGTATAATATTTTAATAAATAAACTAACATAGTTTAAATTAAAACATATTGCCTAGGAAATATTTGAACTACACGATTGGATTTGGTAAACGTGCCTCGTTCCAACCACTTTCTTCTTATTTTTATTTATATTCTTTAAACATAGTTATTTTTAAAAGGCCTAAGAAAAAATCAATATACTCATAATTTACTAAAATATTGAAATAATTTAAAATAAAGTTAAAGTCTAAGTTGTTTTCTGACTTAATCATTTGACTGCATTAGATGGATGGCTGGATGGCGTAGTGATTGAAGAGGTCGCCACGCGGCTTACTACAACCCTGAGTGTTGTCGGTTTGATCCCTACATGGGACGACACTTTGTGTGATGCACAAATTGTTGTTCCGAATCTGGCTATTCTTTGTGTCGGAGTAACTACTAATCTTGTATCACCAGCATTATCTCCTTGTCTGTCGATCATCCCTTTATGAAGGGCATAAAACCCTTCACAAGGGATACTTTCTTCTACCATACTGTCTATAGTTTATATAAAATTGTTTATTTTTGAAACTAAGTAGTTTTAAAGGTTCAGTTAGTTGATTGGTGTACACCCACTAAGTTTAGGTTAAGGTAGGATAATTAAGCGATAAATTTCATTATAAGTAAAAAACATGTATTTAATACAAAAATGTTTAATATGGTGATTTAGTAAAAAATAGCTGTCGACAGACAATTAATCAAGACTAAATTATATAGTAATACAATTTTATAATGAAATCTCAGTTCACAATATTGTGGTATTTTAATTTGTTTTTAATAAGTTTTTCTTAAAACCTATGTAACAATGAATCACAGTAAATTTAACAATCGTCTGTTTAGAATAAAACAAAACAAAAAGCAAAGTTACATAACTGAGGTTTGACTTAGCGACCTTTGTTGATTATATTGTATTTGCATAAAACTTATCTGATCAATTTCAAAATTTAACAATAAACACTAACCTGGTTTGTAAAACTATCTGAAACATAATACACACTTACAACAAGTGGAATACCACAATCCAAATCAATGAAAAATAAGTTTTGGGAATGTTTCACCATTTGTAGTTGAAATTTACTTGCAACAGGTACTTTACATTGACTTGTGCGATGTCGTATACGATAAATCTGAATTGTGCGATAAGAAAAAATATTGGCAGAAAATATTACAAATAATAATCATAACACATTACAACATTGTACCTTTTACATTTTGCGACAGTGCTCAATGCACGAGGTGAGCTCACTCTATACTAAATATGTACTCTATATATAATATAAATAAACAATATCATAACAGTCAATAACAAAAATTAATGAACGAATGTACATAAATACCCATATTCGCCAATAAAAATTGATTGAAGTGAAGTAAAATTGTAAGGCTCTTGTAATTTAATACACTCCTTCTCCCACAACACTTGATACGCTTTTATAAACGCAACGCTTTTTATAAACGGGATTTTTACCATGTTTATTTTCAGGAATTAGTTACTAATATTTCGGCATTGTTGTAAGCGTAATGGTAAATATCAGGTTTATAATAACTTCTAGATTACTTGTATACTAATCCAGAAAGTTTTATTTTAAGAACAATAAAATAAATAAATTCACGTAAAATGTAAAAATAAAAAACATTAAAAAAGGATACTCGTTATACAACAATGAGGAGTTGACATTATGTGGGACGGGTTTTCCCAGCGGCACGATGAGCCCATCTTCCAGCGTCCGGTTCTGCGCTGGGTCCGGTTGGGTGGTGCCCATGCCCCACGCCGAATGCATATTCGGGGGCAGCTTCACATTCTCGGCTCTTAAACACTCTTTCCTGTAATAATTTAGGTGTTAGAGTTTACAGTCAATATAACCAATTGCCGAAGTCCCTGTTAGAACCGCTAAAAGAAGACTGAATGCTGTCTGGAGAATAGTGCAAGTGCCTTGCAATGGCAAAGGGAATATGTGCAGTATTTATTAAGCATAGGGTAAACTACAGAGTACCAGGGACTTCCTTTCTAGCATTGATATAATACTTACATAGATGAGTAATTACCGCCTAAAATCGTTGCTACTGCACATATGTCCACAGGCATATGCGTAGCAAACGTCAATTCATTATTCAATGTGGCGTCAACCGAGTTGAACATAGCGACACATGACAGTAACAATCGCCAAAATGGCTAAATGCGTAGTGAAAGAATGCGATTCAAGGTCACAAAACATTAATAAATCATGCGGAATTACTTTTCACGTGTAAGTTTATGGTTTTTGTATTGATAATATCGTAAATAAGGCTATAATTGAAATAAAACACTGATAATTGTAATTTAGAATCAGTGTTACCATTAAAAAATCATTTTGGTTTTCCCACATTAGTGGGAGAATTTATAATTTATGAAATAATATGCTTTATACTGTTTTTAAGCATTTTGCCAATAATAATAAAATATAGGAAGTACGGTAGTTGTTAGGGCTGGACCGATCCCTTTTTTTAGGGACCCGTTGAACGTTCACTGCGAGCTTGGCAGAAGTGCCAAGCTCGCAGTGCTGGAGACTTTTGTACAAAAAATTAATTCATTGTTTTCTTAATTTATTATCAATTTTAAACAATAATTGTACAAAATAATAATAATAATAATAAGATACAGAAGGCAGTCCTCCTTGACACGGCTCGTATAGTGAGGAGGTTCCTATCTTTGCAGTCCTAACCACTGGTGTCCTGGTACCTATACCCGATATCGGTGGTCTACTATTTTTTATATTTTTAAATGTATTTTTATTTCTTTTGTAATATATTTAAAAATGTAATTAATATGTATATATAAAATTTAATAAAGAGAATAATAATAAATGTTTATCATAAAAATAAAAATATAAAATAAAAAAGTAAATAAACATAAATAATTTTTTTTATAAAATAAAAATATTTTTTTTTTTATTTGTTTTTTAAATTATAATAGAATTTGCAATACACCCTGGGGATTATTTATTATCAGTACAAGTTGATCATTCACTTTTATTATTAAATGCTATTATTTTTACATACGTAAAAATAAGAGTGTATCATGAAAGTAAAATATCCACACAAACTTATAAAAAAGAGTCTAAAAGACAATTGTATACAAAACTGATGCTTCACAGCGCAGTTTGATTTTACACTGAATATAAACCCTTTTAACCAAATATTTCCAGTTATTTTATTATTTATACTATTTAGAATATTTAAATTAATTTATTTTATTACAAAATTGTTTAAAAAAAAAATTGTTTCTTAGTTGTTATGGGTAAAATTTCATACGGTAGTCAACACTGGCCCACCATCGTAAAGTTATATCTTTGTCTTTGTCTAATCCGAGCGATGGTATTGTTCTTGTCTCGCGTGTAAATGAGACATAAATATGTTTACTTTCAAATGTTTAGTGGTATCAAAGCTACGTCGTCAAAGTTCAAAAGTGGTTACACTTTTTTCGACGTGTGATAATGAGGTTTGCTTCTCTAGTGTTGTTTTAACTCAATGCTTTCTAGGGTATACCTGGTTCCCCGGCTATTAGTACCCGAGACGGCGTGCGGTTTTAGTCGGTTCGAGTCCGACATGCCACCGACAGGTGGTATCCGAGGGGATTTCCGCACGGGAAAAAAAAAAAGGTAAACTACAGAGCAGGGCGCCTGAGACCGGCTGTCGAGGTGGTTTTTAGTTGAAACACCACATACTCCTGCCTCCCGCGTCCACGAAGACCCGGGGATCCGAAGGGATTTTCTTTTCCACCCCGTCAAGAAAAAAATATGTAAACATGTATTTAATCAATCAGGAAAATTAATTTTTACGTTTCGGATTTTAATAAATAAAAACGATCTAGTTTTACAGTAGTCACTTATGACGTGTAACATCTGTTACATCTCACCTACCATCTAATGGCCGAAACCAGTACAGCATTGGTGAAATCAAAAATAGTGCGCGCATCCCCGGCTTTCTGTTACACACTTCAGTCCCGTTTCACGTAATCACTTACACAGATTGCAGGTAAGCCAAGAGGAGATGTGACGTAATCAAAAAGTAAACAAAAGAAAATAACTCTTTTTAAGTGATAATAGTAAAATATACTTACATATTGCCTAAAGCAACTTCGCAGAGTAACATAAGACCGACGTTATTGTTTTTGTTGGTACAACAGTAATTAGCAGACTTAGACACCATGTCGGCGAAGTAGATGCCTTTGCCGAACATGTAACCTGTCACTGGCGCCTCTGGAGGGGCTATGCGGAGACCTGACATAGCATATATGGAATATGAAAATTAAATCTTGAAATTTTAAACAAAAAATGATATTATTAATTATAGTTTCATACAGTAATACCAATAATATTAATATTAGTGTTGGCATCCACATGTATGTGATGTGTGTTAGTAACAGTTGAGAAAAATGCCTTAATGTCAGATTTGAAATGAAAAATATAAAGGAAACTCTAACCTTGTGAAATGATCCCAGCAAAGTTGGTGACGCGCGATCCGTGCCACAGCAGTCGCCTGTTGTGAAGCTTCTTGAATGGTTTGTAGCGCTTGTCCTCTCCTTCGCGAACTACTTTGAAGACCTATTTTTAAATCATTTTCAAAGATTAAGCAGTGTCTAATTAAATTACAATCATATCTCGATATAGTTCTAAACGAAAAGCTGAAGTACTGTACGGCGAAGAGATGGAAATCGTGCTAAACTCTTGTTCGGCTAAGGACAAAGGCAACAAGCGCAGTGGTGCATTAATCGATCTCTGGCTTGAGGACGGAGATTGTACGTTACCCGCTGAACGTTTCACGTGCACTGATCCGTTGATATTCTCGAAGATTTACTTTCAATGTTTCACCAGAAGCCATATAAAAAAAATGTGACCTGTTCAATTTTAAGCGTGTAACCGGAGTGCGTGGCAGCGTGTGTGTTGTGCAAGTATTGTTGAATCATGTCGAACTCCGGGGACTCTGTCGGTAAGGGAGCAATATCCGCTTTCAGCTTCAAGTAATGCGCCGATATGGGACTGGACTCATCGGTTTCTGTAACAAACAATAACAGCTGTTTTCAGTCACTTTTCACTTCGCCTGTCGCATGCTATTTTTATGGAGTTCTTTTGCTACAAATGGAAAACAAAAACCTTATCATGTCACTTCGTTTTTCGTCTGTTTTTATGGGTACTTTTCTCTGAGAAGCGGAAGGTAGGTTCATAACTTATATACAGCCTTGGCCAAAAGTTTTAGGCACCCCAGAAAAATACACAATTCATGTTTACTGATTGAACAATGAATAAATGCTTATCTTAGATGGCATGCCGGGGTCACAAATAACTTCCTAGAAAAGCAAGCAGCTATCTGTTATGGTCATAAAACACATGGTGACTGAAAACAAAGGATTTGTTTTTATGAGTTCTTATCAGTCAATGTTTGGTCACTTGTGTTTAGGACTCTAACGAGTAAAAAAGCTTTTATTTCTAACATAGTGATTAAATTGACGCGTAATTTATTTAAAAATGCCGAAAAGAAGTGAAATTAGTTTGGAAAACCAAGTAAAAATACAACTTTTCCATGAACAAGGGAAGTCGCAAAAAGAAATTGCTAAGTTAGTGAAATGTTCGCGTTGCGCTGTGCAATCTGCTATCAAAAGGATTGCTGAGACTGGCAGTCACGCTAATAAACCAAGAACAGGCAGAAAACGTGTGACTTCGAAGCGCGAGGATAGAAAATTAATACGCGAATCTATGAAAGATCGGAAGAAAACATCATCAGAGCTTGCTGCTACTTTGTCCGAAGAGGCTGGAAAGCCAATTAGTGCTCGGACCACCAGAAGAAGACTTGGAGAAGCAGGCTTAAAAGGATGCAAAGCCAGGAAGAAGCCCTGACTTTCAGAAACTAACAAAAGAAAACGACTTGAATGGGCTCTACGGCATCAACATTTTACTGAGGAAGATTGGGCCAATGTGGTATGGTCTGACGAATGTAACTTTGAGGTACGTAAATTTTACTGCTTTTGTTATTAATAATCATGGACAGTTATTTATTTAACTAAAATAATAAAACTTAAGGCAGTTTAAAAAAGTTTTTTGTTTCTTTTTTCAGCAGATATTTGCAACGCCAGGTGTGACCTTCGTGAGGCGACGTGTGGGCGAAGAATACCATTCAGATTGCGTCGTACCGACAGTAAAAGATGGAGGAGGCAGCATAATGATCTGCTGCTGCATGGCTACTGATGGGGTTGGCGAAATGTTTGTTTGCGAAGGTCGTATGAACAGCGAAAAGTACATAAAAGTGCTTAAAACTGCGCTTATGCCTTCGCTAACGAGTATTTTCGGCGATACCAACTTACGAGGGAGTTATTCCAGCAAGACAATTCACCTTGTCATAAGTCAGCGACTACGATGCGTTGGTTTACTGAAAACAACATTGACTTGTTTGATTGGCCAGCGCAGTCGCCAGATTTGAACCCAATTGAACATCTTTGAAGCATTTTGAAGCGCAAGATTAAAGAGCATAGTATCACATCGAAAATGGCATTAAAAAATGCGTTAGTACAAGAATGGCATGCCATTACAAGGGAGGATTGTACTAAGCTTGTACGCAGCATGCCAGTTAGAATTAGTGCAGTAATTAAATCCAAAGGTGGACCAACTAGATTTTAAGTTTTTTTCATTCTTTTTTGTGTAATTTAATGGTAATAAATCAGTTCAAAAAGTATATTAATAAGTTGTTTTTTTCCTTTATTCTAAGTAAAATGTAGGGTGCCTAATACTTTTGGCCAAGGCTGTAATATTATAATTAATGCAACAATGATAATACAACAATAATACCTGTCTTCAACAAGCTGTAAGCTATTTCAATCTCTAGAAGATTGTCCAACATGGCGGTCTTGGTCTTAATGACGTCTACGTTGTCTAACAACGGCGCGTTGTTCACTCCAAAGTCATGAGGTATAAGAGTAAAGAATCTGAAAAAGGCGTAGAATTCCGTGTTAGTTCAAATCTCTAAGGAGATATACACTATTTTTAATGTACTGAAATACTATATTTTAAAACTGAATTTCCGATTATTTACTACACTTCAATTTATAAATAACGAAAGGTAAGTAAAAATATACCCCTAAAATTAATCAAGTACTTAAAGATGGCTCTGACTGTAGGCAGTACTGTTTACTGAAATAGGCATATAGGTTTCACTAACCTGTTAGTGGCATCAATTATTTTATTCTGGCTTGCAGACCCTTGTTCAATTAATTTTATAAGTTCAGACAATACTTTGTATCCAGACTTAATTTGTTTCTTTGATAATTTGCCGAGTGGCATCTTTTCAGTATCTAGCTAAAAAAGATTAGAAATCTTAAGAAATCATCTAAATTTGTCCCAATTACTTGGGGTCATCTTTATGTCTTTTTCTTCACACACTTCTGTCAGCAAGTAAAAATTATGTTCTTTGGAGCAGATAGGATACTCTGTTCCAAGCAATAAAAAAATTACATTACATTATTTCTACAAAACAAAATAAAATTGTGTGAACACAACCGTGTTCCATAGAAGGGAGGAGCCTTCTATGGAACACGGTTGTGGCTGAACTTATCACACAACTCGATGACCGAAGATTCCTCACAATAGGCTATGCAGACGATCTCACTATCCTCATCAGCGGTCCCTTTGAGAACGTTACATGCGATCAAATGAGACTTGCAATGAAGATCGTTGAACAGTGGAGTGCAGCACACAACCTGACAGTAAACCCATCGAAAACAGAGATGATCATGTACACAAACAAACGCAGTCTAGGAAACCTTAGACTTCACAAGCTATTTGGAACGCAACTTGCTCTTACCAAAGAGGTGAAATACCTAGGAGTAATACTGGATAGTAAACTCCTGTGGAATAAGCACCTCGATGAAAAACTGAACAAAGCCTGCATTATCTTCTGTCAATGCAAACGGCTACTTGGCAAAAGACTATCACCCAAGATTACTCTATGGCTTTACAGAACAGTCATAAGACCAATAATCACTTATGGTGCTGTTGTCTGGTGGCAGAGAACAGAGCTAAGCACCGTCATAAACAAATTGAAGCAATTGGAGCGACTGTCATGCTCTGCGGTCACTAGCTGTATGCGCACAACGCCAACTGCCGCACTGGAGGTGGCTCTGGGTCTGCCCCCACTGGATTTATTCATACAGCAGGAGGCCGCCAGGTCGATAATTAGACTCAGACACCTGGGCCTTAATTCTGCTATTTTATGTTCACGCCAAGCCAGTTGCATACCCCTGACACGCTATTGAGATGCCATCGAGTGGCCATTGGCATCGGTATAAATTAATATCGGTAGTTAAAAATATATTCCGTTTTTTGAGGCAATGATTTTTTTAATTTTTATTATAATAAATTATTAAAAGAAATAAATAAATAAAAATAAAATTATTTTAAAAAAAAGAAATAAATAAATTATTAAAATAAAAAATAAAAAAGAGAACACAAAAAGATAACAATACCAAAAGATACCACATCCAGATGCGAGAAAATGACCGAGATCAATTCGGCATTAATGAAGTCCGAATTTACACGGACGGTTCCAAGACTAGGTCAGGAACTGGAGCCAGAGTTTTCTCGCAAGACCTAAATATGAACATATCACTAGCGTTAGGCCAACACAGCTGCATATTCCAATGCGAATGTGTGGCAATAACTTACGCCGCCACAACGGCCATGTCAAGGGGTATCATGGACTATAATAGCCGAATACTATCCGACAGCATGGCCGTCCTAAAGGCACTGGAGGGCTACACAATGACCTCTGGTATTATCCTCGAATGCCATCAAGCATTGGAGCAGCTTGCCACATTAAACGTGGTACTCCTCCAATGGATTAAAGGGCACAGTAACGATGTCGCAGATGAGTTGGCAAGGAGGGGCTCGGCAACCCCAGCTACCGGCCCAACCATACTCCTGCCAATACCTACCGTTTAACCAAACACGATTCTGGGCCAGGCAACGGATCCGTGAAGCACATAACCGGAGGTGGAAAACTCACCCGGCTGCAGACAGTCCTATGTGCATTATCTTCTGTCAATGCAAACGGCTACTTGGCAAAAGACTATCACCCAAGATTACTCTATGGCTTTACAGAACAGTCATAAGACCAATAATCACTTATGGTGCTGTTGTCTGGTGGCAGAGAACAGAGCTAAGCACCGTCATAAACAAATTGAAGCAATTGGAGCGACTGCCATGCTCTGCGGTCACTAGCTGTATGCGCACAACGCCAACTGCCGCACTGGAGGTGGCTCTGGGTCTGCCCCCACTGGATTTATTCATACAGCAGGAGGCCGCCAGGTCGATAATTAGACTCAGACACCTGGGCCTTAATTCTGCTATTTTATGTTCACGCCAAGCCAGTTGCATACCACTGACACGCTATTGAGATGCCATCGAGTGGCCATTGGCATCGGTATAAATTAATATCGGTAGTTAAAAATATATTACGTTTTTTGAGGCAATGATTTTTTTAATTTTTATTATAATAAATTATTAAAAGAAATAAATAAATAAAAATAAAATTATTTAAAAAAAAAGAAATAAATAAATTATTAAAATAAAAAATAAAAAAGAGAACACAAAAAGATAACAATACCAAAAGATACCACATCCAGATGCGAGAAAATGACCGAGATCAATCCGGCATTAATGAAGTCCGAATTTACACGGACGGTTCCAAGACTAGGTCAGGAACTGGAGCCAGAGTTTTCTCGCAAGACCTAAATATGAACATATCACTAGCGTTAGGCCAACACAGCTGCATATTCCAATGCGAATGTGTGGCAATAACTTACGCCGCCACAACGGCCATGTCAAGGGGTATCATGGACTATAATAGCCGAATACTATCCGACAGCATGGCCGTCCTAAAGGCACTGGAGGGCTACACAATGACCTCTGGTATTATCCTCGAATGCCATCAAGCATTGGAGCAGCTTGCCACATTAAACGTGGTACTCCTCCAATGGATTAAAGGGCACAGTAACGATGTCGCAGATGAGTTGGCAAGGAGGGGCTCGGCAACCCCAGCTACCGGCCCAACCATACTCCTGCCAATACCTACCGTTTAACCAAACACGATTCTGGGCCAGGCAACGGATCCGTGAAGCACATAACCGGAGGTGGAAAACTCACCCGGCTGCAGACAGTCCAAACTGGTGATGACTCAAGTCACACCACGGCTCACCTGTGATTAGTCTTAGCAGACAGGAAATCCGAATAGTTGTCGGTACTCTAACAGGACACTTAGCCCTGAACCTATTCATCATCAATGCGACGGACAGCCCTCTACGCAGGGGATGTCTGGAAGCAGAGGAAACGGCCGCCCACGTAGTCCTGGATTGCGAGGGAGTGGCCGCACAACGGGCAAGTATCATTCCTGAGACAAGATCTCTCCTAGAAGACTGTGAACGCCCCAGGAGGCTTCTGCGCTTCTGGAAGGAGCTTGGTTGGTTCACCTAGCTAACCAATCCTCGACGCATAACGGACCACTCTTGAGTCTAAATGCAGAAACCGCAGCCCACAACCAATAATATCAAAAATTATTTTGTAGTTATAGTTTGATAATTCTCATAAAATTGTTGTCAGAAAGTGGTTACTAGTTAACCTTGTAACGATTGTGTGACCAAATTGTATAAAATTATATGAAAATAGTACTTACTTCAAACTCCAGTAGTGTTTCTTTCATAACTTGAACATCAAATATTTTTATAACCAATTTTTGGACAGCTTCAGGAAGATCACATTTCTTATCTACTGAAAGAGTTTCTGTTGGTACATCATCACCACCATAATCCATATCGAGCGGAAAATATCTCCCAGGTACCTAGAAAATGAAAAGCCCATAAAAGTAATAGCCAAAAAATACCATATAGTTCCTTTCGGCCTGCCATCTCCCGGAAAACTAATAAAATAAATAAAAATTCGACCGAAGGTTTATTCGACCGAAAAATAAATATATACACATTTTCACTGGAGGCACATTGAGTATATACATTTGCAGATGTATTGCTCTAACAGTACTGAGAACTGTTTTCCAAACTAGGCTATAGACTGTTTGTTGGAAGACTGGGTTCAAATGTAGAATTCTGATACAATACAATTTTAACTACTATGTGAAAGGAGTCTTTTGTAAGTTTCCGGTCATTAGTCCAGTAGCATTTTAAGAAGTTATAGCATTATAACTAGTTGGACTTGTGACCTTTTTCTATTAACCTATATCGCACACACATATACACGCTACGTGCGTATGATTATAGTGACTAATTTTATCGTAATCAATAACTGTCCATCTGGCGCTGCAGTGGACACTAATGCAAATGCCACCGTTTCAAAACTCATGCAACCTTACAGTAACTTTGAGAATTCATGGAATGTGGTTATGAGTGCAATATTGTCGAAGAATATAAATCTTTGATTCAATATTTTAAACTAGTAGTCCCTAAAAGTAAGGGGTATATTTGAAAAATAAACTATTTTATTGTTTTAAAAATCACCCTCAACTTTTGACGTCGGTTAGTAAACTTAGTTACGAGCATTAAAAAAAAAAGGCAGCCAGGAATTGAGAAAATTAACAAATTAAACTGTCAACCTCTATAAAAAATATGAACAAATTGTATAAATAAGCAACCAAAATAGTTTATGAAAATATTCCACTTAAATTTGTTTATTTTAACGTTAATTTCTTTTAAATTTTAATTAAATTACATATTACACCTTTTTTTTTCGTAAACTGAAGTCATTTTAACGTAACAAAGTTCAAAAAGTGATCAGGCACAGAACCGGCGTGCGAATATGAAGATTACGTACTGTACATGTTAAAGTAAGTGAAAATAAATGTGTTAATTATATTAAATTAAGTTTCAGAAAACATCCGAGTCTGTATGTGAGAGTGTGTGTATATTTGTGTGTATATGTGTGTGTTTTTATGAGAGGGAGACAGAGATAATGTACGTATGTTTAGTATGTGTGTGTGTATACCGGTTGTACGTATTTTGATGAAGGAAATGGAAATATTCAAAGAGATTTACCTTCATGAAGTTTTCTCTAAATTCCCAAGGGTTTTCTGTTCTCTCCATGTACAAATCTTCAAACTTACTAACAGCTTCTTGCGCTGAACTGCAGTTTTCTACTTTGGACCCGCCAATATTTGTACCGATACGACCCCACGATCGGAACAACCAGTACCTAGTACGAGATGAAAGAACAGAAGTAATTGAGGTGACATTTTAGACCATTTTTGGTTTTACTTAAGCACTGTCATTCTACTTTTTGTTATGTAGATGATTCTTGGATCTTAAGCAAATCTACTGGGTCTTATAAAATCTATATCACTATGAACCAACTGTCTACGCTCTCCTGTGGAGGACTTCAATGCAAGTAATGAGCGGTTCCAGTCAGTGCGTTGGAACTGATTGTAGAATCAGAAAGTGAGATTTATATTCCACTCGTTCACGAGCACGTGTGGCCGAGCTGAACTTGAGTCCGACCACAATAAGTCGGTTCGGCATGTGGACTCATGTAGTTCGCGTCGGAGCGGTTGCTGCGTAGTGGGTGGCTATTGCAAAAATGGGAGAAAGATTCTTAAAAGTAACATATATGGTAAGTGTGCTACGCCTTGACACTGAAGAAGCTTGAGTGGTCATTTCAGACCGTTTGTATTGTACTGGTTGGCTTGACTTGATTAAATCTCATAGTTAATATAATATAGGAGTTTATACGACGGTGGCGATAATGGGGCTGATGATGAGCTCTTTGGAGACAAATTTTTAACCACGCCCAGGTACTGTTGAGGAAGGATGGGTCCTCCAAACAGATAAAGTCATTAGACCTGACCAACGGATAATGTACTGAAGTCGACTATAATTATAATAATCAGCGTGAGAACTTTCATACGGGATCAGTACAGTTCCTTAAACATACCTTTTTTTACCGTTTGCCTCCAGCACTTGCAGTTTATAGAAAGAGTTCTTTTGCGCCACCACATCTGTTTGCGATAGTACCACAGTGTATTTCGTACCATTTCCGTCCTTATATACGTGTGCTTCGTCTTGTAGGTTTGATGCTGGGTCCACGGCTGTACCACCTTTTGAATAAATATTAAATAAATTGAAAAAGAGCTTATTATTGGTTTAGAATTTTAGATCATACATATTGCCACAATCCGGATTTAGTAATATTCTATAAAATAAGTTTAGTAGGGAACGTTTCTGCTTAGTATGGATCTTAGATAGTGATGTGGTATATGTCCCAAAATATTATTTTATTGTTAAAGCTATTGCTTACTCATGCAGTTCTGCTAAATTGACCCATTATTTTATTTCTCATTTTATAAAGTATTCAATAGTTTAACAGTGTGCAATTGTTTTTACTCAGTGATGTGCTTCTCTTGTATTAAAATTTAGAGGTATCCGAGAGTAAACAAGGAAAATTGTAAAAAAATAAGAATACCTTGAATTTTTAATTTAACGGCTGACGATTTTCCTGACTTAACATACATGCTACCAGACTTCGGTATAGATTTTCCATCTTTAACGTCTTGCGGGATTCTGGTAGCTGGCTGTTTAATAATATAAAAAAATTAAACCCAATGCCTCTAGAAAACGGCATTAGTATAATGTTTTGCATAAAAAACAATAGTAGTAAAAGCATTATTTAGTTCTAAACAGTACACCGCAATCCACAACCATACCACGGAAATCGCAAATCGTCGTAGTCTGTTTTACGGACAGACATTTAATAAATACGTCATCATGTGAACATATTGATAATTCAACGGCTGCTTTAAGTAACAAAAGTAAGTGTTGACAATCCTATCCTTCGTCCCAATACTTGTTTACCATTATGACATATACTTAACCTAGCCATTATTACTGTTACAATTAAAAAAAACAATATTACATTTGAATTTGGAATCTGTCATTCTTATAGATAAGAACATTCACTGTAGTCTACTCATCTATAGTACCGTTGTGATTTAAAAATTCTATGAAAAAAATCGACAGTAAAATAAGGTATATTCATAAAAAGGATTTAGCCTGCGAGAGAATGAGATAGATTAAGTATACACTGTTTTCTGTACAGTGTTTCGTCTCCTGTATGCTATCACGTGTCTTTGCGCCTGCGTACAACGAAGCCTTCAGAAAATGTGCCATAAACAACGTGGTGTATCATTCACATGTTTTTTTTTTGCAGTTGCGTATTAAGATTCGTTGGTTAATTAATTTATGTTAATTGTTTTACACATCTGTGTTCATTTGACCAATAATTTTTATTTGTATAAATTATCTAAAATTAAACTTATTAACATTAGTAAATTATTTGTATTAATTTCACATACAATAATATTGTTTGTGTATATATTGTGTATTTGTTTTAATATATTTGTATAATATTTTGACAGTGTGAATATTTTTATCGTTTTTTTATAAAGTTTTTTTATGAAGTTTCATTTCTACCGTGTGTGAATTGAACACACCCCTTTTTTACATTACAGGTGATGGAGAACCGAATCACTGTGATATCATTACACAAAGTTGGTATGAAGCCAAATGCAGTTTTTGAAACTCTCCAGACGCTTGGTATTGATATGATCGTGTAATGGGCTGTTCTGACTTCGTCAGAGCTGAACACTGTCCGTCATCTAATCCCGATGTTAATCGGCTAGATTATGATTGAGTATGTCATGCTCTAAAAGTCATGATCATTTGAAGTCCCTAAAACAATCCATTAGATTGACAGTGAAGAATTTTTCCACAGAGAGTGCATGTTTCTATTGATATCTGGCCTCAATGTATAGGTAATCCTCTAAGGACTCTAATAATGCCAATGGAGATCATTTTAAATGAGCTTCATATATTTTTAATGCTCTAATATTAATGTTTAAACTAACACACATAACAGTAATATTTTTGAAAAAGAAAAAAAATCCTTGTAACAATATTTATGACAGATAAACAGCATGCCACAATAATAAGGTAGGCTGAAACGAACTTATGCCGAGAAAGTTGTTTTAGGTTTATTCCGTAAACATGCAATTTGAACTTAATTAGACTAAAAAAGAATTTAGTTTCTTTTATTGTTTTGGTGTGACATATGCTTAGTTCTGTTTCGTTATTTTGTTAGTTTAACAAAGCTGCTGCTATTTAAACATACCAAGTCTTACGTTAGACGCAACAACGCACCTTCACTGTCATCTCAAATATTTTTTATACTTACGTCTGATCCCCATTCAGCAATGTTGTTCTCTTTGACAATTTCTAATGATCTTGCTATTGTACCATCCTTTTGAATGAGATCCAGGAAGGATTCTTCCAAAACCTGTAAACAGATCAGCGTTGGATAACATTAATTATTATTAAGATTAAAGATTACCAGTTGATTAATATTGTCAAGAGAAAAGGATATATCATAGAAAATGTTTTTGTGTTGATAAACATTTATGATGATTTAATATAACCATGTTTTAATTGTATCCGACAGGGATGTTGATAAATTTGCAAAACCATATCGAATGAATATCGATAGTGCAAGGATACTCAAGAGTTTTGTCGAGATAGGACACGATATTTAAGTGAAACGCTATTATTACTAATTTAACATTTTAATTTTTTTACGGTATGGGCAAAAATGCGAGCAAGCGAGTCACCTGATGGTAAGTAACTACCACCGCTCCTAGACACCTGCAACTTAAGAGTCACAATTGCGTTGCCGCTATTTGCAGCCGTTGAGTCCTCCTCTAGAACCAGGGGGGTTAGGCTACGCTAATCTCATTCATCACGTGAAAAGCAACGAAAGAATTGCTCAACACTTGTTTTGTCAGGCCGTGGTATGGAGTGATAATATGGCCTCATAGAAAACCACGTGGTATCCCACGACCTCATAGAAAACCGGTGTTACAAATGGTGCCGGTACAAATGGGACGAACAGTCTCACTTGTACCGGCTGCTCGGCTCCGCCACCAGCAGTGGAGCATGTTATGAATACATGTTTTTAAGGTTCCGTACCTCAAACGGAAAAAACTTGAAGGAAGAAGAATTTCACTTATAAAACACAATAATAATTATAGGTTTTCGCAACTGAATTATTTATAATACAAATCTGTACCCTCGGTGGGTGAGTCCGACTCGCACATGTCCGGATTTTTTTTTGGTCATAGGGTCGCATCAGGTTGTTAGTAGAATACGTGGATTATATTCTCAGCTTTATATAAACTGAGATTCTAATCCACATACAACAATGACTACTGCGAGATGGTCGGCGCTGAGGTGGTCGCGACTAACGCGTCCTATCATCGGTGTAAGAACAGCGCTTGAATTTGCTTGTGGTGGTTGACTTTTGCTGACATTTTCAACGAATATCTTCATGTTTACACCTAAACCTTTCTCGGGAATCACTTTGTCTATAGGTGAAAGTTGCATTAAAATTCATCCGGTAGTTTTCGAGTATGATAGCCTTTTCAATAAAAAAATGTGGTTTATAGTTTTACAACATCATAATTAACTATTCAATTACAGCATTACATTTTGTGATAAGTGTAAACATCCCTATTGTTGTTTTGTATGAACAATGTGAGTGAACAGTAGATAATAGTGTTTTTTTTTTTTTATTCTGATAATTAAATTATAGTACATAGGTTACTTAATTCTAAACTCGCCAAACTTTTACGTTTGAAGGTAATGAAATGTAATTTAATTCGTAGTTAAATACAACTAATACAGCTGAGTAACTTAATTGCATTTAAGTGTTTATCAATTGACGCTTTGATTGAAGTTTTTAATTTTTTTGGTGCCCAGTTATGAAACAAATAAATATTTCAATACAAGACGGATGAACCGAAATCATCGAGTGCAAATGAAAGATCTAATGACGGCGGAGGTAAATTTGTACAAACGCAACCTACGTACCTCAATATCCATGCGTCTAATTTCCTCCATTTTTTCAGGCATTCTTGCAACATCCTGCGCAGTGGATACGACAGCTACAGTTGTATCAGTCGGTTGCGTAACTACAAGTCCTCCCAACTTCAGAATGCGTTTCTTCGTCTCCTCTTTATTTTTCAACTTTCCATACAAGAAGAACTGTAGATTCTTCAGTGGGGGAACCGGTATATCTTTTTTGATGCTAAAGAAAATAAAATAAATACTTCACTACTTTGGCCCAAACTGATCATATCACACTACTGACCTTTTAAATAATTATATATTGGCCATGGCCTCTTGGTTACCTGGTGGACGGTTCGTTCTTAACAATGATCATTGCTGGTCGCGGTGCGGCTTCAAACAGTCTCACACTCGTCTTAGGTTTGAACTTATTGAAAATACTTCCTTCTTTAAATGCTTTAGGTACTTTCATTGCAATTCTCTTGGGTTCTTGTGTTACGTAGGCGCATTTAGTCCACTCACTTATGTTACCTGTAGATGAGAAAATCTTCAAATACATTTTGACACTGATCTGATATTCTAAGTTTATTTATACATCGTTTAGTGTCTTCATTAGCAAACCATCAACAGGCATCATGACTACACAAGATTATAATTTCTCTTAAATAATATTAGGCATCCACAACCTATCTATCTTTTATCTTTAAAAAAATAACTAACTAGGCATATATGTCACGTGTGTATGTGTCACGATTTATAAAAATACATGAAACGGACACAAACTAACTCAGAACGGTAACTCAGAACAACAATTTGTAAATCACAAAAAGTGTGGTCCCATGTGGGGATCGAACGCACATTAATCAGTGCAGTAGGAAGCTGCGGCAGTACCCCCTGTAAAATTTTCGGTCTCGAATACAAAATGTAAGTTCTTAGATAACCTCAATCAGGGTTCGATTGAGGGAGTCTAAGAATTCTTACGTTATTTAGCATAGATGTGTTACTTTTCGTAAATATAGGAAAGGATTATAATAATAATAATAATAATAATAATTTTACACATCTCACACGGCCGTCTGATCCCAAACTAGGCAGAGCCTGTACTATGGTAATCAGACTGCTGATAAACATACTTATATATTTCGAAATATATACATAATATAGATAAATTACACCCAGACACAGAACAAATGATCGTGCTCATCACACAATTATTTGTCCTGGGTGGGAATCGAACCCACGACCTGCGGCTTAGCAGTCAGGGTCACTAACCACTAGACCAACAGGCCCGTCAAATTAGATTATTAGATTAGATGTTAACATAACCTAAAGTAACTTTGAAAAACTAGCACAAACATAACACATTTCGGATACAAAAACAGGCTTACCCACGCATTTATATCCAAAAGTATCAAGTACGAGTTGTCCCTGTTTACAATCAGGACACGGCTCCAGAGCTCCAAATGCCATCATGTCGGCTACCCGATCCAAGCACTGCAATAATAACACAATATGATAAATATCTTTTAACATACACATGGAATACACCAACTCTTTGAATATAGCTTTTGCACACTCATAAGATTAATTAGCCTATTACCGTCTAAACGAATATTACCTCATATAAAATCTCATTACACTTTGAAATCAGGACCTCCATCAATATCATTACAAGCTAATAAGCATCTCACTCTATAACGGGTGTTATCATACATATCACAAAAAATGAAATAACAGATAACACGGTTCAATATACGTCGGTCAAAATAAAAAAAATTGTACGAAAATACAGAAATGCAAATTTAGAACCAACTAAATACAATAAGATAATTTCCAAATTAGAACACCATTGATAACATGAGTCGGTGAACTGTACACGGCAGCGTCGCAATGTCGGCGACATCAAAGCGACGCCGCCACCGCCGCCGCGACAAGCTGGCGAACTTTACATTCTTATTACCTACCTACTAATAACTTCACTTGCTTTTTTAAATCTATTTATTAAGAATACGATTTTATTTTGGGAATGCTCGACTAGCTTCGGACCCGGCAGTACGTGTCACTCCTTGAAAAAGTATCTCCAAAACGTGCATTTTGAACGCATCAACAGCCTTTTCACGGCTCGAAAAACGTTGACCACGTAATTTATTCTTCACAGACCATATAATTATAACAGTAAGTCGATATTGACTTTTATTTATATTCACCCGTAAGTACACATACTGCTCCACGTTACCATAGTGTAATATTTTATTATACTCGTCATACTTATTCCCAGAGACGCCTCTATTAGTAATATCATCTTGCATGTTTAGTTCCCGCGCAACATCAATATTTTGAGGTACAACAACCGATTTAGGGCGACCTTCTTTAAATTCGTCCGTGAGCACAGACCGCCCTCGATTAAACTCACTGAACCAGTTATAGAGTTGTTTTTGATGGTGCTTCGTCCCCAAAAGTCGTAGTGAGTTGATCGATGCACTGTTTTTGAGTTAGCCCTCTCCGAAAATCGTAATAAATCATGCCACAAAAATTTTCGCGCGCAATTTTCAAAATGACGCCACAAAGGATAAACAAATGACATCTACATGAAACTAATTTTATTCTTCAACCAAAGAGTTACTTTTTTAATTGTTTTGTAACAGGCCAGTACCGGTCGCTCCTAGAAGCCTGTGAACGCCCCAGGAGGCTTCTGCGCTTCTGGAAGGAGCTTGGTTGGCTCACCTAGCTAACCAATCCTCGACGCATAAAGGACCACTCTTGAGTCTAAATGCGGAAACCAAAGCCCACACAACCAATACCAATACCAAAGGCCAGTACCGGATACATAAATGGCAGCCCTAATAAATACAGACACGTCTTCATTGGAGTTAGTTCAGTTCGAGCTACAGTGCGATAAACATTGAAGTGAATATAAGTTTAACCCAGCGACCTCATTGATCATTCCGGAGTATTATTAAGTATTGTGCAAACGTCTTAAAAGTGTTAATATTAATATGTATATGTGTTAATAATAAAGTCTCTTTAGTCGTCAGAAGGCTTCTTATTCCGACACAGGTTTGCGCGTTCACCGTAAAAAGATACCGTTTGACGTATCGCCTCGTTTTGAGAGCACCTCCCTAAATACCTCAGCCAGTATTGCAATCCTAGGCATCGAGATATCGAGCGAAGTCCAGTTTCGAGGTCATTTAGAGGGCAACGTCAAATTGGCCTCGAAGAAGCTCGGTGTGTTGAACAGATTGAGGCAGTATTTCACTCCAGCCCCTCGCCTCCAACTCTATAAGGCGCAAGTCCGACCGCATATGGAATACTGCTCTCATTTCTATGCAGGGCACCACAGTACCAGTTTCTACGTCTGGATCGAATGCAAAGAAGAGCGACTCGAATCGTCGATAGTCGAACCCTCGGTGGGCGAGTCCGACTCGCACTGGTCTGGTTGTTTTTTTAATAATCTGATTACATTATGCACTTGAATGAATATTAATTAATAACATACTTTGTTATTTTACAACTTATTTGGTGATTTTCATTGACTGTGTAATTAAAAGTCCCAGAGTAATTTAATGTATTTGTGTGTTGTGGCTAAAGGGAAATTGTTACGTTTCGAGCATCCAGAGGGCCTAGTGTCAGTTTATTTTACATCAACACCCGCCCCCAAGTCTGAAGTCTTCACCAATCGCAACGCTGAACGCGGCATAACTTCCTTTAGGAATATAGGTTTTTTATTTCCTTCACCATAATTATAAGATAGTCCAACTTACTTCGTCTTTTCCAGCAGGTATTTCTTGTGAATTCACTTCAAGCAATTCTTCTAAATCAGTTTTGGCAAGCTCAGTCAAAGCCTTCCTGTGTTTATGGTAAAGTTTATTTTGTTTCTCCATTTGTTTCTCTTTTGCTTTTTCTTCCTTGAGCTCAGCTTCATCTTTAGGCTCATCTTTTAATTTTTTTACTGGTAATTCATCTGTTTTGAAGGGTCTGAAAACATAACACATTTATTAAACTACATAAAAAAGTAAAAAAATATCAAATAGGAAGTTTTTGCCTTCACCTTTTGCCGTTTCTGTATAATTCTCGCCTAAGGTAAAATATACCGCAAATCTCGGATAACAATAAACGGACAAGGGACCAAACAGAGTGCACATCGAGATTCGAGAAACAGAAAACGAACGATTCCTTTGCGATCCTCACAAAGGAATTGTTGGTTTAATAATATGATGTTGGTGTCTCAACGGGACAATTGTTTAGTGATCGTACCTGTCGCACATTAGGGTTCGTGCAAGCGATGTCGAGCGACTGGTCGCTGCAAGTCGCCAGGGGAGGAATGCTATTGCGCCTGGCAACTTTTTCTGCTATCTATTTTATTACTAGACTAGCGACCCCTACTAATGTGGTGTCAGTGTGGAGTAATTAATTATATTGTTATCATTATGATTAGACTATAATACAGGATATCTTAATATACAGTTATAGGCACGCTCCGCTGACGGCCGCTGGCACCCTGGACGGATATACGGCCCGACACGACGGCCTCTCCACTTCCTAATATATTCATTTTAATGATATGCTGTAAAGGGCAATATCGACCATCATTGAATGCACAACTTATCTAACGTATTTACTTGGTTAAGAAATATTACTGTATTGTTTAAAATACCTCAGTAAATAACTCATTACTTTTTTGTAACATGTAAAATTAAAATGTTAAGTGTGGGTTATCCTTAGGAGATAGGCATATTCTATAGGTCGTGAGGTCTAGCTCGTTTGCAATGTAAGCACACAAAAATAAAGTTTTGTACGATATCATATCTTTAAAATTCTCGGATTTTCTCTATTTCTTGATTTTGACACTAGTACTTAATTTTTCACTGTTTGGTGTTTGGTGGTTTCTTCATGGTGTTATACACTACAGCTTTCTCAGGTCTGGTCAGGCAATAGCAGATGTTTACTGTGCCGAACTTCAAACATAATGGCGAAACTGGCCGTGAAACAATTGACAACTCGTGAATCGATCTTCACCATAATTGCGATATGATAACGCAAACCTCACACTGCACGAGAAACGGTTGTAACTCTGCAGAAGCTGCAGTTAGAAACCATATGTCATCCTCCGTATTCGCCAGACCTTGCTCCAACGGCAATTTTTTTATTTGCTCATTTACGTAGATAATTTATTTTATTTAAGTATAATCTACATATTTTGTGGATTTCTAGGTAGGTGCTTAGACTTGGTTTATTGAAGTAATTTTTGTCTTTACAAACCAACAAACAACCCTATTGGTTGGAGGCTATGCTTTCCGCATTTAGACTCACACACAACAAATTGAAGAAAAATCTCTTTGCATGTATAATTTTGTCTGGCAATGACACTGACGACAAGGATATGCGAAAAAGATCATGGTCAAAGGGTAGCAGAGCTTTACAGACTGCACCGAAACCCGGATTGACACGCACTACAGTAATGCCGTGTGTATGGTGGGATTAGAATGGCATCGGCCATTACAAGCTTTTAACTATCGATTCGGATCTATACTGCCAACAGCTAATGATACTCAAGCAAGAAATTAAGAAAAAAAAGCATTGATCAACAGTAAAGGAGTGGTCTTTTGTATCTTGAAACGCCAGACAATACACATCTTTGGCCCCTGAGAGAAAAATTGAGAAAGATTGGTTCGGAAGTGTGAAGTTCATATATGCAATGGACCATATAGCCCTGACGTTGCACCCTCATATTTCAATTGTTACGGTCTCTTAAGAATGCTTTGGGTAGTGATAGGTTAACATCAAGAGAGGACTGTGTAAACTAGAGGTCGCATTTTTTTAGTAAAAAAATCCAAGATTTCTACAGTAACGGGATTATATCACTATCTACAAGATGGCAACAAGTTATTGAATAATATGGCACATTTATGTATATTATATTTAAATATATTTATACTTAGATTTTTTTCTTGAATTTGTATATAAGATACGAATAACTTTTTACTTTTTTTTTTATATGTATAATAAAACAAGTAGCAGTGACTTTAAGTGCATCTCCACTCTTTGCAAAACATGATAGTTTATATAGAACTCACTTAATTTCATTTTTAACCATAGCCTGATCTTCTTTGCTTAGACTTTTGAAGCCTGGTAAATCTTCACCTCCAGCAAAATACATGAGAGTACTCCTTTCCTCCGCAAAACATTTGACATGATGCCATAAGGGCTGTCCTCCATACTTCATGCCCACTTCTGTGTCATATACAGTTTTAGCTATACGCACCTCATCCTGGAATACAGAAGAAAGAACATAAAGCCTGTGTTTGTATTAATATTTCTGGTGTAAGCTTTTACCCGAGGCTTTAAAACGCTTGATAAAGTTATTTTTCTTCTCCTTGGGGTCAGACGGTCAGGGGGTCTAGTGAGAGTGTATTTCACATCAGTTTGCTCACGATGGCGACCACCCGATTGGCCCACACTGAGGACCTAGTGTGAGTTTAATTTACATCAACTCCATCGTCACGATGACGGCGATCAGAAATCGTCAAGAGCGAGTTGATGTGAAATAAACTGGCACAGGTCACTCGGACTTAGTTTAGTTCTGTTTCTCTGTACTTTGTTTCTGTTGGTATATGGGTTGAATTTATTAGTGCGTGAGATACATACAAATGTGCGCGTGTGTGTTTTTTCTGTGTATGCATGAGTGTGTATTTGCGTTTGAATATACGTGCACTTATATTTAATTTAAGAAATTAAGTTTCTTCATAGCTTAGCGTTAGTAGGGATTTTGCTACAGTCTTTTTACCTTGCATTGATTTTTTTTTGTACAAGGATGGGCCAAGGTACATAGAAAACCTCTTAAAGAACGGAGCGTGTGGGACGGGACAAATTTTATCTTTTCTACGCGTCGTGATTTTGTATGACGTATGAAGGTGTTGTATCACAACTATTTGCTGTACATAAAGTTGTTTTGCAAATTGAGCACATTCCACGATTTGTATAGTTCATTTGTGGGGAATAAGATTGGTCGGGATGTAGCCACCTTTAGTATTGCTCTGTGAGCTATCTCTAGGTGCATTAAGATGCTTTTTTGCTGCCCCACCCAAGCAATGGATACCGTAATTGATAATAGACCAACAAAGTGCATAGTATACGTTTTGTATTATAAAATGACTAGCAATATGTTGAAGGGTTTTAGATACGTAAATCAATTTCCTAACACGAGCTGTTAGGATATTGATATGTTGTTTAAAGTTTAAGTTTTGGTCTAAAACTATACCAAGATATTTAATTTCTCCAACAGAGGCAATGGTCGGGCATTGGCATGGAGATTGAAAATGGGGGGAACAATAATGAGCTAATATAGAGATAGAAGGTTTTGGCTGCGAAACTGTGTTCAGCGAAAAGGTGATAAATTTAGTTTTCGGTGCGTTAAGTGTCAATGTATGTGAGAGAAGCCACTTTAAGGCAGAATCACAACCATGTTGTGCAATAACTTGTAGTTCCGACCACTAGTCTCATAAGTATGTGAGTGCAGTATCATCTGCCAAAACGACAACTTTCCCATTAGGTAAACTGAGATTGCAGATTGCAGTCGTTAATGAATATAAGAAACAAAGTAGGGGCCAAAATACTCCCTTGAGGGACGCAGTAGTATATTGGATGTTCATCGCTGCTGTGGGTGTCAATGGAAACAATTTGTGTGCGACCAGAGAGTTAGCATCTAAAGAGCTTGAGCAGAAGGCCCCTGACCCCAAATGTTCTAGTTTAAGTAAAAGAGTAGAAATAGGAATAATGTCAAAGGCCTTCGAAAGATCTAGAAAAATAGTAAGAACCTTCTTACGGGAGTTTAAGCTTTGCACAATGTAAGTTATTAAGTAACTTATAGCGAAACTTGTTGATTTTTGTTTTCGATAACTAAATTGTTGCGAGGACAGTAATTTGAAGTGTTCGAGTCTTTTATTACAACGTCGCTCCAGTATCTTAGACAAGGCGCTCAAGACTGCTATAGGACGGTAGTTAGTAAGTCACCAGGTTCATTTTTGAAAATGGGGTGAATTATAGCTTGCTTTGTTTGGTTGGATTGGATTGGTTGGTGGTCAAATGTTCAGCGATGTAAATTGGTTAGTGGTGGCGAAGTTAACTTTTTTGCTGGGTGTGGCTTTATTATACTCCTAATCTCTATTAAAGTAAGTTACTTTTAGTGAGAGTATTTGTAAATTCAACTGTTATCGATAAACATGATTTTTCTCTTTTTCAAGGTTGTCTTAAAACGTCACGTAAGTCGGACAGTTGTATGTTGACATCGACTGATTTAGAGAGGTTCATAAGTGAATCGTATAGCATCTGTTTGGTTTCCTGGGCTTTTTTTAGTACATTACGGATTTCTTTTCTATACATATAGCGATTATATGAGTCGCTAAATGGTCTAGGCGCGTATTTTGTATGCACAACAAGTTTTGGAACATATCTTCAATCTCCCATTTGAAATCGTATAAATTGTCTTTTGTTAGGTCATGTTCAGTCGACGGACATCGCCGCCCGCCGTTTATATTTTAATTGTGCAAGTCTCAGAACCTAGTCAACGTATAGTGGTTTAATATATAAAACTATTTTAAAACACGTAGGGCACGGAACACGTCCGTTCGCTCAAATTACGTGCTATTACATTTTTATATGTTTAGATATAGATAATACAACATTATAATCTTGTCCTAAAGACTAGTTACAAAAAAAAAAATGTTTTTTGTTAATTTACATGTTCAATTGCACATTTGAGTTCTGTTATGCAAAAGAATATATTCAGGTACAGCTTAACATTGAGGTTTTCTGCAATGTACTGAAAGATGATGCATGTACTGAAAGTTGCTAAAAGAAATATATTGAGTGGGCTTTATTTAATTTATAGTTAAAACAATGGTACAAGTTACCTTACAAATTTTTATTTCGCAATGTCTGCATGAAGCCCTGCTACTCTTAGCATATTCTATTTGAAAATCTTTAAGTGCAGATGCACTGGCGTCATCAGCATTTCTCTTAGTCGCCTTTCCTTTACCTTTCCCTTTAGCTGCTGGCATGACAATACCAGTGGAATTCTCTGTAATGATAAAGAATAAGAACTTATTTTATAAGTTGTAAACTAATCTTTACTAATATTATAGAGCTGAAGATTTTGTTTTGTCGAAAGCGCTAATCTCAGAAACGACTAGTTCGAATTCGAAAACTCTTTTAGTATTGGATAGCCCATTTATCGAGGAAGGCTATATGCTAAATAACATCACGCTACGACCGATAGGAGCCGAGCGCCAATAGGAGCCGGGCGCCAATGAAAAATGTTGAAAAAACGGGGCAAATTTATTCCTTTTGATAGACGTGCTTTACTATGGCACATTGTAGAACAAAACTTTTTTTTTACTTGTTTACAGCCCCCAATGTTGCAGGTGATTGTTTCTAAACAGGCGGTGAAAACGTCCTGCGTATTCACGATACATAAAGTCTGTAGGAAGTTTTCAGTTTTTTTTATTTAAGGGTGGAAACCGCCTCGAGCTTTCACCCCACCGCTGTACCCGAGTTTTGCCGACCGCCTCGAGATGACATCTTCGCCGATGCGACCGCGGTAAAACATTTGTCACTACAGGCCATAGAGCATATGACGGCCGATAGCGAGAGATCCTCTCCGATGACTGCTGTGGGGGTCTTGCGTCGCCCAAGCGAAACAATGCGCCAGCGTGTGCGGTTTCGAGTCCTCACTGCAGTCACAGTGGTGATAAGGCAGAATCAATTCCCTCCAAACGACCGAGTGCAGGTACTACCCGAAGCAGCCGTGGCCCGAAAGGACTTCCCTAAACCAGAATGAAAGGGTCCCGTACTGCCGCCCTACACACTCGACGATTGCTGGCTGGTGTGCCTTCACAGCAAAGCCAGCAAGTTGAGTTCAGCGAGCGGCCTCACGCCACTTGCGTACCTTTTCAGGCGGAGGCCGACCGCATGCAAGAAACTCAGCCGTCCGCTGATACACTTTAGCGAGCACTTCCGTCTCCAATCCCGGTAGGGTAGGTCGGGCCAACGCGCAGTCTGCCTCCGTACGACACGGTGTGGTGGCCGCGTATGGATATAATCACCAATACCTTCTGTGGGACCCAGAGGCACGCCCTATTCGGAGCAAGCAGAGCCACCGCCTACGGCGGTTCACCGTACAGTTCCATTGACTGGACAAAAGCTGTCGGAAGTGCTCGACCGTAAGGGATTAAGTATCTGCCACTGGCCGCCGCAGGTACTCTGGCACCCTATGATAGCGAATGCTTTGGCGATATCCATGCACCAACGCTTCGTCCCGGCTCACTGGTTCTTAGGTCAACTGTTCGGATTTACCTCAACTTACCAGCAGTGAGCCATGTTACACTGACCCAAGGATTAAAAGAATACTTAATACGATGACCAGCTAACCCAAAAAATAAATAAATTATAGTTTAAAAAAAAAACACGCGTTTGTAGCTTGCTGAACGAAAAAGTAGGAAATAATTTTGTGTGAGTTCAAAAAAATTTGAAGTAAAACGATAAAGGGACCTATTATAGAGGGTAAATAAATTATCATCTATGCCAGTATCCAGGTCCCAAACTAATTTATTGATTGAAAATACAAACCCCAACACAGAAATTCTGTATACTGAGTTCGAATAATACTAACAAAATACTTACAAATGCTGAAAACAATGAATTGAAAAATTGAAAATGTACACTCAAATGGGTCACTACCTCAATGCAGCGTTCAAGAACTCGTGAAAGGAATCGAACATAAACTTTAAGACTTCACATTAGTTGGCTTTTGTATAATTTTAATTGGTGAAACAGCTTTCAATACGACTAAGGACTACATTACTTTGGTATACTAAGTATATGATTTAATTGAACAATATTAAAAAGTATTAATAACCTTTAAAAATGGAACTCTTTGGCTGAAGCTTTCATGTAGCTATCATTTGTTTATCCTTTGTGACGTCATTTTGAAAATTGCGTGTCTTTATCACTATGGATTTAACTCGGCGAGGGCTAACTCAAAAAAAGTGCATAGATCAACTCACTTCGACTTTTAGGGACGAAGCCCCATCAAAAACAACTGTGTATCTGGTTACTGGTTTAGTGAATTTAATCGAGGGCGGTCTGTGCTCACGGACGAATTAAATCGGTTGTTGTACCTCAAAATATTGATGCTGTGCTTGAGAATTAACCAAAAACGGGTTCGGGTGTAAAAAAATGTTTCAAAAGTACAATCAGGATGCGTCAAAAGCTGTATATAATATCTACACAGGTGATATAAACTATATAAACATGCTCTACTAACAGCGTATCACGGTATGGCAGGATCAATCTTAAGATTTGGCATTATATTTTGTGAGAACTCGTCTTTAAATCTTAAAAAAGAGTAATAAAAGCGATGTTTGGACTACAAACACTTGACAGCTGTAGACCATTTTTTAAAGACAACAGTATCTTGACTGTTCCGGCAACTTATACAGGGTTACAAGAAAAGTCGTGCTAGATCCGTTAAGGGCGTGGAGTACCCATCATTTCTGACATATTTCACTATGAAACACCCTACCCTAAACTTAACCCTTTTCGAGATAATCGTCTTTTAATTTTTTTATTGAAATTTGCTGATTTTTAGGCTACTACATTTATTTTTGTTTATTTTGTGTATCTTATTATTATTATTTTTGCATTTTTACATGTGTAATAAGATGCTTTAGGACGTCAGTCATTAAAATAGTTCATAAGTTAATTGAATAGATCGTAGTAGACAAGGGAAAGTAAAGAAAAAAAAAAATATTAGAAAATTATTTTTCTCTAACGGATATCTAAAAACAATATTATGGTAATTGTTCGGCAGATGTTTTTTAAAATATCTACGTTTCATCACCTATCTAACGAGGTATAATAATCTAAGGTTTAATCAAATGCATTGAAAAAACTTTAGTTTCATAGGCGACAGTGGAGAAGAAAATTTATACCTAGCCTTTGGGCTAAAAAGTAAAATAAAACAATAGTTAAGCATGAAATGTCATTTATTAAAGGTTTTCACACAACTTTTTCTTATTCTACAGTTCATGTTCAACATGGCCGCCTCTATTTCTGATACATTGTCGCATCCCTCTACGGAGACCAGTCTTCACTACTCCGGTGGTCAACGTGGTCCTCATTTTATTTGCTACATCCACAATCCTTTCTCGTAAGTCTTCCACAGACGAAACTGGATTCGGCTCGCTGTACACAAGACTTTTCATGCACCCCCACACATGAAAATCCATGGGGGTTAGGTCCGGACTTCTTGCTGGCCATGGCAACGGCCCACCTCGTCCTATCCATTTGTTTGGATAATTTGTGTCCAGCCAGTCCCTGACACTTCTCCTGAAATGGGCAGGGCAGCCATCGTGTTGGAACCACATGTCCCTGATCAGGTTGAGTGGCAGATCATCCAGCAAATCGCTCAAGTCTGCTCTCAGGAAATTTTCGTAGCTTTCCCCATTTAGATTATCCGGGAGAAAGTAAGGTCCAATCAAATGATTGGAGATAATGCCCATCCACACATTCACGCTGAATCTTCGTTGGGACCCCTTCACTTTTTCTTATTGGGATTCCTTAGTTCTTTTGGGGCCCAGTAATGGGCGTTGTGATAGTTAGTTATGCCATCTTTATCAAATTTGGACTCATCCGTCCACAAGATATTTCTTAGAAAATCTGGGTCTTCTACGTCAGCATTTAGCATAAATCTGCAAAAGTCCAATCTTCTCGCGGGGTCTCCTTCTTCAATAACGTGTACCGGCGTGTAATGGTACGGGTATAGGCCAGCAGTATGCACTGTAAACCACACTCTCCATTGCGAAAGTCCCAGATCACGGGCAACAATATTAGTGGAAGTAGTCGGATCCGCTCGAAAGCGTTGCACTATCTCATTGTCCTGTTCTTCGTCGTCAATTCGTGGTCTTCCCATGTCTGTATTTCGTCTCAAAACAGAGCCAGTTTCTCGAAGTCTTCGATAAACTCTGTCAAAAACGGCCACATCCGGCACTCGACGACCAGGGTAGCGAGTTATGTATTCGTTGCGAGCTTGCGCAGACACAATCGCAGTATCCGTAACAAATAAGCATATCAGCATATTCCTCAGGTGTGTAGGACGTCATCTTCAACACTTCCATATCACAGGTACAAATCAGAGTCCGGTTAACAAGCACAGTAGTCACAAATCAGAAGAAATAGTCCAGAATCACAGCCAAGTCGAGAAAAAGAGCAAAACGATATCACATCTACTATGTACGAAGCACAAAAGCAGACTGACAACTAGTGACAACCAAACAATGCCCCCTGTTGTATTCCCAGCCCTAACCGGTCTCTACACATTTTTTCTTTCATTCGCACCTACATAAATCGTCACTTGTCTCGCTCGCTTGGTGCGTCTTAACTTGAAGGACAATAGGCGCGGGACCGTTAGAACTGTTACCTGGAGCGTCCCAACTACTTTTTTCCACGAAATGTAATACAAACCCTAGATTGTTATACCTCGTTAGATAGCTGATGAAACGTAGATATTTTAAAAAACATCTGCCGAACAATTACCATAATATTGTTTTTAGATATCCGTTAGAGAAAAATAATTTTCTAATTTTTTTTTTATTTCTTTACTGTCACTTGTCTACTACGATCTATTCAATAAACTTATGAACTATTTTAATGACTGACGTCCTAAAGCATCTTATTACACATGTAAAAATGCAAAAATAATAATAATAAGATACACAAAATAAACAAAAATAAATGTAGTAGCCTAAAAATCAGCAAATTTCAATAAAAAAATTAAAAGACGATTATCTCGAAAAGGGTTAAGTTTAGGGTAGGGTGTTTCATAGTGAAATATGTCAGAAATGATGGGTACTCCACGCCCTTAACGGATCTAGCACGACTTTTCTTGTAACCCTGTATATTTGAAACAGAAGTTTTCGTTAAGTCTAATCCTAACATATTTAAACGTCATCGACACAACGACACGGAACAGACGAGATAATGATATAGTAATGGTTATGCATGCGAAATGTTCAAACTGCCCTAATGAGCAAGAGTATTTTTTGCATGGCACCTAGAATTTACAACAGAATACCTGGGGCCATAAGAGAACTCTATCTCATCATCAACAGCCTTTAATAGTCCACTGCTGGACATAGGCCTCTCCTTAGGAAGGAGGTTTTGGCCTACTATACCTATACCACGCTGGCCAGACGGATTGGTATAGGGTTTGTCTCAAGTTTTCCTTCTTTATGCAGTGCTAGTGTCCTGCGTTGTTTTACGCCCTTAGTCGGCTCTTACGACACCCACGGGATGAATTGGGGTAGTGACATTCCGTATTCTTAATCCGTCACCACACGGACAGAACTCTATCTACATTTATTTAAAGTTCATTTTTCAAAATATCTCATTAATAAATGTTTTTACACTTGATTGATGAGTATTTGAATTACCGTGATTATAATGTACTTTGACAGTGACATTTCCATACTATCAATAATTTAGCTTAATACCTTTATTTGACCACTTAATACTTGCATTTATAATTTCCTGATATTTAACTAACAAATCTGATTGTTATTAATCTATGTATCGCATGTTCTGTTAGGTATCAGCTTCTGATGAAAAGTTTTGCACGCCTACCAGGCAGTATATAACGAACTTTATACCATTGTTAATATGAATTGTCCAACCCTGTACTCATATTGATGCAAATAAAGGATTATTATTATTATTAAAAGAAAAATCATTTTATTAAACAAGTGTGGTGTGTTTTTCAAAATATTTATAGTTATTACTCGACCAAGCGAACCAGACGACTGTAAAACGGGTGTCATTGACTTCGGGTACGGATAGCAAAAGAATCCGAATGATCGATAGGTGTTATTTTTTCCTATATAAAATTACTCAAAGTATTAAGCGCGCGTATTAAGTATTACGCTTTGTTTATTATTAGTTCAACTAATGTTCCAAGTGAGCGCTAATCTTTATAAGCATTTGGTTTAAATAATTAGAATGTTACACAAGAAAATATTTTTTAAAAAATTAGTTATTTGCGTTATCTACAGATATTTAATTATTACGGGTCTGGGTGCTTCTATGTATTATAATAAAGTATATATCTATAAATAAAAAGTATATAAGTATGTTTATCCGTTGTCTAGTAACCATAGTACAAGGTCAGGTCAGGTCAGTAGTTTGGGATTAGATGGTGCAGTGTTTATCATCATTATCAGAGCGTAGTGTTGTCTACAAAAATGTGAATAATATACAAATACGTCATAGGACAGGGTGAGGCCTGCTGAAATTCAGGACTCTTAATATTTTTTCTCACTGTCATCTATGTATTGTTTCATTTTTCCCCATTTTCCACACAACAAAATACTATCAGTTTTAATAAGTAACTAAAATAAAACTTAACAACATACGAATGAAAGCTAAGAGAAAAAAATCAAACACGTGCTAGCGGTAGCAACCTTGCGGACGGTACTAAGACGATCGCGGTACCTGCAGCGAGGTGCGGGCAGGGAGGCCGCATTCCACGTGTTGGTCTTTAAGACTTGGTCTAGTAGTATTACAACTTTATTTTTATATTTTGTCAGTAAAAATATTTTTACAACAATTGAGATCTAGCACCCCACGCCGTTTCGTTTTCGTTTCTTTTTGAACTTATAAAAAAATATTTCCTACTTTTAAGTTCGGCTAGCTGCAAAAGCGTGTTTTATAGTTTTTTTAAACTTATTTATTTTTCCTTTTTTAGTTATAAATTTTGATTATTATGTTATTAAGACAAAAAGTAGCAAGTAAGTTTATCACATATGCTTCAGCACACACCTCAGTACATGGCAAAAGACACTACCATATTTTTAAGTATGGAAAAACCCGTTTATCCTGATCAGGACCTTATCGGGATAATGGGACAAACTATTTAAATTATTATTAGTCAAAATCACTTAATAAGATTCTGTTACATACATACATACCAAGCTAATAAAAGCGTTTTGAAAACAATAAAATACAAAAATATTTTTACCCATGGTTTGTTTGATTCTCTTTTGATCATCATGTTTAAGTTTATTAAAGTTAGCAATATCAGCAACAGTAGTGGGGCGCTGTTTCTTAAAAAAGCATTCTTCATGATGCCAGTTTGGCTGCTTGCCATCAAAGAATGCAGACTGAAAAAATATAAATTATTGGTAATATGAACAACCCTGGTAGACTTTATAGGGAAACTCAGAGTCTAGAAACTAGGGCTGTGTTCTCTTGTGGATTAGATCACAATAGAGAAAATAAAGAATGCAGTAAAATTTTGGTAACAACAAGATTAATAATTACAAAAAAAAAATTTGAAAACCAGGTGGCTGATGAAGAAAAAAGATCTCAAGGGGCTATAGACACTGGTCTACAACCTCTTTTAGGTGCATCATAACATTTCCAGTAATGAGATGGAAAAACAAACTTTTAAAGGCTAAAGATCACTAATCACCTTGGAAAGATCCAAATTTGGAATCCATAATAGCGTATTATCCATAATATATAAATAACATAATGAAAACCATGAATAAATACTTGGAATGAGGACAATGAGCGCCTATAAAAATAATGTACTTCAAAGGGAATAGATACCCTACTGAAAGTCTCTATCAGATTAGTAGCCTGCTCTCTGTTACAACATTTTATATTATTAAACACATTTTAAACAAACACAAGACATTTTCATATTATTCAGGTGTTATGCTAGGAAGGCATAGAGATATTATTGTAGAAGTACCAGTTACTGAAACTAAATGTGATAAAAGACAATACACTAAATGTGCTGCCAAATTATATAATACAATAAACAAAGAAATACATATATATAATAAATATTGGAATGAATGTAAGAAACTTGTAATGGCTTGGCTAAAACCACTGACCTATGAAGTTACTAAAACATACTTATAAGACATTAACTAACCCACACCCATAAATACACACACACACACATTAACACAACACACACATGCATACAGAACACACACACGCATACACAACACACACGCGTACACAACACACACGCATAGACAACACACACGCATACACAACACACACGCATACACAACTCACACGCATACACAACACACACGCATACACAACACACATGCATACACAACACACACGCATACACAACACACACGCATACACAACACACACGCATACACAACACACACGCATACACAACACACACGCATACACAACACACACGCATACACAACACACACGCATACACAACACACACGCATACACAACACACACGCATACACAACACAGCTCATAGACACATAAATATCATTTACATATAGTTTTGGAAGAGCAGAGTGTCATAACACATGCATTGCTTGCTTAAAAGGAGGCTCCAATCACAAATTAATGCTAAAGGTGTTATTTTATGGAAAATAAAGATATTTGTATACTTAATGAGTGAATGATCTCCCATTCCCTCTCATTCTATGTTTACTATATAAAATAAATTTTGGTGAGTAAATATAAATATATCCCAATGAGCAAATTGTTATATGAGGGGTAACATCAGTCATCATAGTTGGTTACTAGCCATCATCAATGTCTTCGACAAACATCACTAGCCTCAACATTTATCATTGTCCACATTCACTTTCACAAACCCCTTTTTTATTAGTGGTGCTTAATTTTAAAATACATAATTAATCAGAATGATACATAGTATAAACAATTTATTCAAGCCCATTATTTTCCCAACAATTTATAATTCAAAACTATTTGAGTTAACGTTAACGTTTTGAGTAAATTAACACTTTAATCATAATAAGACGTTTTAACACTTAACACAAAAAATGTTTATTATGGTATGTTATAGGCGATATGACGTATTAAAAAAGATGTTTTAACTTGAATTTACGTAGCCTTGTTATCGCAATTATAAGAGTGCCCAGGACCATCCAGAAGGTCAACCAAAACAAATAAAGCATGTTCAACCGACCTGCACCATTATCGCTAAACGAAGGGCTCCTTGATCAATTTTCTGCTTACAACCCTTACAACCAGCTCGTCCAGTTTTGGCATATTCAGCTTGATACGGTAATTCCGTCATTTTATTTGAATATGCCAAAACACTGAATTGTAGGTGAGTAATGAAGGATTACTATTAAGAGTGAATATTACTTTGATTTAATGAAAATGCAAAAATTCAGGCAACTTCAACCGCAATACCGCGAATCTCACCGGTAAGAGAAGAGACAGTTGATGTCATGTCATAGATAATACACTATGGTTGATGTTAATAGGGATAGGCAAAAAGTATCAAGTACTATCATCAGTACCATGTACCATCATACCAGTACAGTATCATGATACTATCAACACCTCAATACAATACTTTTGAATTCAATACTTGGTTTCAATACTTTTGAATTGATACCAAGTTCTTTCGGAATCGATGCTTTTGTTTCAACACTTTTGAATTTTCGATACTTTGGAAAAGTATTCATAATTTCCATCTCCCCATTTCTAATAAATTATAAGCTTAAGAATTGAAATGAAAAAAAAACGTGGTGTGGTTTTATCAAACCATGATGTAAGTAAACCTTTTCTTCGGATCGGTTAGCTGATGGGAGCGCCACCGTATTGGCTTATGCCGCTCAGCCGGCTGTAATGGGACATGCGATAGAAGGACCTTTACGGGTTGAATAATCAGTGTAGTGCTTTTTGTCTTTTAAATTATTTCACTTATTCAGTTTTCTCAAAATAGCAGCCCTTAATGGTATTTTTACAGTATTTGCACAGCATCTTTCAGGTTCTTAGTTTTAGGGAAATAGTTCTCAAGTTTATTCCTGAAACAACAAGTAGCAACACTAAGTCACCAAAGAATGTGAGTTGTAGAGAAGGTGCCTACCGTACAAAAATTATTCTTTCGCTTTCGTCTCGTCTTACTGTGAAGAGACTAAATATCGTCCTACAACTTATCTATGGCTGTCGTTACTATAGTTACGTTTGGCTGTTTAGAAGTTACTCAACTGTTTTTTCCTTGCATACATACATAACGTATTCTTTAAATAATACATTACTGTATTTTAACTACAATAAAACCGTTTCTAACTGCTTTAACCAAGTTGTCATATTATTTCCTTGTCTATATTTAAAAGTGGTTCCACATTATAAAAGTTAACACTTACTCGAAATAAAAATTTATAATTTATTACTCGTACTTACATTTAAACTTAAATTAATCTTAAGAAGATGAAGGCATCTTGCAACCATCGAATTGTGGAAGAATTTAAAAGAAATTAAAACGAGTTTTTTTTTTCAAAATACTGAAAACAAGTAGGTGCGGTCAATGTTTCCTTTCAGCCAAACTTAGCAACACAAAAAACACGTCATTCACGCTTTTTATAAATGATTTAAAAGTACTCGATTCCTTCAGGTCTCGATACTTTTGTTTTAATAATTTTTGGTTTCGGTTCTTTTGATGCGATATTAGTATCGATACTTTTGAAATTTTGCGTATCCCTAAATTTTAATGACAGTTTCTTGAAAATAGTGACAATTAGGCATGGGATAAAACCTGTTATTTATCATATGATTTTGAAATCATTTCATGACACCTGTGACACATCTAAAACATCACTGCGACTTATTATTATTATTACGCTAGCGCCAGACAGGCGAAATGTCTGAATTCTAAAAAAAAATTGGCACTCCTGGTGTGAAAACTAAAAACCTGATAATTAAAAAAGGAATTTTTCAGTTTTTTTTTGTTTCTAAAAGTTCCAACAGGAATAAATATCTATGTTTTATACGTATAACATTATGTATGTTTATTTTTATTTGATTTATTATTATGTGTGTTCTTATTTTCAGTGTATTTAAATTCTTACTTAATTCTCGTGTAAACAGGGCCAATATATGCAGATACTTTTATACACAGGTGTCGGTAACGGTAACAGTGTCTCGAGTTCAATGGTTTTTTTTTCATCTCAATAAATACATTATTTTGTTTGTTGTTCTAAAATGCTCAACGCGCCAAAAGCTTAACTACAAAAAAAGGTCGGTTTGGTTGATTTTGATGGCAATAATCTTCTATTAATCTATAACCAAATCTAAATAAAGATTTATCTCAGATGAAATCACAGTAACCAAAACTAATCATTTCATCAAAACAATATGATTTAAAAGTAGCAATAAGTTCCATGTCTAGTGACAAGTGGCAAATAAAACAATTAAAGGAGTTGTCCACTTTTTCGTATGAACGTTGGTTTTTATTCCGAGTAAAATTGATTAGCTTAAATCACACTGATATATAAGGTACCTAAAATTAGAAATTATTTATAAAACAATTTTTAAATCCTGAATTTAAGAGGAAAAATTCTTCTAAAATTCATTTTGTTAAAGTAGATTTTTTTTATTGGAGGATGACAATACTAACTTTTTTTAGAATATTGTTTTTTCACAGGTAGGTAGGTAACGCCTGTAGTCTATCTATTCCTCCTAATATTTATAGATATCTCAATTCTTCCATAGCATACTCAAAATAAATATAAAAATCTCAATGTCAGAGACAATTGTCATACTTGTCGTTTTATGTTTTGTCTGGCATTGGTAGCAAATGTTTTGTTCAAATTCGGTTCAAAGTCATAATCGAAATTTTCTCGAATATGCAGTTTTTTTTATCAATTACAATATTAGTTCATAGGAAGTCTATCTATAAATATTTGGCTCGTTGCAACTGGAATATTTAAGAATAAAAAAACAATTCCTGAACAAGTTCCGTGATCTTTACATTTTTCTTTTTATTCATGATGGTAATGCTGGATAAACCCTACGAGATAGATCAAAATAATATACTATATAATTGTATACCTTAAAAATATCTACAAAAAATCCACGTTCGTATAAATGTTCTCCTTATACATATAAAAAAATATGGGCTATTCACGAAGCTATTTTGAACAGTACTGTATTATTCCTTATCTAAATAAATATGTTATTTAGGTACGTTATGCATTTCATGTAGAACAAAACTGTCGTTTACAAAATATCATTGAAATTAACTTCTTAGTAGATATGAGAGATTTAAGCAGTAGCAGCGTCCGGCAGGAGCGGAGTGGGATTATAAATATTACATTTAAAGATGTAGTATAGTCTTATCATAATAATATTATGATTACTCCACACTGACACCACATTAGTAGTATTAGTAGTATCTACATTGCACCCGTGATAAGCCGAGGCGGATCGCTAATAATGTTATAAATTTTAATCTTTACTAATATTATAAAGAAGTAAAGTTTGTGAGTATGTATGTTCGGGGTAATAACGGTAGCTATTGTTAAAATTGAAAAAATATTTTAATGGTTGAAAAAATATTTGGATGGCTCTTTTATCGAGGAAGGATATATGCTATATAAGCTACTAAACATCATGCTACAGCCAATATCATCCGAGTCTCAATGAAAAATATTGTGAAAAAGAAAAAAATATTCGTTTTGAGAGAAGCAGATGAAGTTGCAAGGGTCCGCTAATTAAAAAGGTTTTGAAAAAAGAAAAAACTGTCTATTTGTGTATGTTTTTTGTAATAATGGAAATATTTTACAGATTAATTATAACATGTTGTAACTGATAACTTTATCTTATTTCATTCGTTTATTCAGGACGCATGAAAAATAAACTTGTTGTAAATGTTGGGTTTCGGTTACGATTTCGGCCGAAACTGAAACAAGGCCGAAAGTTCGGTTTCGGTTTTGGCGGTTTTGGTTTTTAAAATAGGTGGGTGTACCGATTTTTCTATTGCTTTTCTAAAACTAGCGTTGGCAGCACTGGTTAAAATACAATACAAGAAAAAAAAAGTAATGTCATGCGCAGACAGTTACGACAGTATAGATCGAACTTATCGAACAGCAGAAATGGCTGTAATCGCACATCAGTATCAATAATGTACATGAAGTGATAAAACACTCAACTTTTATACAGTATTCAGATCTATCTTTGTCTGAAACGATTATACAAAAAAAAACCTGTCGGTATATGTAATTCCGTAAATCTTTAAAAATGGGTAATAGAAAGCAGAACTTGAAAAAGTCCTTAGGGCTATCTGAATATCCCTGGAGTTCAGGTACGTTAAGTCTGAGTAATGTTCTCTAATGATTAAAATAATGCTAGCAAATAAAGACAATTCAAAATATGTAAATTTTAAAAACTTTATTTTAATTGTCTTGTGTGCATGGTGCTTTTATTGTCCTTTTTTTTACTGAAGGGAGCCATTACCATCTGTGTATGTAAAAGACAAATAGTTTTATCATTATCATTTTATTTTTCAATATCAGCCGAGAATTTTGCTTTTAGTATAGTTTTAATTGAGCAGTGACATTTATAACAATAAGTATCCACAACTTGAATATGGTGTGATGATCTCTTCAGAGAAACTGAAGTTTAACTGTTGAGAACTGCCCAAATATTTCCTGATGGATAGTATGTTTGACATCTGTTGAACATGCCACGGTGCTGATGAATCCTTTAGGCTTATTGGCTTTGTCGTGTTCCCACAAATAATTTGTGTGAACACCACAATAATTTTTTCTGTGTCTGGGTATAATTTCTTAACAATAATGTATGTATTTAAGAATATTTAAGTATATTTATTAGCAGTCTAGTTACCATAGTACAAGCTCTGCCTAGTTTGGTATCAGATGGCCATGTGTGAGATATGTGAGGTCATTAGTATATTATTTCTGGTGGTTTTCATCTCAATTCATTTAAGTTAAGTGAATACTTGCACTATAACAATCAAATGGACAGGATTAACAGGTTGACCTTAAATACGTCTTGAATTTAGAGGTACAATACTAAAGGTTTGCGCCTAACCTAGTTGATTTTCCTGATAAAAATCTCATGAAAGTTAAAAAGGAATAACAATAAAATTATTTCCATTTATCTAACAACACTGTTTATATGTTCTATTTGGATTCAGTGATCATTGTTTCGAGAGTCAAATCTGCTTATGGATGGATAGCAAAGAAAGTATCAAAGAAATGCAATGAGGATTAAAAAATGAGGGTGGGTCTAGGAGGGTGAAAAATACTGTACAACCGGAGAACTGTGCCCAGGTGTCCAGATGAGATATATTTCTTTGTCGTGTAGTACTAGTAGAACTCATGGCACTGTGGAAAACTACATCCCTAAAGACCATGCTTAACAAGTACTTTGACTTAACCAATGCAATAATTAAAAATAGTTATTTCATTGCATTGTATGGTAGTGGGTGCAAGTGGTATACCAGATAATTCCCTCTATAGTCTATAACCTACTCAAAAAACCTTAGATTGCCAAGAATTTTAGTAAGCTTGAATTGAACAAATATCCGAAGCAGCATTGCTAGGCTCATCTCAAATATCGTTAGGTAGGGTGGTTAACGCAGCAGACAAGTGAGTGCTGACCCATCGTAAGGAGTAATCCCTAAACCTACTCCTGGGTCATAATTCCCAGGCACTGTCGAAGTCGGACCCGGCACCCGCGCAGTGAATCCATGCTAAGAAATAGGTCTAGTGATGCGCAACTTGTATCACTGAGCTAAAGATATGGATAATAATAATATACCTCATACATCTCACACACGGCTGTCTAATCCCAAACTAGGCAGAGCCTGTACTATGGTAACCAGACTGCTGATAAACATACTTATATATTTCTAAATATATATATATTATACATATTACACCTAGACACAGAACAAATGACTGTACTAATCACACAATTTTTGTCCTGGGTGGAAATCAAACCCACAACCTCCGGCTTAATATTCAGGGTCACTAACCACTAGACCAACCGGCCGGTCAATACATATTTTGCTATATATCACTTATTTAACTCACTAGCTTATTGATTCAATTCAATGGATTGGTCTCTCAACTGATTAAACTTTTTTTTAAATACAATTATTAATTCATTTTCATTCAACAATTTTGATTAGTGGTTTAACGGTCGCCACGCCGCTTACTACTACGCTTAGTTTTGTGGGTCCGATCCCCACATGAGAACACTTTGTGTAATCCACAAATTTTTGTACTGAGTCTGGGTGTTCTTTGTGTCCGTTTCATGAATGTTTGTAAAGTCCCCTGCAACACAATCTCTTCAAATCTTGGCTTAGCACCCGTCCTACTGTAGTTATTTTAGTGTTAAAAATGTAAATTTCATGTGATTTTTAGATATTATTTAAGGTCTTGCTAGCTTGCCAAAAAAACGAAATCAGTAGATAATTTGATGATGCAGTGGAATTATAATTATACACACAAGAAGAACATTTCAAAGATTTACATGACCTTAATAATGCAGGGCACACTATTAATAAACATAGAATGAATTAATAAACATAAGAAAAGAAATGTATAACTTTTATGCACGAATGGCAGTTTTTTTTTTATAACATGTTCATGTCATAAAAAAAAACTGCCATTCTCAGCCATACCATTTATCTGATAAACATTAAATTTTGCATACATAGTAAAAAAGATACAGCAAAGCACATAGCGTGGGTATCTGTCCTCCAAAACAAATATTGCCAAGGGATGAAAAAATACTTTTATATTTATATAATTATATTTGGGCATACAACTTAGCTACCAGAACTGCCCAGTAATTTATTTATATAAACCAAAAAAACGTAACAGGCCGAAAGAACATAAATAGGATAGCTACAAAATTCTACCGCAATCTATATTCCAACCAAGACACCACTACACATGTAAGTCGAGAAACCCTGAATTATAATCTGCTCTTAGTAAACCCTGAACCTGACATATTACCCAGTGAAACTAGGAAAGCCATACTAAGCCAAAAGTTAGACAAAGCTCCAGGTCCAGATAAAATCACAAACAAGCTACTGAGAGGAACCGTAGAATAACTGGTCCCACTTTTAACTAAAATCTTCAACTGAATCCTGAGATCGGGACAGATTCCAGAACAATGGGAGACATCCCACATCATTCTCATACATAAGAAAGGACAAAAAGACGACATAGGGAACTACAGACCAATAAATCTAATGTCTAACATATATAAAATTTTCTCCAAAATTATTTTAAGCCGAATAAGCAACATACTTGATGAAAACCAACCATAGGAGCAAGCTGGCATTAGGAAAAACTTCTCCACGATAGATCACATTCACATAATCAAGCAAATTATGGAAAAATACAAGGAGTACAACAAATCGTCATATATGGCTTTTATTGATTATTCTAAGGCATTTGACAGCATTAGCCACACAGCCATATGGGAAAGCTTCCAAAACCAGGGAATCCCGACAGTGTACATACACACCATTAAAAACATTTACTGCAACGGTAAGGCAAGAGTACAACTGGAAACCTTGGGTGAGACATTCCAAGTAAAAAGAGGCGTCAGACAGGGCGACCCGATGTCCCCAAAGCTGTTCTCGGCGGTGCTGGAAAACATATTTCGAAAGCTAATCTGGGACCAACATGGACTAAATATAGATGGTCAAAAATTAAACCATCTTAGATTCGCTGACGAAATTGTTTGAAGAACAGCCAGGGATCCTAGAAGAAATGATACAAGATCTAAATAAGGAGCGTGAGAAAGTGGGCTTACTTATGAATATAAACAAAACAAAGCTATTAACGAATTCAAACAAATATGAAGTAAAAATTAACACCAACCTGTTGAATATGTAGATGAATATATCTATTTAGGACAAATCATCTCACATACAGACACAACTACAAAAGAAATCAAAAGACGAATAGCTAACGGATGGAAAAGATACTGGTCACTGAAAGAGATCATGAAATCCACAGATCTCAGTATAGGTATCAAAAGGAAGGTCTTCAATACTTGCGTTCTCCCATGTATTACATATGGGTGTGAAACCTGGGCTCTTACAAAACATCACAGAAACATGCTGGAACACTGCCAAAGAGCTATGGAACGAAGTATGATAGGTATTAAGAAACAAAATAAGATACGAAACACCGTCATAAGAAGTAAGACAAAAGTCACAGACGTACTTACTAGAATAGATAGTTTAAGGTGGAGATGGACTGGGCACATGCTGCGCGGTACACAAGAGAAGTGGAGCAACATCATAACAGACTGGTACCCTAGAGATGGGAGAAGGAACAGAGGAGGACAAAGCAAGAGATGGGAGGATGAACTAAAACTGGCGAAAGAAAAGAAGAAAGTAGTTCAGGATAGGAGGCTTATTATTATTATTAATAATTTATTTAATAGTATTAAAATATTTGTTGTGCTGTCTGTGTGGTGATGGATTAGGAATACGAAGGGTCACCACCCCTATTGATTAACGTTAGGGCAAACTACACAGGGCAACAGCACTGTAAACAGAAGGAAAACTTGAAACAATACAACCAGACGGGTTGGTATTGTTTCAAGTTTTCCTTGTAATATTCTTAAAAAAAAATCTTGAATAAAGTTTTTGTATTAAACTTTATTCAAGACTTTCAATTTAATATCTTGAATACTTATGTTTTAGTCAAGTATTTACATCTAAAAACACATTTTTAAATAAGCTAAGGAATCCATAAAATATAACAACTGAAACTATTTTAATTTTGTATAGATATTAGTACCTCTTGTAATGGCTACTACAGGCACTGCTTTGAATATTTAATTCTGCTCTGAACTTTTTGGAAGTTCTGATTTTAATTGTTTTATATCCAGATGATGATGATGATGGACCGCGCCAGTCCAATGAAGAAATATTGCCAGCAACGAACAGGGAACCTCGCCCTAGTGTGGCAGACCAGCCTGGAACAAGTGGTATGTACAGCAAGTTTATTTTACCAGGCTGTATGAAAAACAAACAACACAAAGTAAAATATCTTAAAAGTAGCTTGACTTCCCTGTCTTTGCTTATTTCATTTCCATTAATTAACCAAATAAACTGTGAGAAAAATCCTTTCTGCAATTGATCAAATTGGACTTACTGTATCATAAATTCAATAGTGTAATGCTATGAATTTGTGTAGATAGTAGTTATATTACCTAAGTGTTGTACTACTAGATTTCAAAACAAAAGTTGTATTTATGCTTCCAGGTTTAGCACAACCACAATCAGAACAAGCTACACCTAGAACATCAAGAAGAATACAAGCTAACTTGGACAGGGATATGTTCTGGTCAATCATAAACAACACTCCAAGACCTACCATCAATAATTACAACACTCGGTAATTGGTCATTTAAACCTTAGTGCAGGCTACAAATAACTAATAAAAGTTTAAATGTTGGGGCTTTCTTGGTAACATTGCAGCTGTTTAATTTGACGGGTAAATAAATTATGGTGACTGTTTTGTTTCCCGCTTTATATAAGTGTCACTCATCTCTATCTGTCTACCTACTTTAACTTTAGGGTGTTTGATTAATTTTAGAAGGTGCACAAATATCAAAGGCCAACAACAATACAAGACTAAAACATAAGAGAACAAGTCATAATAAGATGCTTGGCAACACTGTCACCGTGCATGGATAGATCCTGGTTTTTTCCCCTCTAATTTGAAATGACACTGTAAAACATTAAGCATGGTAATACCTAAAGAAACGAAAAGAACAGCTTACTCTGAGAATCTCCGTGTGCAGGGAGCCTTGCACCTTTCAATGTGTAAATAAAGTTAACTCAGCTATTATAAGAGTTGTAGAATACTTTACATGGCAAAAATGTTCTTAAGACAAAGATACTACTTAAATAATGATCTGCTTCTATCCAGTTACTTTTTTTAAAGACCACTACCGCATTAGGAAAATATCATGTGTCGCGGGGGACTTTATAAATGTCCCCCGCGACACATGATATTTGGGTGTTCTTTGTGTTTGTTACATGCATGCATGTGCATGTAACAGATACAAAGAACACCCAGGCTCAGAACAACAATTTTTGGAACACACAAATTATCGTCTCATGTGGGGATTGAACCCACAACACTCATCGTAACAGGAAGCGACCGCTTAAACCACTACACCATCCGTGCAGTTACTGTTTAGTGTAAGCAGGTGTGACGATAGATTCAAAGCTCTTTTACCGAATATAATATCTCCGTTATGAATATGTTATATATCAATGTTAATTGGATAAGGAAACGCGCTATTCAAGTCCCTGTTTTTAATCTAAGTGACAGGTCGAGTGCGCTCTCTCTCGCCCACTTCTTTTGACAACGCTCACTTCGCTCACTTTATCTCAATCTCACAATGTAATTATGTTTAGATTGACCAATTTAATTGAAATATACCTATCTTATAATTTCATTATTTTGTTGCACAAGCAGTTCGAGAATAAACGATCCATCTTTGGCCTCTACCTCAAGATCTGGACCGAGTCAAGCCCAGCCACCTCCAAGACCCAACATAGAGGTGCGCCTTCCAGATCAGCGCGCTATTACCAATAGGCGCCGTCATATCATCGAAGACGTGCACCGCATTCTCGCATTCAAGAAATTGACACGCACCCTACACAACTTAGCGCAGAATAGAGCTAATATCAGTTCGGCAAACTTCAGCAATCGTCCTTCTTTGTCACATTCGTCACCACGGGGTAATTACCTAGATACCTCTCTTATGACTTCATTACATCTGCTATAGTAATAGTATAATAATATATCGATTTGCAATCATCTATTCTAATACGAATTTGTAATCATAATAAACGTTCATATCATGAATATTTTTTATCTATCTTAACTTCAAAAACTAAGTCACATTTGACAATCATTATGTTGGTAGTTGTCATCCTGTATTTTAGTAAGGTGTTTGCTGATATGAAGATGTTATTGTACTGATACGGTTTTTTTTAGTGTCAAGGCCACCCGATCGCCCTCCTCACAGACCACCCGGGCCAGGCTTTGCTCCTGCGGGTGGGAGCCGAGGACCACCGTTTAGACGCTCTGTACAAAACTACCCAACTAATAGTAAGTTTGCATTTTTATACCTACGTAATGTTTAATTTTCGGTTTCAGTAAAATAGTTATAATAGTTAATCGAGTCATCACAAAGTCCGTGCAACAAGAGTTCGTGGATTCGAATCCCACGCGCCACATTACCAAAGTAAGGCGCTTGCATGAGTATTTTATAACTGTTGACCAGATCTGATATAAGTCAAAAACTTGTAGCCACTTATGTTTTTGTTTGATTCGGCAATGTCTGTAGAAAATATTTGTAATATGAAAGAATATCAAAATGTACATATTCTTTTTTGCTATCCTGGCTTCACCAACGACTGGTTGCGCATAGACTTACCACCAATTCATACTGGCCTCTTGCCAAAAATATGTGAGTATCATAGTTATATTCTATTGTAGCCCATCTAGGTTCACACAGATCGTTTTAATATGGATGCGCACATCTCGATGTTGTCGCTTATTTTTAAGGATTTACTGAAAACTTACATTTTATTTTATTTTATTTAGGACAATAAACAATTGAGAAATAGTAGGTTACAAAATATTTCTTTAAAATTAATTTAAGTAACATTAGCTTATTCCTTATTCATTGTATGTGTAATAAAATTTACAAGGATCATGAAGAAACTGGAAATGAGAATCCGCCAGTTACAGTATTTTTTTAAATTGAAATTAACCATTTAATCTATATTTATAAAACAAGAAACTGACAGACTAATTCACTGACTGATCGATCAAATCACAGCTGAAACCGTTGGGTTTATAAGCATGAAATTTTGCTCAGATTTTTGGTAGTAGCGTTTTCAAACTCACAGTAAATATTCTTTATTAAAGTAATAAAAAACGTTGTTACTATTTTTTCAAAACTAGCTCCATAAGTGATTAAATGGGGTCGTTATAAAATAGGGTTGAAACTTTGTACATGCATAACCGAGAGAAAATGCGAGAATTCCAAAAATTGCCCCGTGCGAAGCCGGGCGAGTCGCTACTTAAATATATCTGTTGATAGTACTTTATAAATTATAAATTTTTACTTTGTTACTATTATTATTACCTATTTGAAAAAAGCTGTATAAAGAAAGTGATTAAATCATAATTTAATGTAGTTATACAAGTAAATGTTGCAGTGAATTGCTATTCCTTGTTTGAGTAAAAGTAGCTGCGATAGCCAGCTAATTACCGATCTTTTATACCAATTGATTTGTATACATATATTTAATACAACAACATAAAAATTCTGTTTACCTTTTGTTTACGCTCAGTGCATTATGTAAAATAAAAAAAAAGGACAACACAAAGAAGGACATAACACGTTTAAAGAACTCCTAATATCCTGCACTCTACAGGACACTCGACACAACATTGAACACTAAAATTTAATAAAGAATATTATAAGGCTTATTTCTGTTAAATTTTGTTTGTTGATTTTCCATTTTACACAACAGAAATACCGTTACGTATAAGATAAATGTTTTACTGTGAGTAATATTTTAATTGATTGGTTTACTTTGCATTACATTGTGCTGTGTAATAATTTTCTTAAATTTATGATCTTTGCAAATTTTGTAACTACCCAATGTGCTTAATAAATGTAGATCTTTTCCATTATTAATTTCCATTCAATGCAATTCGTTATACATGAATACATACACTAACTTTCTGTTTAGTAAATGTTTATTACTTAGTGTTATGAAAACATAGTTGAAAAGTAATATTTAAATGGCGTTATAGATCAAGTGGATCCGCAACACACCTGGCACTATCGCTCAGGTGCTGTGCAGGCTAACGGCACTCCAGTCGGAGACCAAATACCAAGTACCAGTCAAGCGGCTCCAGATCCTTTTATTCACGTCGTGGATCACTCGGAAGATGGTGATTAATTTATTATTTAATATATACATGTAACTTAAAAAAGCTAAGTAATAACTAGAATTTCTCGTACAAAAGGAAATTGCTGTCTTTTAATTTTAATGACGATATAAAGTTGTCATTGTAATATTTTATCGTTTAACATGTTTTTCATACCAATATTATTGTAGAGTTACAGGCAGTAGAACCAACGGCAGTTCAACCAATGGAACCAGACCATGAAACCAATGACCCTGAGGAAGAAGAAATTGCTCGAAGTAATATAATGGGTAAGGTAATTTACTTGCTATAGTGAAACTAGTCAGTTCATTGAAACGTCATTTGGGCACAAATGTGTTCATCCTCATTACTAGCACGCCTCTAACATGTTAATTATCACTGCAGATGCAGCACTCAATGACAACGGTAGTGGCGCCCGACTCATTGAGGAGGTGGTTGAAGTTGACGCTCCTGATGAGCCCGATAACAACCCTGCTCCCACGGAAACGGAGGCAAATGAAGGAATTGTTGCACCCGTTGCTGAAAACAGGGCTGTATGTTCATTAATTTGTTTTTAGACTTGTACTAAAAGCTTAAGATTTATACACCACTCAATCACTATGAAAGTTCTTAGATTTTCTTTTCTTGTATCCTGCATCCTGTAGGCGCGCAAGTGTCAATGACCTCTCCATCGGAATCATATACTTCGCTACATTTCTTTGATAAATAAAGTACCTAACATACATCCAAATACTAAAACTTAAAGGTCATGTTTGAAATAAATAAAAAATACATAAATCTGTAGTAATATGTACAATAATTCATAAAAAAGGAATTGGAGATTAAAATGTAGTCCGTTTGTCTCCAAGCAAAGTTTAGCTCGTTTTTGAACATTGTCTTTCAACTTTTGAAGTACAAACGCTCGCACTATTTGTGTTTTCAAGTTGGCAAGGCTTTTGACCTCTTCCACATACGTCTTTTAATTTCACCCGACAAATAAAAGTCACATGGCGTTAAATCCGGTGATCGAGGCGGCTATGGGACGGGATCACTACGACCGATCCAGCGGTTACCGTGTTCTGTATTTAAATAGTCACGAACAGTGGCGGCGTAATGTGGTGGGGCACCGTCGTGTTGGTAATGAAAATCCCTATAGTAAAGAAGGAGCATGTCGTCCATGAACTCCTTCATAACCCCTCAACATGTCTAGGTAGGTACTACCGGTCAGCCTGCCTTCAATGAAGTATGGCCCCAAGATTTTTGCCAATGACGCCAGCCCACAAGTATGCGCTAAAGTGAACTTGATAGTGATGTTGTCTAAAGACGTTTGGGTTCTGATATGGCCACCAATGTTCGTTTTGTTTGTTTTACAAACCCAGACGAGTAGTCGATAAGGTAGGCGTCTGTTTCTTGTAAGGCTTCGATTTTTGATAATGGTAAGGGTGCGAACCAGCGGTGTTTATCAGCTTCCATACTGCGTATTACGCACGCGAAAGCGTTGCGTTGCGGCCCGTGTGCTTGCTCGAGGATCCCGTTCAAAGAAGTCGAAGATTCGTTCTTCGACCTCTATTGCAAGTCTTAACCTTGCAGTACCCCTTGCGTATGACGGGGTTATAGTGTCCGTAGTCTAACAGCCTCTGATTTACGATCGAAATCGTTTGGCGGTTAGGCACCGATGGATTTAGTACACCTTGTCTTCGGAGTCGTGGTATACTTTCCGACTCGTACAAGCGCTGTGCACCATTTAGGTTTTAACTACTACGAATGTAACAACGCACCATTTCCTAACAATCGCGATTAGAAAACATTGTTTGCACTGTCGACGTCACGGAACAACGAGCGGTAAACACAAAGGATGCACCGACGTGACAAGACACGGCCGACTGACCTATTAATTATTTAAACTGTATGTACTTTCGTCCCCCGATGCATTCTTTCTCTCACTGTTTACATAACTAGCATAAGACTTATAATATACTAGAACTAATATATAAACCTTAAAAATTCACGGATTCGCTCTACTATAATATGAATGTGAAAACACCATTAAGTCCTTTACGTAGCTTAAAAGATATACTATGTAAAGATGACGGTATTTTCGTTAAAATCCCTTGAATAGTTTTGCATGAAATAAAATATATAGCACCATATTAAAAAAAAAACACCTTCATATATTTATAAATATACTTAATATATGTTATAATATATAAAGGTATTTGTAGGTTATATATGTTTTGATCATTTAAATTTAATTGATCCGTTTTAATTTTTTTACAGGGTGCTGCCAACGCGGCAGAAAATGCAGAAACAGCTCAAGAAGGTCCATCGTATGGTGTTAAGAGGAAAAGGGATTGTAAGTGTGGTGTGCGACACTTTTTAAAACTGCTAAATAAGTTCTCTTGCGTATTGACGCCATACACATGCAATATATTGCCAGAACAACCCGTCAACTTTATCTAAACACTGTGTTTTAGTTGATAGGGGTCCTGTGGTCACGAAGCGTTTTCATCTTCGCTTTAGAACAGTTTGGGATACAACGAACATGGGTTAGGTTCCTGTTTTTATAAAAATTTGTTCTGTTGCTTTTAGGTTTGAGATCTTTTGTGTAACAAAATAAAAAAATAAATGCACTTAAGGAAACTGAAATTAACCACCTACCATCGAGGTGTTTTTTAAATAAAACTTAACCACTTGATCTTTCAGCGACTGATGATACAAGGGAGCCATTCTCTGTCCAAGATTTTAATCAGGTGGGTGACTTTTACTACTATGGGCTATGATATATATTTACTAGACTTGCAACGAATATTCGGTTACTATTCGGTATTCGGCCTATTCGGCTGCTTTTATTATATTCGGCCGAATACCGAATATCTACATATTATTCGGCCGAATACCGAATACTTAAATAATATACTTTGTCATTGAGAAATAATTGGTAAAATGAAAAATTAAAATCGATTGATTACGTATATATTCATATTTTCATTTCTGTGATAATCATTTAAGTAGTCATTGGTGCATAACACAGGTACATAATCATCTTCTGAATTGGAAAAATGGAGGATTTTATGTATTTGAATAATTGTGGTAATCAAAATTTAGAAGGGTAAGGTTCTTATTTATTTTATAATCATTTATTAATTAGTCATTGGTACATAAAACCGGTACATAATTTAATTCACGTCTGTATAAGTTTATGTCGCTAAAATCCAGCCGAATACTTTTGCCTAATATTCGGCTATTCGGTCAGGGACCTCGCCGAATATTCGGTATTCGGTATACTGCCGAATATACTATTCGTTGCAAGTCTAATATTTACGGCTTTCTAGAAAAAAAAGTTAAGAAAAGGGACTGTTAAATTACTTAGTCATGCCATAAATACTGTTACAATTAAAACAATCATAATATTACATTTGAATTTGGAGTCTGTAATTTTTTTTTGTTTTTATACATATTATACTATTTACTATTTTATACTTTACTATTTTACTATTTTATACTTAGTTTTTTTTGTGATTTTAAAATGGAGTGGGGTCTTTAAGAGAACCTAATTAATGTTGTGATGCCATTACACCAACGCAATTTTTGAAACTCCATCCGCTTGGTGTTAGTCGATGTAACGGGCTATTGATAAATGAAATGAATTCGTACGAAAAGGGCGATCAAAGCAGTGAAGGAAAGAATTGGAAAATAAATATAGCATCTAGAACCATGTCGCGTATTATAGAAGATGACTGATGCACTGGTCATTATTTAACTTATAATTTAAATATGAATAGGGTGGTAAAATCAAAACAACTTCTTTCTTAGGCTGTACGCAAAGAGAGGTCACAGAGCATTGAGCAATATTTAACGAGCAGAATGACCGAGTTTATGCTCAAAGCTCTACAGAAGCTGCCCAATTAGTCAGCAGAATATAACGTGGACATTATCCGACTTCAGTGATGTTCCATAACTAAGAATGGTCTTTTAGCAAGACTCAGCACCGGGTCATAAAGCTCGATCCACCCTAGCCTGGTTGGAAGCGAACGTTTCTGCCTGGACCAGAGCTAAAGACTGGCCGTCATCTAGTCCCAATCTTAAACTGGATTAAGATTTATGGTCAGTTTTAGGGATATGGTATGGTATGCTATAAATATAAAATGGGATGATAATTTGGAGTCACTAAAACAATCTATAAAAGGCAGTGAATTTTCGATCGTAGGCACTAATATAAAATAAGTAAAAGTATGTATATAATAAGGGAGTAATTTAACCCATTAAAGGTCAAATGAAAAGTACCGATGTTTTTTTTAAATTATCTTTATTTTTATATTCAAATAAGTACACAGAAACACAAAAAGAAAGAAAAAAATGGAAAAAATTTAGATTTCATAAAATTTCAGGGGTCGAGTACAGCAACATTATATGACTGTAGTTTTATTTTAGTAATGAATCATTGATTGTATTGTTTATTATAACTTACTCTGACATTTATTTTATACTAATGAAATAAAAAAAAAACTTATAAACAGAAATAACTTTAAAAATCTCATATCATTTACTTACCTCCCCAGTGTTTCGGTGACACTACTTCAACTGACACTTTTTGGCAAAAATAATCACACTACCAGCGTAATACTTTTCAATATACGTGAACAGTATTATAATAAAATAAAATAACAAAGTAGGCCCCTTTAATTTTACAAGTGTTGAATTGAAATTCAAAAAAAATGGCTGTACTCAATTGAGTACAGTGACTTCTAATGGGTTAATTACACTTGCATTTAACAGTTATTGTTGGTAGCGAATAATGCGTTTAATGGAATTTGAAATAACCACTTGCTACGAAGTGACCTGTGAAGCGATGGATTTTTTCTTTCATTGTCAAAAGAGCAGAAAGGTCGCCATAAAAGATTTAACTCAGTATCGATTACGAAAACATCGTGTCCCCGGTCAAGTCCTTACCCTCTTTTGTCTATTTCATTTATAAACAAGGGTTGTTTTAGAGAAGATGGAAAAATATGAAGCGTTGTGCAATTTAGCTAACTATTAACATGTTTATAATATTTTTAGAGCCTACTCCGCCTACTGGAATGCCCAGTGTGTCTCGAGTGGATGGAGCCCCCGATCTCGCAGTGTCGCCGCGGACACTTAGTGTGCAGTCGGTGCCGCGCGAGGCTCACGGCATGTCCGGTGTGTCGCACTCCTTTCTCTTCGGTACGGAACAGGGCTATGGAAGGGGTGCGTTATATCTGTTCTAAGTAATATTCTTCTATTTTGTGGTTATAGTGGTAAGGTGGAGGTACATTCTCGATATATAATAAAACATAAAACGAAAACGATACGTAATAAGCCTCGCCGCTTCGAACGTTCGAGCCGTACAGACATGGACGTCGAATTCGATACTGCGCAGGTGGCGGAGATGCTGCGCTACCCTTGCCGGCACGGCTGCGGGCGCGAGGTGCGCCTGCGCAAGCGCGCGCCGCACGAGGCGAGCTGCCCGGCGCGGCGCTACGTGTGCCCGGCGCCCGCCTGCGCGCGCCTGCCCGCGCTGCCGCACACGGAGCTGGCGCACCACTTCCAGGTCAGCGCCGCTAACTCTCACCCCGGTTTTATGATAGAGAGAGGATAACGAATATGCTTCTTCCAGACCTCGCATCCCTTGCTCGTGAAGATGGGTTGCAAGCACAAGTTCTCGACGAAAGTGAATTCTGAGCAACACGATACGTGGATCATCAGGGCGCTGGACGAATTCTTCCACCTGCGCGTGGACATCGACATTCGGACTTGGGGCGTCATCGTCTACGTCGCCTACATTGGCCCCAAAAGAAATGCCAACTCCTACACGTATGAGGTAAGAAAATTGTTCGAATCGAAATAATCGGCTAAAATTCTAAGCGGTCTCATCGTTTTGCCACGATCTCGACGACAATTACGAGGGCGATCATTCAAAATTGAAACCACTGAGCCATGCAAGATCCCTACGGCTTCCACAATCTCTTGCACTTTCAATCTTCGGTCGGCCAACACCATATCGTGAATTTTTTCGATTGTTTCGGGTGAAGAGACCTCAGCTGGGCGTCCAGGACGTTCGGCATCTCCAGTGCTTGTACGGCCACAACGAAATTCAGTAAACCACTTTTTTACCATTGAAATCGATGGTGCAGAGTCCCCATAGTAATTATCAAGCTTAGCCTTGGCCTCGGTAATGGTTTTTTTTCGCAAAAAATAATGCTTAATAAGCACACGAAATTCACTTTTTTCCATTTTTTCCTCAAATTACTGGGTAATCTGATAAAGATAGCTGTCAAACACAAACTAACTGACGCAGCAAGTTCAAATTTTGACAGGAGTCAACTGACAGATGCCTGTTGACAGGAGTAGTGTTGCTTTTTCAGTAAAGAGGTCAGAAATTCAAAAAGTCACGGACTTATTGACCCGCCCTCGTACTATTGTTAGTATATTATATTGAATAAAACGAGTGACTTAATTCAATATGAGTAACAAGTTCCACCGAGTGCTATCGTTCACAGTATAAATAGTCAATTAACAATTATTACATTCAGAATTTTTAGGAATATATTGTAGACCTGTTATGGACGATTGCCTCAAGAGACATGACGAAAGCCATTAGTACTGGCTGAAGCAGGTGATCCGCACAAAGAAGTATATTGTAGGCTACTTCTAAAGCAGAAAATGGTTGAGTTCCCGTGCAAAAATCGGCAAACCATATAATTTTTGTCTTATAACTGAAATGGCTACAACTTGTTAGCATATTCTAATTTCCCGTTTACAAATATCTCGCTACTTAACTAGATACATCAACATTGGAAGATTCTGAAAAAAACTTCTTTTTCTAAGCATCATTTTAAGTGTCCCGAGAGTGGATTATAAGGTGTTACATGTCAGTATCTGTTTTCTAGGTTACCGTAGAAGGGCAGCACAACTCGAGGAAATTGGTCTACACTAGGGCAACGCACAGCGACCTTGAGAGTTCCTCAGTAAACGTGAGCCGTCAGGATTGCTTTCATCTAACACTTGATCAAGCACTCAACTTTCTTCGTATTAATAATAGGCATTGCGAACCAGACAAATTCTTAGATTTCGAAATTCAAATCACTAAGTGGGAAAGTGTTGAAGACACTAGAGATGAATCGGATTCCTGAATAACACTTGACGCACTATGTGCGCGAGAGGTAAAGAACTTGATGTTCTTGGGTATGTACTTGGAAAATGATATTGAAGAATCTGAGAATTAACGTGTAATAGTGCGACAAGTGAAAAGACTTAAAAAACTTTTGTCACCCTTGTGTGAGACTGAAAATAGTAGTACTTCATTTAACTATAGCGCATTATATTTTATGATGTAGCTCGTAAGATTAACTGTCAAGTGTCTATGTAATCACTCACATGTTAATCGTTGTCCATTTTAAACATTATAAAATGCCATAGCCATGTTTCGGCACATATGTGCGAGGCTCGACAGATGAGATACCATGATAATACAGCTAACAAGTCTGACATATATGTCAAAAAGTGACAAGTGACAATTTCTCTGTTTAATAAAACTTACAGGCGACAAAATTTACATGGTGGAAAATGGACAAATATGTCGATGTCGATGATTTTCGCGACAGTCAATTTCTCCTTTTCAACTACGGATTATTGCTACTTTTAAATCATAGTTATTTGATGAATTGATTCCTTTTAGACACGGTTATTTCACATGTGATTGTGATTTCGTCAAAGACAAAGAATGGCATTCAAATCAATCAAAATTCTTGTTATCAAAGAATAGGACCTTTTTTTTAGATTTAGACCTTTCACGAGTCTTGGGCTAGCGTAATAATAATAATTAAGTAGCAGTGGTTTTAACTTGGTAAATATATCAAAATTCAACATAATTGTTACCACAATCCGACGATTGTCACCTACCATTGTCAGAAATGTGGTTATTTGAAAGGTCGATTTTTAACATATTTGGTCACTTTATTTAAGTTTTTTTATTTCGATATATATGTCAGACAGTGACAAAATTGTATAATTGTCGCAATTAGACCGTTTAAAACAGGGCCCAGGTGAGTCGGTTGCTCGATTGCCCCATATACCATAAAAAAAATGTAGCTGTTAAATCTTATGAAAAATTTCAGTAAGATAAGTTAAGGATACATTTAAGCTATTTAAATTCATAAGTTGTACAGTCTGAATACTCGGTACAACTTTTATATTAAGTAGCCGATTCTTTTTGACTCTTAATTATTGTAAAATTAATTATCATTAGTAGGTATTCATTTAACACAGTAATATAAGTTTATACTGGTACATTAATAGCATTAGAAAAATGTTTTAGTAGCTTGCTAAACATTTTTGTTATTTATGGTTATATTTAGCGGTATCTCCTCCCTGCCAATGTATATACACTTACGAATAATTAATTACCTAGGTGTTATAATTAATGATATGAAGTAAAGTAAACCTTCCTTAAGGAACAGGTTGCCAAACAATACAATTTATAGTTTTAATTGATGTTGTTAATTTTCAATGTTCACTTGTGTAGTTGGCATATAATCAAGACAATCATAAAATATACTATCATTATAAGATACATTGTAAACCAATAGAACTAATAGTATCTCATATTAAAAGCCGTTTGCGTGGGTTAAAAACTTTACATTGATGTCAATTTTATTCATAGCATAAGTTCTGAGCTTAACTTTAAGCTTGCATAATAAATAAGTGTATACTTTATTCGTAATGTGTATAATGCTCAAATATACTTACGTATGTAGAAAATCGATGTTCAAAGCAAAAACAAGTTAGCCTAACTTTTGACCTGCCCTCACGATGTGCATGTGCACGTGCACGATGTTTTATGCTGTAACCGTTTAAAATAGTTAGACTTAAGCAGTTTATATTGTAGTGAATGTTTTACCAAATCAGTCAATGGTATATGTGTTTGCTTGTTGTTGTCGGAAAGTATTATTTATATTGGTGGTCTGTAGCAATTTTATTATATAATGTAAAGTCGCAGTCGGCAATATACTATATATTGTTTAGTTATGTACACTCTTTTACCCTGTTCCTTAAAGATTGAAGTCAGGTCAGTCAAGGACAGTAATGAAGTACTGTTTTTAGCTTGGCCAGCCATTCCTTTTTTAGTGTAAGCTATTGTCACGTTTCTAATACTTCAAATTTCGGAGGGAAGTATTGCGACTACAGGGAACATAAGGTATGATCTCATCCCTTGAATGGATCTGCTTGTATTTTAAGATGTGTAGATGAGTTTATAAAGTTTTTGTATAAGGACGACTTAACGTAAAACGACTTTTTTTCTACTGTTTTATAAAATATTGGTTGTATAGACTTATAAGGCATGACCTGCCAGAGTTGATAATCATAATATTAAGTATGAGGATGGATGAGGTCCAGGCTTTGACATGATGAGATCTCCACGGACTTCACCTCAACGAGGCTAAGCGACAAAACGACAAGCGACTTAAAGTAAACGAGACTCTGGATGGGTTTTGTATTGAAGCTATTTTTGTCAAGTTTCGCTTGTTCAAAGTAAGATACTAGTTATTATACTATTATAAGCTCGATGTTATAATCACTCCTTAGTGTGAATATAAGCTTCTCTTTATTTGTTATTTCTTTCATGAAATCATTGTTCGTAAAACATTTCTTATTATGTTTTGAACTGAAACTTTACCTTTTTATAAATATATATGTTATTATTCAATCATTAGGACGAAGGTTAAATACATTAAATGTAGTGCGAAATAAAAATAATAAATAAAATTTATGTTTTATTTCAAATTAAATTCTATAAGGACTTCAATATACGGGGATATATACAAATGATATCACGTTATGCCTATGTACATGTCAATATTACCTTATATCATTAATTTATGTCAATAACTTTATTTTTTATACCATGAATTGATATAAAATGAATAGAAAAAAAATATAATAGACACTATTTTGAGCTAGAGCGTAACTATCTTACACTTTCTCTAAGTAACTTGCCCATATTACAAGAAACAGCTAGATTAGGAGAAAAAAAAATGTACATAAGTGATTATGATACTAGTTGTTTGGAAGCCAATGTTTGTCTTGCATATTCAGTGTCAACGAGACCACGACACACGAGTGAGAACTCTTGAACATGCTCCAGCAGCCGTCGCTTGCTACTCTTTTCTCTGAAAGCAACAAATAGGTTTTTTTTAAAATTTAGAATTGATGTATTGCAAACGACACCACTGGGGTGTCATTTACAATGTTTTTTGTTAACAATAATACCGCTGACTAGTGATTTATTAAAAAAATAAAATAAAAAAGCCTTTTTATTTCCAGTAAATTTTACGTTTCTTAAAATCTATGTAAGTGTTAGTTTTATTTAGTTTATTCTATGTTATTTATTTTTGTCTTATTTAATGTAATTTTATGTGGATTTTATGTGTATTATATCATAGTATTTATAGTTACTAAATTATAATTCATCCCGTGGGTGTCGTAAGAGCCGACTAAGGGGAGCAAACTAAGCAGGACAACAGCACTGCAAAGAGAAGGAAAACTTGAAACAAACCCTATACCAACCCGTCTGGCCAGCGTGGTATAGTAGGCCAAAACCTCCTTTCTAAGGAGAGGCCTATGTCCAGCAGTGGACTAGTATAGGCTGTTGATGTGATGTGAATAATTATTTAGTCTACCGGAACCCCAGAATTTTTATTTTATTTTTATTTTTTTAGGGATAACAACAGCTGCAATTCTTAACTAGGTAGTAAACTATGATTACATGAGTAGCCAATAAAAGTTATCCACGGTAGATACATAGAGTGGATGAATATGCTAACAACAATACATAATATTAAAACTGATTGGTAAACCTTGAAAAGATGGGTGAATAGATGTAAAATATGAAATATAATAAATAACACATACTAATATATAAATATGGGAGAAAAATTTAATTGAATAAATACATTAAAAGATTTATATCATCTAGAAACCTATAAAACCAGCCATTCAGTGCAATGATGTTGACATTTTAGAAAGCCTATGATGATAGTAATTTAAGCGAAACTCGTTTTTTGAAATTATCCTGAGAACCGATGAATATGTCCACACTATTAAAGTGTTCATTATAAGAGTCGAGTAAACGTGATATTACACCATTTCTACCGTAATTATTCGAGTGAAATGAAGTGCAAAATAGTGTAGTGTGTCTAGTGCGTTTCTTGGGTACATTAAACTTAATATTATTTAAAAGCATAGGACAATCGATCCGTCCACGCAAAATGTCATAGAGTAGCCCCATATCCATCAGAATACGCCTTTTCTCGAGAGTTAGTAGATTGTAAATACGACAGTTTTCTCTGTAATCATGTAAGCTGTGACGAAATTTAAAATTAAGGTGATCTATAAACTTTTTCTGGATGCGCTCCAGACTGCCTTTGTGTATCGCATAACAGGGAGACCATATCTGACAACCGCATTCCAGTAAACTACGAACAAAAGCAATATAAACAACACTTATGCTCAACAAACTCTTGAAAGGTAGGCAAGATCTTAGGACAAAACCGAGATTGCGAAATGATCTGCTGCATATAGCATCAATGTGCTGCCGCATGGACATCTCCGAGTCCAAAAGTATACCCAGGTCTCGCACAACCTTGACCCTCTCGATTGCAACGCCGTTAAAACTGTATTGGTAAATGATAGGATATCTTTTACGGGTAAAGGATATACTTTGACATTTTTTGATGCTAACCGTGATATTATTTTTAGCGTAGTACCTGAATAAAGAGTCGAGATCCTCTTGAAGCAAGACACAGTCAGATAAGGAGTTGATGGATGTGTAAATCTTTTTGTCATCAGCGTAGAGTATGTAATGTGAGTGCTTGATGTGGTAAATTATGTTAAAAATATAGGCATTATAGAAGAGAGGGCCAAGGTGCGATCCCTGGGGAACGCCAGAGGGAATAGATACAAAGTCAGACTTAAACCCACCCAATACAACAGCCTGAGAGCGATTAGTTAGGTACGATTCAACCCACCTAAGTAGGTCACCGTGAATACCTAACGCGTACAGCTTACGTAACAGGATGCCGTGGTCTACACGGTCGAATGACTTTTCAAGATCTGTGTAGACCACGTCAACCTGGCCACCATTTTCCATTTCGCCTACCACATAATCTGTGAAACAAGCCAAATTTGAAACCGTGGAACGTCTTTGCATGAATCCGTGCTGAAATTCTGGAATGCCAAGACTAACAACTGGGTAAATATTATTAAAAATTATTTTTTCAAAAACCTTGGCTACACAGTTTAAAATGGAGATAGGGCGATAATTATCTATTTGAGATTTGGAACCTTTCTTGTAAATAATAATAATAATAATAAGCACCCTTATTTCTATCCAAATGTGATTGGTGGTTAAATACCATTTCTTTAGAGACAGTTATGTTAGAAATAGTGTCGCAGGCCTGGTAATTGAACAGTGGAGAATGAGTGTCAGATTGCGACGAGGACCGACCCCTAGTAAAGACGCTGTCAAAAAAGTTATTGAAAGCAGTGCATATTGCCTGACCGTCATTATATTTTCTATTTCCCAAAGTGATTTGACGCGGATAAGCAGAACCAGCTTTTTTTTGACTTGACGTAGCTCCAAAAGTATTTAGGTGCTTTCCTTATGTTGTGTTCAGCATTGCGTGTGAAGTTGTCAAAACACTGAACCTGTACTCGATGTTGCCTATCCCTCAGAAGCTTAAATTCATCGAAGTCTCGAGGATTTTTAAACAATTTCCATTTTTTATGTAACTTATCTTTTTCGCGAATGACCTTAATTAAAGAATGACTATACCATATGGGATAGGAATTATTTCGCTGACTGATAAGGGGTACAAATAGAGTAATACTATTTTTTTAATTTTTCATAAAATTAATCAACCGCGTCGTCAACACAATCAGTGCCCGACAACAATTGGTCCCAATTAATATTACTCAAATATTTATTGATATCTTCATAATTACATTTGCGGAAGTTTAATCTACATATTTTATTCGTGATAAAAGAGCTAATATACAAGTCTACAATGTCAATAGAAAGAGGTGGGTGAAATCTATCAATTTTAGTTAAACCGTCACAGAAACGTTTAAAGGTAAGTTTGAAAAACAAAGATCTAAAGTGTTGTCACAGTTATTAAGTGTATAGTTATATTGAACCAACCCTAATAAGCTTAAATCTTCCACAAATGCACAAGCTCTGTCCTGTACCAGGCTGCTACCCAAATGTGTGAGGGACCAACCATCCCTACACCAACGTAAACAGGGTAAATTAAAATCACCTACAAGAAAATAATACGCGTCTTTGTATTTACAAAATAAAGTGTTAAAGTTAATAAAATAATTATTTAAGTCAGTCGGCAGATTAAAGGCGTCAGGTGGCATGTATGATAAAACAATAATTAAATCCGCTGAAGTGCCAAGAGTCCGTGCCGAGATCTTCAGACAAACAAATTCATATTGTGAATTACCCAGCCAAGCGGTGAGCGAGACCGCGCATAGCTCACGGCGGACACAGCACACAACGCCGCCGCCAGCCCGCTTACCAGTTACATCCAGATTTCGATCGCAACGAAACATCTCATACCTACCATCACAGATTTCTTCGTCTAATATATCACTCTGTAGCCATGACTCGGTAATAAAAAAAAATCCGTATTCATGTAAAAGAATGTTATTGTACAAGTCAAGACATTTTGTGCGTAAACCACGGACGTTTTGGTAAAAAATATTTAGTCGTTTGCTATCCATTAAGGTGGCCATTTTAGAGGTCTACAGTAATATGTACATAACCTTTTATAACAGGAACAACATAAATGGCAGGAATAAGAGGTACAGAAAATATAATTATATACTGAACAATGATAAAATACGTGAACGTAAGATAAGATTAGAAATATTTTATAAAGTAAAAAATAAGATAAATAATATGTGGGTATATTTAATAATAAGAGGCTACGATATTTTATATAAATGTTACATAGCTGTTTACCAATCATATCAAGCTGGTTGTAAGATTTAAAACAACCAATCAACTTATATTTGTTAAATATGAGATTATGGTACAATTACAAACATTCCCTAAACGAAAAAACTAGAATAATTAGTCATACAATTTTACGGAGATCAGCAGGGGATATGATACGAATTGATGCGGAGGTGTCATTCTTCCTGACAAAGATTTTTCCATCTCGTATCCAAACAAACTGGTACTGCGCAGCGGCTGCCTTTTGCCGTGTATTCTTGTGTAACAGCTTGTTGGCAGGCGTGAGGTGTTCGTTTACAAAGATCCTTCTCAGGTCACCTGTGATGCCGAGGTCGCTCGTGCTGAGTTACAGGTGGCACAGTATCACTTACACAAACAAATAGCGCACACAACACAGACGACTAGACTTGACAGTTCGCGGATACTACAAGCGACGCGAGAACGGCGCAGCAGGTGCAGCGGAAGAGAGACGAATAATTTCACTTAATTATTATGTACTTGACCCGTAATCAAAACTGAAGCGTATGTGCACCAAGCAACGTACAGTTCACAATGCTAACTGCTAACACAAATATCAATTGAAGAAGCACACGTCCACCTCGAACAAGTAACGAAACACGTATGAACGGGTGAAGGCCTCCTCCAGTGATGCCCATTTCGCTCTGTCTTCAGCTACTTGTCTCCAGTTTGGACCAGCTATTGCTTTAATATCATCTTCCCATCTTGTTATAGGTCTACCTCTTATTCTTTTGCCTAGTGGGCCGTTCCAGAATGTTACTTTTTTTGGTCCATCTATGATCTGGTATCCGCGCAACATGTCCTGCCCACTTCCATTTTAATTTCTGTGCGTAACTCAGAGCGTTTTTTGCTTTAGTTATTTTTCTTATTTTAGTGTGTCGTATTTTATCCAGCTTCCTAATCTTTAACATACTTCGTTCGAGTCCTCTCTGACAGACGCTTATCTTTTTTTCTTGCTTCAGCAGTGAATTTCCACGTTTGGCAACCATATGTCAAACATGGTAAGAGGCTCGAGTTCATGACTTTTGTTTGGCTTGTGGTAAATTACTTTTAAAAATGTCCTCAAGACCCCAGTACTTGTTCCATGTTAATTTTATTCTTTTCTCTATTTCTATGTTTTTATTTTTCCTGTCGAAACTTATAGTTTTTCCCAGATAGACGTATTTTTCAACGCATTCCAATGGTTTGCTATTGACTATTATTGGTCTTTTCATGCTATTTGTCATTGTCATGTATTACGTGAAATAAAATAATTCGTTACCTGTTAATTTTTAATGATAATGCTTCAATTGGTCGAGTTCACAGGGATTCGTAAAATATAATAATTGTATCCATTACAACAAAAAACCACTAAATTAATTTATAAAACTTGATCCGATAATTATATAATGACGTCATTATATAATTATCGGATCAAGTTATATAAATTAATTTAGTGGTTTTTTCAAATAGTTATAGATAGTTCAACTCAGTTGTGCGCGCGGCCCTATGTGTGCGTGGGCTTGTAAATATACAACTTTCATTCGTGTGGCAGTGACGCGGCAGTCGTCGTCCGAGCAAGACGTGTTCTTATCGCTTTTTCTTAAGGGTACAGTCGTTTACGAAAATGTCTAGTTCTTCACGGAGAAAATGTTTAAGGAGTCAGGTAAATATTTTTTAAATTTAGATGTAATTAATATTTATTATGATTCTATATACGAAAAAATATATCCTTGTTGACGTTTACGTATTATTGTTTTAGACTCGAGAAACCATTGCTAAGGTATACGAATTTCTGAAAATAGATGCGAGAGATATATTTGGAACTAGTAAGTGATCCAGTTTGCATTGCAAGTCCAATTTTAATATCCAAATTAAGTGAACATTTAAATAGCGTACGGAAAAGAACAGCAATGGCAGTGGGGGTATCAGAGAGAACAATTACTAATATATTGGCTGCAGCGGCGTGCACAGGATTATGACACTAGGTATGCGGCAGAGTAGTCGGTCACAAAAACTTTTTCTTTTATAGATTTTTAGCTTAGCCACAGCCACGCGATGGATCTCTAAGTCGGAAACCATGCCAATAGAACAAGTCTTAGATGTACTACTATTCATGTACATCTTCAACGGGAACACTGACAAAACTGCGATAGATCGGCGATAGATCGCGGCGGAGGAAATTCTAATAAGTAAAATAATAAGCTAAAATTTTATAACTACTCACCTGGTCATCTTCAAGTTTCTGATATTCACATATTCAAGGTTAAGGTTACTTGAGATTACTATATCCCAATGTAAATAAACGCAAGATTTCGGCCACCTCAAATATCTTATCCAAGTGAGTGATAGTTACAGACCTTTAGACACAATTTTAATCTTTTCACTGAATGACAATTGTGAGAACTTGTTATTTTTAATTTAAATTATACACAAATTTTCCACACATACCTCACAATCAAATAACATTTTTAAAAAATCAACGGAACTCAGTAATAAACTGTTAAATGTACACACTTTCAAATAAAACTATAATCATACTGGCGGAAAGAAAATAGTAAACAATGCTTATCACATGAAAAAATCAATATGGCCCCCGCGAACAAGAAACATTTCTGCTAATTAAACAAATAAAACCTTACCATATTCAAAATTCATAATCCGCATACATGATTCATTATATTTCTGACTATTGTAATTGGGTGGATTTATAGGCAACGAACACTGCCGATTATACCCGAATACTGACGACAACGATTAGCGCGGGAGCAGACATCCGAAGGCCATCCTGCGGCTGTAGTCGGGCATATAAAATAAATGGGTGTGTGCGTATGCGAACTGAGCACGGACACCAAAATTACTACACACATGCGAACAAATGTCCTGCGCGAGGCCACGGCATGAGTTGCTTTGCGCTTGCTTTTCGGTAAACACCTGGCAAACAATGTTTGTGTGGTGCTATGCTATTTGTAAATAGTACGCGTTTTTAAGTTATTATATTTTGTTTTTTCCTTTATTTACTATTAATTAAAGTCGTCTAAAACGTACCAACGTTTTATTAAAATGTCTGTGAATAGCAAGTAAAGCACTGCATTTCTGCCTACAAGGAGCGCACGCCCCTGATTGGCTGAAGGAAAAGAATAATAGGTTAACTTTAACGTATGATTTGATTAAAAAAAATAAAGTAAAATATATCTGTTACAAGATTGACGACATACTTCAGCCATATGGCATAAAAATTCTTCGACTGCCACCATATCATCCTGAACTAAACCCCATAGAAAATGTGTGGGGAATTTTAAAGAATTATATTGCTTCGCATAATGTCCACCAAAATGTGACGGAAATAATGAAACTCATAAATGAACGTTTAAGTCAAATTGATGAAGGGATGTGGGGTAATACTTGTCGACATGTACAAAAGAAAGAAGAAGAATACTATAGACATTTTGACATGGAGTCAGAATTCATAATTAACCTTGGTGAGAGCAGCGAATCCGAAAATTCATCATTTGATTTTTCAAGTAGCGATTCAGAATAATGTCCAATAAATAAACATTACATTACGAAATAACTCTTTTTTTAAAAAACCCGTATATAACCCGTAAATAACTATATTTGTATTTGTACGACTGTACCTCTTGTCACGCACACAAAGTCAATGTATATGTACAAGGTTTACGCACACATAGGGCCGCGCGCACATCTGAGTTGAACTATCTATAATGACTGGTTTGGTGCCTAGCGAACTGTGGAGGAAGGGGTTTTAAAAACAAAAATGAGGATCTTTTGACCCGGTTAAGTGCGTTTTGCTCAGGGGATTTTTGCCCACACTTCGATGTTGGGAATTTTTTTTGCGCCACACCTTTTACTGTACGATACAGAAATAATACCGTACATAGTTAGGTTTTTCATCAGATGCAGCAAAATGTGGATGTCACCACAATACAACACAAAATCGTAATTTCTTTTATTATGAGACCATGATGCCAAAACTGACAAGTCGATTATTTTGATTCATTTCATGTAGGTACTGAATTAAATTGAATATCAAAATCTCAAATTTTAACAAAGGTAATTTATAATTGATTTTGCAACTATTTTTTTTTCATTCAAACCAATGTAAATAAAATAAATTATCCGTCATACACGTGGCAATGGATTTTTATTTAAATAAATTAATTGATGAATTTGTGTTTTTCCGGCAAATAATGTCACATTACGGTATATGTATCTATAGGTTATAAGGAAACTGAAAAAAATATAAATTAAACAATCAAAAACTGATGCCCACTATTGCTATTGCTATTAATAATAATTTCATACTGTACGCACTTTATAACTGCAGCCATAAACTTCTGTTTGTGCAGATCTGTGGCATGCACGGTCGGGAAGCCCGGCTGGGCCAGCGCGTGCCTCATCCATGTCGCGAGCTCGCCGCCCGCTCGCCAGGACGCGCGATTCAACGCCAACAGCAGCTCGGCTAGATGTTCTATCTGATTTCGGGGGGTCGCTCCGCCTGAGATTGACGTTCGCAAAGGGAAGATTTAAAATAGAAACGGTTAAAAGTTTTAGAAGTATATTTTTTCTTCTTTCGTGTCGAAAGATTTATCGTCTAATATATATATGAAAATGTAGTATATGTTCACAGAAACAAAGATGCTTTAAGTATCAGAAACAGAAATAAACTTATTGTACCGGCCTCCAGGCCACAAAAGATAAACAAGTAATTTCGAGGCAATGTCCGATTTTATAATTAATTCCCAAATAGTATACAAGACTTAAGTAAAAGGGGTCTCAGTAAGAGTGCAATTTTTCATTTTAAAATAAAAACACGAATTTTATGAAAGAGTTGTGATATTTTTATTAGATTGTAAAGAAGACATACTCCGATTAAGTATGGAATAAAATATCCGACAAATTGCCCCTATGGCTCTGATGACAGGCCATTACTCTTTTCATGAAAGTTTCCATGACTTTTACATCTCCAGATCTTAGTTGCCAGATGACATCTTGACAATTTCGTGAGATAATGTGTTCTGGAAATCGTTGCTGCAATAAGTCGATTGTTTCATGCGCGGTGTGGCAGGTGGCGCCGTCCTGCTGAAACCACATGTTGTCCAGATCCATTCCATCCAGTTGAAGCCACAAGAACTCCGTTTTCATATTCCTGTAACGAATGCCGTTTACAGTCACTGCAATTTCGGCCACATCTTCAAAAAAGTAAGGCCCAATAACGCCGCCTGACCAAAATCCCGCATCAGACAGTTGCTGCTTGTGGGTGCATTTGTTTCTCATGGATTGCATGAGGATTTTCTGAGCCCCAAATTCTACAATTTTGTGTAGCCATTGTGATGGAAATGCGTTTCATCAGAGAAGATGAGTTTTTTTTGAAAAATTGGCATCGACTTCACTTTGCTCCATTACTCATTGAACGAATTGCCGGCGCTTTCCATTGTCTGCTGGTTTGAGCTCCTGAGTTAGCTGAAGCTTGTACGCATGAATTGTCAAAATTCGCTGCGAAGTGCTTCGTGAAATTTGAAGTTGTTGAGAACGATGCCGAATTGATGTTTTCGGGTTTTCGGCGACACTCGTTTACAACATCAATGTTTTCAAGAGACCGACCGATACGTTTATGCAAAGGATTCTTAATATCCATAATCAACCCAGTTTCTTGAAATCTTTGGACTACTCTTCGAATGGTTGACACATTAGGTGAACTTTCGTGACTGAAAATTTGTGGAAGTTTGCGAGCGGTTTCAGCGTAATTTTCGCCATTTCTTAATAAGTTTTCACAATTATAAGCGTTGTTCTTTCGAAAAGCGCTCAATTTTAAAATAAACATAGGTGACAGAAGCTGTCAAATTTCAAAGTTGCCACTTGCACGAAAAAAAATTATTCTAAATTTAAAAAGTGCACTCTTACTGAGACACCTTTAGATTTAAATCCACAATAAAACGTAAATTATCTCACAAAGCCTATTACTCGATTGCGGATTACATAGAAGACAAGAATAATTGGGTTTAATTTAGGACAGGCTATTTCGTAGTGGAAATGTGATGTGGGCTAGTGTTTTTAAGCTATTGCATAGCTTCTATCGAGGGCCTTGAGCGCGGGGACCGAATCCAGAAATTCCGTAACGAAAAAAAACCTCACGCTAAAAACAAAACAAAAAACAGTACCAAAATCAAATGCTGAAAGTCAAAGGAAATTTCGTCAACATAATGCAGAAAAATCTTACATGGATATGTAATTTGATTTAATAATAATATTTTTTATTTATTTATTTAAAAACAAATTGTAATATATGCTTCAATATTTTTATTTAATAAAAGAAAAAAAAAATGTTCTCTTATCGGTCACCACGCTCAAAAAGTTTAACTAGAATTAATATCAAAGAAAAAGAAATACTGCATAAATTAAATAAATAAATAATTATAATTGCATAAGTTGATACAAAATGCTATGCAATAGCTTTATCGCGGCAGTCCCCGAGTGCCACACGTCTTTTTTTTTTATTTATTTTTCCATTTTTTATCTATCCCTTAACTTTATTTTCTATTCGATTTAAAAAAAAAACTTGTTGTGTGTTCACTGTCTTTTAACCTTTTATTCTTTAATAACTGACATAATGGCACACATCGAAACAGAAACAATATTGTGATCTATTTAATGATGTCATTGTATCTACCTGCTAATTTTAAAAAGAGTGGCCATGAATTTGTTTGCCCTTTCTTCTCATAGGGTTCAATCCTTTGGAAACGGGCGGCTGTAGATCGGCACAGGTATATATTAAAATGGATTTTCGATACATATATATTTATTTTACTAAAGATTTGACGAAACAGAGATCGTTGCTATTGTGCGTGTTGATCTATGAGTTGAGACGATTACAGCAAATTAAAAAAAATATATATATATTTTGAGTTTGAGTATACCGGTAACGTTTAGCGTCATGAAAATAATTTCGGAAAAGCGGAATAAACATGCGATAGAACATACCGATACAGGCGAGCGCGGCGGCAGTGAGCGCGGGGGCGCGCGGCTGCAGCACGTGCGCGCGCGCCGCCGCCAGCGCGCCCAGCCACGCGCACGCCGCGCGCGCGCCGCCCGCCTCCCACAGCCGCACGCACGCGCACGCTGCCAAGGGAACGGACAATGCTGATTAGGTGCCTCGACAGAGCTATTCACGTTACGTACTGACTTTTTAGCTAGCGTTAGCGGCACGAGTGGCGGTATACTACACCCGGGTTTCGAAGACTTATAGTGGCTTACGACACGAAATGACCTGCTTTTTAGTCATTTTTCTCTCACAGCTAATTACCATATCGATCAATTGATCGACGACGGCCGGTAGTATACATTATATACTTTAACACTTAGACAGTATTAACTCTATATAAACTTGTATTTAATGAATAGGTGCAAAATAACAGAAACGAATACACATGTATAAAAGACTAAAAAATGAAAAGCCGCTTATTACACCTTGGTAACTCAGTCAGGCAGATCCACGATAGTAGAACATACCTAAGTCAACAAGATCAGGCAGTATGTCTTCAAGCCAGTCCACGTATTGAGGGCGCTTCTTGGTGATGGCTTGCAGGAGAGTGAACAGCCCTTCGGTAAGGTCAGGCCGCGCCCCCGGCTCGGCTCCTAACGCTTGCATGCTCGCTGTCACACTGCACTCGAGCAATTTCTTGGAACCTTTCCATTCACCTCCCATGGCTATTACAATCTGACAATTGAACATTTCATCCACATTATGGGATCTTAAAATAATGTATATAGGTTATAACTGACATGCTATGTTTTGCAAAATTTATATGTACTCAGTTGAGGTGGAATCACGTTGCCTGGATTTATAAGTATGACATATATTTAAATATGACATATGTTATTCTGCCACTAATAAATTTCTCAATGACAAAAAAATATAATTGTCTAGTCTTAAGATAAGTTACGTAAGATTATTGCGTCGCTCGTCCTAATACAACGCGGCTACGCGATCATCTCGCGAGATGGCGATGCGAAAATAACTATAATGCGACAAAAAATGGGTGTCCTAATAACAAGAGAATACGAGATCGGGGATTAACGACGCGAGCTGCCGGGTAGCCGACCTCGCTGTTTGCATGGCATCGGCACTAACTATGGGCGATGATCTATAGGGCGTGTCTCGATAGCAATGAAAAAAAAAACACCATGGCAAACAGTGCTTTGTTGAAAATGAGATTTATTCGTCGTGAATTTCACAGTTAATATTGTGACGTACGAAAAGATGAGTCTGCATTTAATGATTATATATCTATGTCATAAGAATCATTTGAGTACGTAAGCAACATAATCGGAGACGATTACAACCGTATGGTTTCAAACTTCAAAATACCCATAATGTCGAAGAAAGATTAGTGCTGAGTATTAAGTAATTTCTATAATTTGGTCAAATAAAGAATATATAAAGGAAGCGGCCCCACACTGGGACCAAAACGGGAAAATAATTTCAAAACCGGCTACAGCCTTCAATTATTGACCGATTTCCATTTTTTAAACGTAATCTTAAGAACATTTTAAGACTCGCTCGGAGCCCGATATTTAGTTTAGAGGTTTAAATTTTTTAACAGAAATTTGAAGTGTAAAAAATAATGCTTTTTGTTAAAATCAGTAGGTTATTTATATTTAAAAAAACTAAATAAATGTGTCTACCAGTAAGAAGTCGTAGTATACTTACAAGTTTGACAAGGTCCAGCCCAGACGCACAAGGATTTGTGTTAAAACCGGCGACTATTAATTGGGCGATATCATCCACGAGCGGCAAGCAATCGTCGATCAGTGATAATACTGTTTGTTTTAATACATGGAACATTGGCTGCAAAAACACTTTACATTTATATAAAGTAGTTATTTTAAGATTTTTTGTACTGTTATCTGATTCTGAATTATTTTTAAAAGTTCACGTTTGTAACTCACTTCAGAGTTCATTTTTAAAGTCTATTATAATTTTTCACCAGATCAGAGATACTTATCAACAGAAGAAATGTGGTAAAACTAAATGACGAAACAAGAGGGGGAAGACTATTACTATTATTTAAATTAAAAAATACATATTATTAAGTACCTCTACGAGTGAGGGAGTAGCCGCGTAAGGCGGTAAGGCGGGTGCGATGGTACGAAACAGGGCCTTGGCCAGAGGCGCGTGCGCCGCCAGCGCGCCCATCAGCGCCGCGCAGCACTCCGCCGCGCCCGCGCCCTGCCCCGCGCCCGCGCCCGCGCCCGGCCCCGCTCCCGCGCCCGCCGCTGACACGGCCTGCCGTTACACAAATAAAATACTTTCAGAACACCTGGAAGTGTAATAAAATGTAAACAAATCAAAAAAGCGTTTTATAAATGGCTTTTTTATTTTACAGATTTATGTACATAATTATGTTACTGTAAAAGCCCGCACATTATTACATCTTAGGTTTTACTAGTAAATCTATTAAAATTGGAATGCAATGTTGGTTCGTCTTGAAAAGTATGAAACGCCAAACGGTACTTCTTAGATTAGATGGACTGAACGGATCTGGATGAAATTTGGCACAGAGACAGGTGACACCGCAGGGCGCAGCTAGTGATCTATTCCTGTCGGTTCAGGATATGCGTTCTTTAACAGATAATTTTACTTAGAGACAATGTTTACCTGAAGTCTGAGGTCGTTTTCGAGCGTAGTAGCGAGGCTGTGTAGAAGGGTGGCCGCCACGTTCAGGTCGGCGGCCGCCAGCGCCGCGCCCGCGGCCGCCACTAGCTGGCGCCGCACCCACGGGTCCGATCGACCTTCGCTGCTCTGTGTACATAGCGACCGCTCACTTTCATTTATCAAGTCATTCATAAGATACAAAAAATCACTGATCCGCCTTTACGGTTACGACAAAGAATTTTAGAATGAAATAAGAAAGTTACTAAACAGTATAGATTAATAAAAGGCAGTCTTGAGGTATTTTCTACGTCTGTGGCTGCTACTACTACCACTTCCGTACCTACGTCTAGTATAATAGCTTAAGCGTCGATACGTTATATGTAGTAAAAAATAAATAATTAAAATGTACCTGAGCAGCTTGCACGATGTCGGGCGCGAGCGCGGCGGCCGGGGCGCTGCAGTCGGCGGCCAGCTTGCGCAGCGCCAGCGCCGCGGCGGGCGGGCACTTGGCCAGCGCCGCGCCCGCCGCGCGCACCATCGACTGCCCGAGGTCCTCCGACAACGTTTGCCCCACGGAAGCCACCCATGATGCGTAACTACCTTGAAAATAATAATATGCGATTTGGTAACGTTTATGAATTTCGAGGCCAAAATTAAGTTTTATGTTAAGGGGTAAAAAGAGCTTTCCCGGCTACTGGTACCAGAGACGGTGTGCGGTTTTTGGTCGGTTCGAGTCTGACATAGCCACCCCTGGTGGGTGGTATAATATGGAAAAAAAAGGCAAAAAAAGTAGTTAAAAACTCTATATTTAAGACCTGATAATCTTTTTACATGTGATGTCTGGGGGGCACATTTAGAGCATAAATCGATTTATATGTCCAATACGATTTATAACATTCGGGCGTTAACAATGTTCGTCGATAGCCAATATTATTTGGTGATCATCAACAGCCTTTACTATAGTTGGTGCCAGATAAGATGACAATACAAGTCATTTCATCCCGATATTTCTAAAAACGTCAAGTGACAAATCGTTTTCGGAATAAAACTATCGCTAACTGGTCGCTAGCTAGTATCGTTTGAATTTCATAATATACAGGAACAAAGGGATCAGACATAAGTCAAAAATATACAAATTTAAGGACTGTTAAATTCTAAATTTACAAGTCCTAAACGTCAATCTAATGAATTTCTTACATTTTTAAATATTTATTATTTAAATGGATATTTTAAACATTGCTGTCCCGTCAGACGACCCTTCACCACGATTCATTAGCGATACTATATATAGTCCATCAACGTCGTGTGCGACCGTCCTGCGGGGTGACAGACGGTGGCGGGGACGAGGTACTCAAGATGTCAGCGGGTAGAAGGTGGTGTAGCGGGGAAGGGAAACGCGTGTAGCCGTGTGCTAGAATGACGCGCTACCTCGCCCCCGCCACTGTCTGTCACCCTGCGGGACGGTCGCGCACGAGTTTGCCGGGTTATAATTTCCATCTAGTTTTACTGTAAAAAACTAGTGTTATTGTAAATTACGAACATCGTTGTAGGGGGCTGAATTACTATTTTTGCCATGTTATCTGGCACCAACTATAGTTAGGATGTGCTTTTTTTAAGTTCGATACGATTTTTTGGATCGTAATGTCTAGATCCGATCAGCAGATCGGATCGCATGCAATTGACCTGATTGTCTAAAGATCGATTCAAAGAATTGCATAAAAATCCAACATTTAATTAATATTTAACATTTATTGCAATAAAAAAGGATTGGGTGGTTAACTTAATATCCGAGTGTGTTAACAATCTGAGGATGCTTTGATTCCATTATATTCATTACGGTCGTATTTGCACGTGGTGATAAAGGGACAGGGTGATATCTTTTTTGTGTAAGATACGTTGTATGTCCACTTATTTTCGCAAGAATTAAACATAGTTTACATTTCGCTCCAACGGGTGGTTTTATCAAAATCAGACCACACACATGATTTTATAGGCATTGGACTTGCTGTTCAAAGCAACACAAAGTAACAATGAATGAGATAGTAAAATATTCGTTCGTAGTCATAGATATTTGCAATTTCGCATCCTACCTACATTATTTATAAGAAATAATAAACACGAGCTCATCGTTTATTTCGTGTCATCTTTCTAAATGCCGTTGCCAATAGCAAACGCCAACAAAAATAATAATTAAGATGTAAAATACCGACATTTTGTTTATATTTGTAACATAAATTATTAAAGATCCAGATCGTACTTTGATTGACCGTCTAACAAAAAGCCTAGATTACATAGTGTGCAAACCACAAACCACGATCCGATAATTTAATAGATTTGAATCGATCCGCGATCGGATCGTATGGTTTTCATCCGATCCGAACATCGATTAGATCGTATGCCCATAATCCGATCTTCGAAAAGATCGGATCGGCGCATCGCTCTATAGTCCAATGCTGGACGCTTCTTATAAAGAAGGTTTTGGCCGGGTTGCAGTGGTGTCGTTTTTGCGTAAACTCCAAACGTAGTACGCTCACTGAACTAAAGAAATCGTCACTAACACAATATGAAATAAAAATGATTATTATGATGAGTATACTAGTACGTACCGAGACAGTCGAGTGCGGTGTTGAGCATGCGCTTGTTGTGCGAGGAGTGCGCCTCGTGCAGCGCGCGCTGCAGCAGCGCGAGTAGCGCGGCGGGCGCGTGCTGCGCGGGCGCCACGTCGGCGAGCGCGCAGAACACGTGCAGCGCCGCCTCGCGCCCGCACTCGTCCGCCGCCGCCGCGTACGCGCCCTCCACGCACGTCCAGCACTGCCCGCCCAGGATGCCGTAGCAGTACATCTGCATCACATTAACGAACACTGTGAAGTGATAACACTGCATTCGTTTTATTGGCAATTTTGGACTTTCTAGCCTGCTTCGTCTTGTCATTTTCCTTTACATAATATCGGTTTTATACATATTTATAACCGCTATAACAAGTGGGTTGTGTCAACAATTAAAGAATTTAAAATTTTTCATTTCACTGAAAATGTGTTAAATTATTACCCAAGTTTATTATATTAGTATAGTATCGTAATCAAAAAAGGAGATCCAATCCCACCTAAAGCGGAAAAAGGCTAAAAAGAAGAATAATTTTAAATACATAACTTTAAAAGTTGAATAGTTCTCGAATGATGCAATTAGATGTCATTTCTATAAACTTTTTTAGGAAACGATTTCTGAATTATTAACTGTATATGCCCTAGATGCCAATTTAATTAAACTGGTGGTTTGGAAACTGAAATACACCAATTTGAATATTTAAACATAGTAAGTTTCATTAAAAAATGTTTTGGTTTGCTTTTACTAGAGGCGTAGCTAATTACGTGAATTTATGTCAGGCAGAATGAGTTTGACAAGTATAAGGTCAAGGCACAACACATGTGATAGTTATTTAAATAAAAAATCATTTATTGAAAATAAAAACAATAAAACAAAACTACAACAAAATTCCATATTTTCAGAGTAGCACAGTCTATATATTTTTACAGAATATGTAGACATGTAAATTAATATGCATTCATCAAAAAGGCTAAGTGAAAAGTAAGTAATTCAAACATTACACATGGCGCGATCAACCAGTTTGCACAAAACCACCTCCAGTAAGCCACACAAGCAACCCAGGAAGTGTAGATCTATATTGGTGTCCAAATGTGTCTTTAGTGCACCTTTTCAATCGTGTAGTGTTTCATTACCCAAAAACCATCTTTCCTGTTGACAGCCAGTCCGATAATATGTTATTTAGTAATTAGTTGGCCAACAATGAAAGCGTCTACTCTAATTTTTGAATGTTTAGAATAGTTTTGACGCATTATTTCGAATGTTATATTAAGTGAATCGTGAAAAGGCGCACTTACATAAATCATACTTATGGCACAATCTTTATTAGCTGCGTGAGCATCACTTTATCTCCGCTCCTATCATAGCCTATCAATTATAAAAAATATTACATATAATCCAAAATACTGTGTAAGTATGTACTTGCTATGTATGAATTTAGAATAATAATTATTTTTTTTATAAAAGTTTAACTTATCAAATATCTAAATTCAAAAAGAGATCTAGACACTTAATACCTACATACATACAAAAGAAATAAAATAATTAAGGTATCTTTAGAACTATGATATCTAATACGATAATTTATTTAGCTCTGTACAATACTTATGCTCATTTTCAGTTGCTATACAAAAGTAACGCTATGCAATCAATACGGTTAACCATTTGGTTTGTTTACAGTCGCTAATACATAATAAATACTCTTCCTAAAGACAGGCTATTGCTATTTCTATATATTCGCAAATAATGTAAATAATATAAGTTTAGTCAAATACAAAATTACTATATAAAAATCTTTACAACGCACTTCGACACTCAAATCAAACTAGTCAACAAAGAAGCATCACAATTCAGAATCGACACATTCACTGATAGCTAGACCATATTAGCTTAAATTACTTACCGTTCACTCCTATCCAGAAAATAACTTTTGCCAAGATATAACTCACTCCGCAACACAACTACAGTACAGTATAGTACGATGACCACTAGCACCTGAACTAGGCCGAGCCTGTATCTCAGATGCTAGTTTCTTCCAGAGACATTATTCACTTATTTTATTATTATCGTTATAGTACCTTAGTGGCTATTTAACTCTTTCCTATCACTTGTACAAACTAACAATTCTAACATTTAAGTACCCTCGCATTAGGAATATTGTGTTCAAAGTTCGACAAGCGAAGTTAGACCACAGTATGTTTGAACCGGACACACTTTACAGCTACTTAGTAATTTCAAATAATTTTTCTATAAAATCGTAATTTTTAGTTTTAAGCCATGTTACTAGGGTCTTCTTACATTGATGCCTGTTTTGCGAATATATATTTAAAATTTTATTTAACTTATTGTATAACATAGGTCCTAAGTAACATGGAAATTTGTTAATAAAAAACGTTTTGTATTGTTTTGTTAAACAAATCCTGTCCTGCCGTCTAGTTTGGGTTAAAGTAGGATCATACGTTAATTTTTGGTGTTGGGTTAATATTAAGTCTAAAATGAACAATTTTCTAACTGTAAGTACTTCACACTCAGCGTAAAGGTCGGCTGTAGGATATCTTAAGGGTTTGAAGGTCATTACCTTCAGTAATGCTCTTTGGGCTCTTTCAAGTTTAATCATGTGCGTTTTAAGTGCACCGCCCCAAGACGTAACACAGTAACCCAGAACAGATTAAGCAAGGGCAAGGTAAATTGTTTTTATTAGATCGTAATTAGCAACGTGTCGGAGTTTTTTGAAAATATAAATTAATTTCCTAGTTCTATCTACGAGTTGGTTTATCTGTGGACACCATGTCAGTCTCTCATCCAACAATACTCCTAAGTATTTTATGGTTGGAACTCTATCGAGGGAGGCACAAGTGCAGCTGTTTTTAATTGTAGGCATATTAAAGCAAGAGTTATCATGAATTTGCAGGGCAAAACTCGGTGGTAAGGTACGTTCTGTGTTTATTAAAAGAATATATTTTGTTTTAGCAACATTTAGTGTCAGTAGGTTTGCACTTAGCCATTCTGAAACAATATTAAGTCCGACTTCAGCCTGCATTTTTGCCTCCCCCCACGTGTTTCCATAGAATATAAGTGCAGTATCATCTGCAAATGTGAATAAATTGCAATTTTTTAATTTCAGATTACATAAATTATTGATGTAGATCAGGAACAAAGTTGGGCCCAAAACGCTGCCCTGGGGAACGCCATAATGAATACGATTATCACTACTAATGAGGCCATCGATCGTAACCCTTTGGGTTCGATTTTTAAGATAACTAGCAAAGAGCTCCAGCGTTTTACCTCGAATACCTACTTTTTCCATCCTGTCTAGCAGACCCGGAACAGAGACCGTGTCAAAAGCTTTTGCGAGGTCTAGAAACACTCCAATACATTTTCTTTTCTTGTCTATATGGGAAGCTACACAGTCCACGAGCTCGGTGACCGCCTGCTTTGTCGATCTACCAGCTCGGAACCCGAACTGGTTATCTGATAATATATTTCCTTTTTCCAGATACGACATCAGTCTCTTGTTCATAACTTTTTCTATGATTTTCAACAAAGCAGGCAGTACCGAGATCGGTCGATAGTTGTTGACACAATCTCTGGCCCCCGCCTTGTAAACAGGATGGATGATGGATGTTTTAAAAACTTGAGGAAAAATACAAAGATTAACAATATGGGTCATAATAGGTGTAATTATAGTTTCAGCCATTTTTAACAATTTAGTGGGTATGCCATCCCAACCCATGGCGCTCTCACTCTTTAAGTTCCTAATTATAGACTAAATTTGGACTAAATTTGGTAATTATAATGTTGGTGTATACTAACCACAGTATCCGCAATGTCTTGACGGTAACACCGTAGCAGTTCCAGGTCGTCTCGCGACAGTGGAAGGTTTGCTGGCGCCTCTGATTTCTTCACAAGCGACGTCAGCAGTCTTGAAAATACTGGCCTCCATACTGGGTTAATGTCATGTTCCGAGTCGTCTACGTTTAGCACTTCGTCCTTAATAAACAAATAAATATGCAGCTTTAACGATCTCTTTTCAAAAGGATTAGTATAATTCACTTTAAGTAAGAATAAATATTAGAGGTTACGTAGGAATATAATATATTCCGACTACATGCATGTATGTATACATGAAGTTGTCTAGTATCTGTATTTCAATGTATAAAATATATGGATGTATGGATTCACAAAAAAAGTACGCTCCTCCGTATCCTAAAAGTAATTTGAGATAGTCAATAGCTAACTTTTCATATATCAAAAAATAGATAAATGAGATATATTTTTTCCGCAAAGGTTCTCTGATGTAGTCCAAAGCTGAGTAAATGTATATAAATTTTTGCTACCGTGCTTAGTTCATAATGTATATACGTGGAACGAATTACTATTGCAGTAAACAAATAAGTGAGCTTACAGTATACAAAGTGAGCAGTAGGATACCTGTAAAGTATACCAGAACCCGAAAACCAAGTTTGATCTTGTTTCGTGAAGTGGATAGTGTCCAGGCGCCGCTTGAGCAGACAAAAGTAACTCTATCAATTGCCTTGCGCCGTTCCCTGCTTCAGTTTCATTCTCTGCATACTGTACCAAAACATTGGCATGGCATTCTCCCAAAGCCACGCAGCACGTTATTAAAGAAGATAGAAGTTCCTGTCGAGACAATCAGATTTAATGTCAGATAGTTTTATAATGTTTTTTTATTCTTAACAATGTAATATTCTGCTACTAAATCAAATCAAATAATTTATTTTGCGAACATGGGTATACATATGAAGGTGTTAATAAAGGTATAACAATGAGCAGCCACATTCTACCTCAAGGCATGCAATTTTTTTTTACTTTTTACAATAATACATAATAAAAGAAAAATATAGATATGTTAAATTTGCGTAGTCAATTTATGATACAATAAATTTAAACAAACAAATGTCAGCAATTTCATGTCAAAACCATTATTTCCTTTTATACAATTCTGTCATTCATAAAGTCAGTAACACTATAACATTTCGCAACCAAGATATCTTTTAATTTATTTTTAAATAAGTCAATATTCTTTTTTTAATATAGGATGGCAGTTTATTATAATTTTTTGGCGCAATACATAGCAAACTTTTACTCATCATCCTTGTGCTAGCGCTGTGTAAGCACAATCTATTGTCGTTGCGCCTGTTTCTTTTTACAAGTTCAGATAGGCGCTGAAATAGGACAGGATTTTTGTGTACGAAAGAAGCCACCTCCAGTATGTATAGTGACGGAAGCGTCAGGACACCATACCGGACAAAATACGGCCTACAACTATCAGTCGATTGCAGACCAAACATGGCTCGAACGCAACGTTTCTGAGTCTTAAAAACCATTACGCTATTTGTTGAGTTACCCCAAAAAATGATACCATATCGTAACATTGATTCCGATAGACCGTGATAGGCAATAAGGACAGCATAATTATCAACAATTCCCGACAATTTGTACAGTGCGTCGTATGCAGAACTACTGTTTCTTTTGCATAGTTGAGCTACATGTTCTTTCCAATTTAACTGTCTATCAAAGACCAAACCCAAAAATTTGGCAGTGAATGCTTCTTTTAACGCATGATTATTGTGACTGATTGTAATCGGATTGTGCACCTTGGGTCTTTGACTAAAATTCATGACTTGCGTTTTATGAAGATTAATTTTAAGGTTATTCCGGGCTAACCAATCACCAATCGATGACATACAGTCATTTATATCGTCCTGATAACTGCCAGGTATTTTAGATTGTATTGAAATAGTAAAATCATCGGCAAACAAGGACATTGGATGTCTCGTACATTTAGGCAGGTCGTTTATATAAAGAAGAAACAAAAGTGGGTCTTAAACACTACCTTGAGGTACACCATACTAAATATAACACATCCGAAATATAAACCGTTAAGCAAAAAAAAAATTATTAATTTCACTATCATTTTGGGGCAATTTTAACACGTCCATTTTGGCGCGCTTTTTTTGTGACGTCAGATTACACTTTCAGACGAATTCGATGTCAACAACTGAGTGAAGTTCACAAAGTTTGTGAAAGTTAAAAAAGTGAGTGATATAAATTAACTTATTACCATGGAAAAGCCAATAAAAACTTATTATAAATATTGTGCCGTTCCTTTGTGCCAAAATAATATCAAAACTGCACCTGACAAAGTATATTCAGTCATTGTGTTGAGTCTTTCTACACGGGAATTTAATAATTTAACACTGAATAGGTTGACGTCACGTTTTATTCAACCAATAGCGTTGCGTTTTAGAAATTTGCGAGGGAATCTTAAAAAAGCCAATTTTTGATGATTAAATTTCACTATTAAATTATAATAAATTTCAAAAATAATTGTATGGGTATTTTTTTTTTAGCAATAAAAATTACAAATAAAAATATTTTGTCCATTTTGGTGTCACGTGCACATTCCCTATTGTGAGTAATTCCTGAGATGGTTTTCGTCTAAATTTCCACAAAAGTTGTGTCTTTTTTGCACTACATTTCTTTAAGCCCCGTAAAATCCATTTAGTTTTCCTGTTTACACGTATGATTTTGGTTTATAAAGAGAGAGAGAGATCATAAAATACTTTGAAGTTATCTAGAAAATACGCGTATGCCATATTAGGAAATTTATAGAGCGACATTTGTCGCTCTATAAATTTAGAAAAAGACAAATTGCGCAGACATTCCTTAAATTTTTTAAGGTTATCAGCACAATAATCACGATTACGTTTTCGCCATACTTTCACTTACTTCACTTTATTACTACGTGTTTATAACGTCTTTTGTTTAGAAATTATGGAGGATTTAACTTGTTAGAAACTCTGAACATCACTAATGACTACTAATCATACCTCGAACACTGTTTTTAAACCAAAGACACTAATGACATACATTACATACAATGCGGATGCGAATAAGAAACTATAAATCATAACAGTTGTATTATCCTTCCAGATCCATCCAGTCCATGTAGTTATAATTGCCTTTTTGTTAGTCAAATACATTCGCCAAACATTCGCTTCGTTTCTTGCGAATGCGGATGGCAAAAAATATGCGAAGATGAGTGCGAACATTCGTTACATCACTAGTAGGTACTATTTTTACATACATAATTTTGTATTTTTTAAATGGGAAAGGGGGCAAACGATTTGACGGGTCACCACGGTAATTGACTACGGTCGCGAATGGACACCTCTTTTTTACGCGGAGAATGCTTTTCGCACGATACATTCCGTTGGGGAGACGGAGGGCGTGTGTGGGACTCCCAGAGAACGGGTCTACCCATTACCCATTACTACCCATTTCTACCTCGGCAGTCGGGAGGAGCTCCATGAACGCATCGGCGGCTTCTGGAGTGCTCCCTGCCGTACCTTATGTCTGAGGTATATCCCAGGATGACTGTAGCCACCCCCGGGGAGGGACTCTGCCAGGCCTCTCACTGCTCTACAGCCCCTGGCCGCAGCGGGGTATCACCTGCCTCGGCAATTTTGCAGTGCCTCCAAAAATGTGGAACTATTAAACAGCGACCGAAAGGTGTCAAACATACCTCGTTAATAGAGTTGGGTACATTATCTCTCTGCATGATGGGCGCAGCGCAACCCGCAATGAGGCCCAACAGTTGTATAGCAGCACCGGCATGACGGGTCGCTGCCGAGGTACCACCAGCAGCTCGCACTGCTGAAAGACAGGCCTCACACGCATCCAGAGCTGTATCGCTTACTATAGTGTTACACCTATGAACAAAATATTGTTTCTGTACGGTATGCTAAATGAAAGATAAACGTGATATGAATAATAAAACCTTTATTTATTAGAAAAAGAAAACTAAACAGATTTACAACGGAGTTGCTAAATATCAATGCGCGGCGAAAGGTGCGATAGGTCGCCCGGAATGATGTTGCAAAAACTAATGTTTTTTCGTTGTTCAATTAATTTTATATTGTAAATGAGTTTCGCTGCGCCTCGATGTCAGCTTTAAGTATAACTATTGAAATGCACGGGTTTACTCGTACAGTTTATAATTGTTTTTGAACCTGAAGTAAATGGGGTCTGTGATAGTAAGAACCTAAGAGTTGTTAATGATCTATATGTCATTGTTTTCAATGCCAAGTGCTATCTCACTAATAAAATAAAGCTGAAGTTTTTTTTGGAAATCTCTAGACTAGACTATCAATGAGATTCAAATCATTCACAAGGAATAGTACAGGCTAATTAGCATTAGGTTACACCTCTCAATCGGGGTTCAATATTGATTTTTGTTAAGTAACTCGAAATCGTCTATTGGTCTAAAGAAAATCTTAAAAAAAGTTCACAATAACATTTATGCCTATCTCTTATACATGTCACTGTAAAATTGTAAATATTGTTAGATTATAATGTCTCGTAAGATTAATATACTGTCGCAAGATTGTGAATTGCTTAAGATTTCATGCATTAGTTTCAAGTAGTCTATCGAAAGTCAAACCGTCAAATTGTTAATCTTTTAATGTGGGATTATTTTTCTCTGAGACATAAAATTAATATAATTACATGAAGAGATATGGGTAATTCTAACCTAATTTATCCGTGATGGGACGGGCCATTAATTCTCGGTTAACAATCTTTCGACAGTTTACAATCACGCGAGATACATTACAATCAAAATTGTAGTAGATCTTAGGCACACTAAAAACTACAGTGTATTATTTTGCATGTTTAATGAAATACAGTAGAAATGAACCAGTAATATGTAGGTACCAAGTTTAAGTAAATGTGACTGCACGGATGGCGTAGTGGTTTATGCGGTCGCCACGCCGTTTCCTACTGCGCCGAGTGTTGTGGGTTCAAACCCCACATGGAACGACACTTTGTGTGATCCACAAATTGTTGTTCTGAGTCTGGGTGTTCTTTGTGTCCGTTTCATATATGTTTGTAAAGTCCCCAAGAAAGAACAAGAACAAATTCTAAACAATACTTAATAAATAAAGGGTTTTTGCTTTTCTTATTTAAGACAACTTACCCAAAGTGTTGATATGCATATAATGCACTAAACAATCATCATCTATGCAGAATATAAACCACTATCAAATAAAAAGAAAATAGAAACAGCATGGTTTTCTCACGTATATAACAGCTGCACCACAGACAGCAAGGCGCGACACAGCGGCATTCTATCATTGAGCGAGCCACCTGGATGTTCTGCAGCATCTTCCCCTCCTAACGTTAGCCAGCTACAAGCGCAAGTTGCTGCTGTCACCCAAGATTGTATTATTTGTTCTAGAGGGGCTTCGTTGTAGTAATCTGGACTATAACAACAATTAAAAGTTATTGTTACAAACATATCTTTTATAGAAAATGATACACCTGAATTCTGTAAAAGATGCATTTGCATAATAGCAGTTAGCTTGCAATATAGAATAGGCAATACATAGTTGATAAAACAGTATTATATTGCAGGAACAGTAATATAGTATATAAACAGACCAATAAAAATAAAATAAAATTATGTAGGTACAATTTTTATTATTTGCAGTAACTTATCTCTTACAGATCACTATATAGATCTTCTTATGAATTAAACGGCACCATCTATTGGATGTAAGACTCACTAAAAAAAATTCATTGATATTGGTTCAGCCTTCTAAAACGAGTGTAGGCACAAACACACATTTATAATCACAATCTATGTACTCAGTCTTGCCCTAAATATTATTATAAGGAAACTATCATTTCCTTCCTGTGACATAAAACATTTCTTTCTACAGCTTAAATACTTGAAGCTTAGTTTCCATTGTCATTAACACAATTCTTTTAAGCAAAGGGAATTGTGATTCTTATAAAACTAGGACAACTAAGGCTTATTATTTGTACACACCTGTATACTGTCTGTAAATGCCTCAACATGTCTTCTAAGACTGCAGGACAAGCTCTCTGAAGAGCAATGCGGTTCTTTGTTCGAAGTGATGATCCCATTGTCATACTGTTGTACTGTTAGAAAAAGTACATTATTGTGAGGCATATTTATTACTTTGAAGACTAATTTCTTCAGATTATTATATTTATTTCATAGTCACTTACTTCTTCAGGGATCACTGTAAGTACTTCTAACAACAGTGATGTATTTTCTACACTAGACAATGGTCTCAATATTGTTGCTAAATCCCCAGTACCTTGTTGGAGAATAAATGCTGCTAACTGAAATGAAGGGGTCATATTGTTCAGGTTTCCATGCTAAATATTAATTTAACCACACAACTTGAACATATTTTAATATTTCACTTACACTTATACATAATCTATTAGTGACAATCTTGGGTCCTTTGGAATAAGCAAAAATTGCTTGCAGAATTTTGTCCTTCAATTCATTATAGCTCTCTTGTGGCACCTCATTCCAACAACGAAGTATTTTAGTATGCAAGGTTGTTGCAGCATAAAATTGAACTTCAGTGTTCTAAGAAACAAGATTGTAGAATTGGCAATTTGGTGATTTTACAAGTAAGATAAATAGGGTACTTTAACAGGGGATATATTGAAAAAAAACCCTCTAACACTTTTGTTCAAGACACCATAGATTTACAAGTAAAAGAATGTCTAAGCATTTGTTAAGAAAAACTTCACTAACTGAGCAAATTTTACAATTAAAAAACGTTTCACCTTGCTAGGTTGAAGTAATTCCCAAACGAAATTCCAAGCTTCAGGGACCCTCTGTGAAGCAGTGAGCCATGCATGAGCCTTTGCCCTTTCAGATTGCTCTCCATTATAAAATACGGATACAGCATATTCCAAATTCTGGGCGGTGTATTCCATTTCAGATTACACTAGTGTAAGCACTGAATTAACTTTTTACACGGCTATTTACTACCACATATCTAAATATCTTATACGATTAAACAGCTCCTTTTCACATAATAAATTAATACTATAAATAATCAGCATATATTGACTATATGTGATAAGAAGCAAACAAGATTACAAAAAAAATATTCCTTAACATTACATCAATTACATGAAATGTCAAACAATCAGTACTTAAAGTAAGTCAGTGATTCAATGACAAATGACAATTCTTTCAATAGTTCATTCAAGCATTCGATCATAATATTGTCGTTTCCAAATGCTCGCTTCTGAATAATCTGTGGAGCATTCAGTGGAAATCGAGACCCTGATTCTTCTAAACAGATGTGGTGCGGATTTAATTAGTTTATTTTGTTGCCTATATTATATTAATATGGCAAAAGATTTCATCTTGTAAATTCTGGTATTACCCCACGTGCATTAGTAATATGTATGTTCAGGTCGACTAAATGTGTGCATTGGCAGCTTGGTCAATGAATTATAACTAACTGACTAAAATCACAAAGAGGTACAGTAATATCTTGTTTTCTTTTAGCTTCTAGTTTCTTCACTCTAGCCTCTAGCTACGATTTAGCAAACTCTTTAGAGGTAGACATGGTGGGCCATTAAAGGTAATAATAATAATAATAATCTTTATTTACCAGAAAAAATACAGATATAGTTTGTACATAAAAGAACAACAAATTAGATTGTAATTAACAGTAGTGCATTGTGCTTAGTCCTTAGTTGCTACGAGTATAATCTGTACCAAATTAATAAACGCTATCTCTTAAACTAGGTATTCCTGTATTTTAAGAGCTAGTGTCAGGCTATCAGTTTACACTAAAAGAATTATACAACAGGTTGGAAGCAGTGTTGTTCTTTCATTAAGGCAAACAATTTTTAATCTATTTTATATAATATAAATATTTTCGATTTGTGTGGATATATTTATGGTGTGAATGTATGTGTGCGGGTGTGTGTTGTGTGTGTATATGTGTTGTGTGTTTGTATGAGTGTTTGGGGGGACATGAGAGGTATTTTAAAAGAGCGTCTGTTTGGAAGTAGTCTTGTTTTTGTAACCACTACTACTAGTCACTTTAGACTTTACTTCATATATGTTAAGATCTCTAATACCCAACTTTTTATGTATTTGCTTATATAAATGAGTGCTTTGCGTATAGTACTGGTGTTTAGCAAATGTGGTATTGTGTGGGGTGCCTGGGAGAAGGTTTGTTCGCTTCGTAGGGTCCGCAGGGGGTAGTCTCGAATGCTTCCTAAGGATCGATTTGAGCACAAAGAGCTGAGGTACTGTTAGTACTCAACATTCTGAATATAATTTTGTAGTTGGGTATTTCCTGGGCTTTTTGGTCATAACTTTAAGTATGGCTCTTTGTGCTCGTTCTACTCTCAGAAATTTTGTTTTATTTGCTCCTCCCCAAACAACGATACAGTATTCTAAAATTGATTTGCATAAGACATTATATACTAATTTTAATGTAGCGCTGTTCGCAGTCTCCCTGAGTGTCTTAAAAATGTGAATGAGACGCATTACACGAGTAGTCATTGCATCCAATTGTTTATCCCATTTTAGTGCATCGTCAATAAGGACACCTAGGTACTTAACGCTATCAGTCCTACTGAGTGTAGCGCAAGAACAAGACACGGATTGGTCTGTACATGAATGGGCAGTTAGTGAAAAAGAAGAAGGCGGGGAGGTGTTACGTCTAATGGCAAAGGGAATGAAAACAGTTTTGGTTAAATTTAGGGTTACCAAGTTAGAGTTTAACCAACTCATCATTTTAGCAAGAGTAGTTTCTGCCTCTCTTTTAACAAAATCTCAAGTAGTTCCATACACTATTATTGCCGTGTCGTCGGCATAAGCGTATAGCTTGGAGTTTGGAAAGTCCATCGTGCACAGATCATTAACATATATCTGGAAGAGGGTGGGGCCAAGGATACTACCCTGCGGAATACCGTAAGTCAACTGCTCTTCATCACTCAGATTCATATCAATTATAAATCATCAATTTTCAATTTTAAAGGTCGCGTTAGGCAAGTCAGGCTATGGAGAACATTTTTCGCCGGAGCTTGAGTACTCATGCCCATTTCATTTTTTTATTTAAATAGATATTAGTGACATTTTATTCCTTATTGTGCAGTATTTGAACTATTCGATGTAAATATAAGGTTCGGTGCTTACTCGGGTAGAAGAAATATTTATGTCATTCATTTTCGATATCAGCAACTCCAGAACTTAAATTAAATCGTCCTAGCTAGCTAGTGAGAACACACCATTTTATGCATTAGTATTTTAATCTTCATCGCACTGTTGTCGATTTTTAGTTTATTTAGTATTATGAGTATAGATGTACTGCTTTTTTCAGAGGCTGGCAACGCGCTTGTGACTCCTGACATGCAGGCGTTTATAGACGACTGTAGTCGCTTTCCATCAGGTGACTCGTCTGATCGTTTGCCCCCTCTTCCATAAAAAATAAGTGTCCCTAAGTGTGAGGAATAGCTACGCCACTGGTTATCAGATTTTTTAGGGCTCCAACTACCCGTAACGGTTGTCAGTTGCCACAGATGTTAGTATGGCCACCAGGATCAACGGCTTAACGTGCTCTCCGAATCGCTGAGGAATCTCAATATGTTGTAGGATTGCTTAACTTTGAAACCTTTGTTAACCTTACCACTTTTGTTTATTTTTAAAAGCGTTTGCAAATCTTTTTAATTTCGTGACAAGTATAAAAACAAAGATAAGTCCACAGTCGCAAAGTCCTATGTATTCTATGTCCTTCCCCACAAATCAAACTATTTCCATACTTTCATTTAAATTGGTTCAGCGGTCATTGATTTTCCATACAAGCTTCCACTCCTTTTTACACCCCCCTAAAAGATCATTTCTGGGATAAAACTATACTATGTCCTTTCCCAGGACTCAAACAATTTCTATACCAAATTAAATCGGTTCAGCGGTTTACTCGCGGACTCTTCACGCTTATCAGAGAGACAGACACACTTTTGCATTTTTGATATTTAGTATGAATACGTAATGAACAATAAGTATGTTATTTTCTTTCGTAATAACAAAAAAAATGTATATAGATAGATAGAAGTACTCAGGAGGCGAAGGATTATTAATTTTAGCCAATGGGAAAATGTAAGCTTTGTGAAAGAGAGAGGAAAAGGTTTTGGAGTCGAGCAAGGAGTCAGTAATGTTTGCTATAACCTCGAGGATGTAATTCAGGATGGTAAATATCATCCTAAAGCTTTTAAACTATTGCGTTACAACAGACATACACATAGAAAATTCAAAGTTCTGGTCTGGGCAGAGTAGCGATATAACTCCCCTGAGTTATGATTCCCCCCCCCCCCCCCCCCGACTGATGTTTAATGATCCGGTTGAGTTGCAGAAGAGAAACGAAGATTAATATCATTCAAACCAATGAATCTCGATCCGTTGTTGTCTACTAATGCCCAACGTGTTAAAGAACTTCCACATATTAGAGGTATTGTTCTTCAAAGATGCCCAAGGGACTTTGCCATTGACATTTGAGGAATTAGCGACCTTTGGTATTAGTCTCTTAATACTGCCTCATTTTAATGCCAATGTTGAGTTGAGAGACTATAGGTATAAACAGAGGAATAGAATGAAGTTAAATCTTTTGTCTGCTATGTTAAGAATACGCTGCTTTGAAGTTGGAAGGAGAATGCTGCAATGAATATGAAATTCAAATAAACGTTGTAAAACAAATGGGTACAAAACTAAAGAATTGTATAAATCTGGAACCGACGATAATGATCCATCATCATCATCACCTCAGTTAAATGTTAATAAAAGGAAACTAGTTATTATTGTACTAATGGTTTTCTTTCGTAATTAAAATGAATGTTTTGTGGAAAATTGAGTGCCTATTAGAGTAGGATTGTTTTTCGTTAGTAGTGTTCTGGTGGTGTTAGGTGTTGAATCTGGTGGAGAGTTCATTTAACCATTGGCAACACTGAATGTAATAGCGAGTGCGACATTAGCGAGCGAGCGAGCATCATCTCTGTTGTTGTGCTTAGTAGTGGAAAGTGGTGCTGATGATCAACTGCTTTCCATAAATTGATTGGAAAACTTATATAGTGCTAGTTAACGAAAATGAAGATCGAAGAAGTCAAAAGTACTGCTAAAACCCAAAGAATTTCGGCACATAGTCATATAAAAGGTTTAGGCTTAGACGAAAATGGTGTTCCAATTCAAATGGCAGCCGGTCTCGTGGGTCAAGAATCTGCTAGAGAAGTAAGTAATCTCATATTCGCTCAATGATCCTATAATTATTCTTAAAGTTACTAGATAAATTAAATGAAGTGAACTGTTAAATTCCATTGGAATTTATCGATCTAACTTTGAGGTTATGTTTGTGGTTACCATGGAGAGTTATAATAATATTTTAAAATGGTTACCTGGGCCTGCCCTGCCTGAATTTAATCAGTGAAACCTTCACAAAAGGATAATTTGAAAAATGAGTTTGTTTGCAAAAATTTTAGGCTGCTGGAATAGTTGTGGACATGATCAGAAGCAAGAAGATGGCTGGACGGGCGTTGTTATTGGCTGGCCCGCCAGGTACGGGGAAAACTGCTATTGCTTTAGCAATTGCTCAGGAGCTTGGAACAAAAGTAAGTTGTTTACCAGGTATTCATGCTCTAATATTCATAAAGTTAGTAGGTTTCATTGAGGCTTAAAAGTAGGGAAGTGCTTGACTTACCTCTTATTATTGTTTCTATCATATCGATAATTTCTATTCTATTTTTGAAAAACCATTGCACGATGTAGTATGTCTCATGAGATGATTATGCGATTTTATGCCAAAGATCCTTTTATTATTGTGCATTTTAATATTTTTGATTGTTAAAATAGTATAGCCTTAATATTCCTTAAACATACAATGATCTTAATTTTTTTTTCTGTTTAAAAAATCTCATACATAACATTGTATGGTTTCATTTTTTAGTTTGTTTTTATTTTTAGGTGCCATTTTGCCCTATGGTTGGCAGTGAAGTATACAGCACAGAAATAAAGAAAACTGAAGTATTGATGGAGAATTTCAGACGTGCCATAGGTCTTCGTATAAGAGAAACCAAGGAAGTGTATGAAGGGGAGGTCACTGAACTTACACCTGTGGAAACTGAGAATCCAGCTGGAGGTACTGATCTATTGTTATTTTTTTTAATGTGAATTGTAAATTGATTTCTTAGAGCTTTGTACCTGCAGTATGTAAGTGATAGCTGTTTCTGTGATAGTAGTGAGAAGAGAATCACAATTTTTTGATGGCCTAGGTACTATAGGTATCATACGTATAAATTCAATTACATATATAATTGAAATAAATTCTAAACTCATAACACAATTATTATTTTTAGGATATGGCAAGACAGTTTCTCATGTAATTATTGGTTTAAAGACTGCCAAGGGCACAAAACAGCTGAAGCTAGATCCCACAATTTATGAGTCACTGCAGAAAGAGAAGGTTGAAGTGGGTGATGTTATTTACATTGAAGCAAACTCCGGAGCTGTAAAGCGCCAGGGTCGGAGTGATACCTTTGCTACAGAATTCGATCTTGAGGTAAGAGCTAAACACTATTGTCACAATTCATATTGGTTTCACTCAGTTCTTAATGCATTGTGGTTACAATAAAATATCTATTACAAAATTTGGGTTATGGTTTTCATGAAAACACTCATTGTGGCAATCACAAAAAAGGACAACCTAGCAAAAATGTAATACAACCATAATGCATTCAGGTAAGTTCAATTTAACACTTTACAAGCCACAAACGAGCATCAACTATTTCTATATTGTAATCAAACAATAATAATAATAATATTTTGGACATCTGACAACTGACACAACACCATCATTAGGCCGAAGAATATGTGCCATTACCAAAAGGTGATGTGCATAAAAAGAAAGAAGTGGTACAAGATGTGACGCTGCATGATCTGGACTGCGCCAATGCAAAACCACAAGGTGGACATGATATAATGTCTATGATGGGGCAGCTAATGAAACCAAAGAAGACAGAGATTACAGGTAAGAATGTATTATTGTTTACACATAACTATACAATGTAAAATATTTTGGGGTCAAATACAGTGAAGAGGATGTAAAGAATTATGCCAGGGGATAGTGGCATATATCAGGGATTTCCTTCCAAGGGTACACCAGGGTTTCCCGGCAACTGGTACCCGAGAATTTGTGCGGTTTTTGGTCGGGGATTTCCGCGCATCAAAAAAAAGGGGATAGTGGCATAATTTTTAAAAGAATCACATTAAAAATACAATATACTTATATGCGGACTTGTTTTACAGATAAACTGAGAAAAGAAATTAACAAAGTAGTCAATAAATACATAGACCAAGGCATAGCTGAATTGGTACCCGGAGTGCTGTTTATTGATGAGGTAATTGATTTTGAAGTATAAATTCTCGTATGTGCTCCTACTTATGATAATTTCAGTAATTAACAAGGCATAGAAAATGACCTATTGTTTTTTATGTCGGTGTATTATTAAGATTATGTCACATTAATAATAGGCAATAGTGTACTGTACAATTTCTAATGTAAATAACTTGGAGTCAAGACATTTATAAACTTTTATTACTTCTATACTCAATATATACTTATATAAAAAAAAATATCTTTCTTTTCAGGTACACATGTTAGATATAGAAACATTCACATACCTCCATCGTGCATTAGAATCGGCTATAGCACCAATAGTTATATTTGCTACAAATAGAGGGCGTTGTCAAATCAGGTAAGTAATTATTCTTTTTGCTTTTAATTATATATAGCACTTAACCAAGTATGTATAAATACTAGCAATTGATGTTGTTTCAGAGGAACTGAAGATATAATTTCTCCACATGGAATTCCCTTAGATCTATTAGACCGATTGCTGATCATTCGCACCTTGCCATATAATAAAGCTGAACTTTTACAGGTAAAAATCATTAAACACCATTTGTATATCTATTGATTAGGTCAAGTTATAGATTTATATTTACTTGAATTTTGTATTTCAGATATTAAAATTGCGGGCAGTAACAGAAGGTATAGGAATTGAAGAAGAAGCACTGGCAGCACTGGCCGAGGTCGGCGCCAATAGTACACTCAGGTAAAGATTTCTATACATTTATTTCATTAACTTTTAAAATTATGTTTGGACCTGTCTTCACACTACTTTATTGTCAAATGCGACTAGTAAATTTGTACAGATACGACTAATTTTATAGAGAATATTCAGAATATTAATTACTAGTAAATACAGAGTCTTAATTATTATTATTATTAGTATAAATACAAAGTTTGTGTGTAGCCAACTAGCAGAATGAACGGTGTGGGTGTAATGTATGTCAGGTACGCGGCGCAGCTGTTGACGCCGGCTTCCCTGTCGGCTCGCGCGGACGGCACGTCGCGCATCTCGCCGCAACACATCTCGGCCGTGCACACGCTCTTCCTGGACGCAAAGTCCTCCGCTCGCATCCTCACGCAGCACTCCGACAAGTACATGAAGTAAAGCTGTCGACTTCTATGGCGCAGATGTACCGAACGATACATTGTACGTTTATTGAACATTCATCATGGTAACCATATCATGGAATAGAATGATTTAAAACGATGTAACTATATGAGTATGATTTAATCAGAAAGTCAATATTACTTAATATTGTCATTATTCACCTCGGACTACTCCACAGTCTACTCTACTGTCTATTTGTGATCACATATTCTGTACATGGAACCCAAAGAAAGACTAAATTGGTACTACTAACTTTCTGCGTTCAATTTGTATGTCAAAAGATATTTAAGAATGCTCTGATGCTGCAATAGACCGGGTGTCTAGATACTTCAGATATAATCATTAGTGTTAACCTTGTGTGTTAATTTTAAACAACTTTGTTGAATTCATACACATTCTAAGGCGTCTACACATTAATATGATTAAGAATTTCATTGTTTACGTCATGGAAAGATAGTTAGAAACTTTTTTGTTATTATATGCACTGCATGGCACTTGCATTGATTGTTGTACACACTAAGAAATTGTAAAGATCCAGAACCTTTGTTTCCATTAATTTGACACTTCATGTGATATTTTTATTATTTCATAGATGTATAAAATGTACCTGACCAGGAATGTAAACAATCCTCAAAAAAGAGGAGGTTCTATGATCCACTGTATGATTTTACATATTATCTCTGATGATGATTTTCCAAAAATTTCGTTAAATAATTAACATTTGAGATGTTTTATTTTTCTGGTCACACTTTAAGTAAGACATTTATAACCAAGTAAATAATGAATGAAAACATTATTATGATTTTTTTGTTAAACTAGAGGAAAGTTTCATTTTTGTTCTGTATGCGGTCACTCAGAAAAATGTGTTTTGTTTTCCAACAAGCTTTCCACCGAATTTAATGAAAGAAAACTGATATTGTAAAATAAATAAGTTTTTATTTTATAAAAAATGTCTCTTAATCTATGTTAGGGCTAAATTTATTTACACAACAATAATTGCGTTTTAGGCATTATCAATACTAAACAACAGAACAAAACAATTGTTTTTGGCTTACAATATAAATTAATAATAATATTAAAGAATGTTTCAGGCTTTATAATATTGAAAGTTAACACAACATCCATTGTCGCTACAAGACACGTGCGCTATTTACAAAGACAAATACATTAATGGCTCCATACATTCTCATACAGTCTTAGCTACGTTTGTTGAGAAATTGATTCTAAAGTTTTGTCAGATTTTGGATATCCTACTGGAATGTACCTTGCTTCCACTTTTGGTTGCGATGAAGTACTGGGAGGGAGGGTGGTCGTCGGTGGAGTAAACGTAGGAAGATCCACCCTTACATCAGTTTTACCGGAATGCCGATATAACGCTTCAAATTGAAGCTCTTCAGGGTATGAATGGGATCGAATCTTTCTTTCATCTCTTGCGTTACTTGGATAAACTATTACTATCTTCTCCCCTTTACTCCGCAGAGCTACCGGTGGTAATGCCGTACTAGTGGATATTGCTGGTGCTTCAACTACTTGTAACATCTCAGTAGGAGAGCCTTTCATTTTCTTCGTAGATGTGGTACTCTGTGTCGTAGTTGTTGTGGAGGGTGGTGTTGTCGTGGTTGTAGATGTGGTCACTGGTATTTCTGGATCTTCTGGAGATTCCAGTTCTCGTCTTTCTCCCGGTGGACCTACAGATCTTAGCGTTTCAATCTTCATTTCTAACGTTGGCGTCGGAACTGGTGCGGAAATAGTACTGTTAAAGTTGTCAGTTGGGATGAACCTGGCTGTTGGTTTTGGCACTTCTCGAGATCCGAATATCGGCAATCGGGGTGCATATGCTGACACTAGCGGTAATATAGTATCTCTGGCGTAACGTTCAGCCCTGGATATAAAAGAAGCTAATCTACTCGGAAGAAATTGTATTACAAATCCCGTTTCTTCTTTCTCAGCTCTTTCACCTAAAGTAACGGTATCGTAACTTGGAGTTGTAGACATGTCGTAGTTTTTGGGTTTTCGTACTGGAGATTGCGTTGTCGTTCGTGGAGGTTGCGTCGCTCTCAGTAATGGTTCAGATATTTCGTGGGTTTCCGGTGAATCTGCTCGTTGACGTGGGGTTTTACGCGGACGAGGCCTGAGCACAGGTTCAGCAATTTCTACGACACCACTGGGTGCAGTTTTCGTATTAGTCATGCCGAAGGCTCTGCCAGTACTTTCCCCGCCTGTCCACTCGTACGTGTCAACGAGAGCAAAAGGAAGTTGGGGTGAATCCTCGGGCAGTTCGTTATCGAGGGGGTCAACAGAGTGAGTTTCTTGTTTTGTGAACTGAGCTGAGCTGTTTAACATATGCGTGCTCGTTGCGTTGAGTAGTTCACCATCCTGACAACAATAATTTTAAATTGTTTTACATGACATAAATTAATTTTAAGTAAATTTGTTAATTTGAATTTAAAATAATAAAAAAACTGTACCTCTTGTAATTCACAGTCACCAGGATAAAGAGCCATTTCAATAGATTCTTCAGACAGTAACTGAATTCCCTTTTTGCAGAATGAAGACCTGTTGAATATTATTATTGTGATCAATCAGTATTACAGTTCTCAATCAAGTAGGATCGGTGCAGTGATTAAAAGATTTTTACTAACGTCTTAGCAAAGCTGTCGGTGATTAGAAGTTTTTGTATGAAGATAGCCTTGGCGCTGGTGCTAAGCCACCCTGAGTAGGCGCTGTAGGTCAGGCTGGCGCGCAGCGGCACGCCCAGCGCGGGGTGCGGCACCAACACCCGCGTGAACCGCGTGCTGCCGTTGGCCGAGTCTTCGCGTCTGAAAAATGTATATTAATTAACACGTTTTTATTAGCTTCACTTGCAAGTAACCAATATACCTACAAAAAAACTTGGAAGTCATTTTTATCCTACTTCTAATTCCAATTGTCGTATTAAAATGAACTTTCTGTCATATCGGACCTGCTCTGATCATAAAGTCAGAAGATGCACAACAGAATTCTCCAGTTACTAGTAAATCTTCACAGTTTGTATGATTCGTTATAAAGTGCCCAACAGATAGGGCTTGGTAATGTCTGATATGAGGCCAGGTGAGTGATTACCGCTAACCATAGACACTTAAATCACAGTTGCGTTGCCGTTCTTTGAGGTGTACGGACGTTCTTAAAGGTTTGAGGAGCGTATAGGTCAGAAATTGTCGCAATCGACAATTTGTTCCACATAATGGTTTCCTCGTTCCCTTGCTGGAACCATCAAGATCATGCGATTCAACTTACTTAGTCATTGGAAAGGATTCATTAAGTCCGGAATCACCGTGTAGCGTCAATGTCAAACGGCCGAAGTTTGGTTTCTCTCCTGCTCCGGTGTTGGCCCACAGGGACACGTGGTATTGATGAGCTTTAAAGTTAACAGTTACTTAATATACTGATTGCTTTTATTATAAAATTATAATGCTACAGTTAATTAATTATCTAAGAAATGAAGGCGAATTGTATAGGCAGGCCTTTGAGCCGGCTGTATTCGCAACTGTAGTTGGAAACAGTTCCATCTGGACTGTAATAGTACATACATACATAAGCTTCTGGGTAAGTGAAGACAATGGTATGCAACTTGCTTCTATCCTTTCATAGTTAATGAGGTTTAATAACATTAAACTTTTTCTAGAATGCCGTTGATTTCGGGGTGTATTTCTGACTAGCCCTTTCTGCGAACGTCATAATTTCCCACAAAAGTTCTTACATACCTACCTACTTATTTTGTCCATTTGTTTTATTAAATTCTGAACTTTAGGCGTTAGCGATACCACTAACGATATGTTAACGATCAGAATAGATCGATGGTGACGGGTGACAGACATGGCAACAAAAAAGGAGCGTTTTAACTCCTTAATGAAATTCATAATGGAACTATACCACAGAAAGGTTCTTCTTCCCTAGTGAGTAAGTAAAGTTGTCCACGACCGAGGGATCGGTCTGCGTAGTAGCCCATGTTACCGCACCTTCGCTGCCCATCACATGGAAAGCACCGTCCCTGTTAAATGAAATACAGGGACATTATTACTACTTCTTAATTTACTTTGAGAAAGAGAAATGGTCTTTACTTAATTCCATTGTATTTATTTAATTATTTTATGAGGACTAATAATAATATTCGTGTTAGCGTCAAAAGAATGATGAGCTAATAAACCTGTCCAATATTATGTAGTTAGGCAGCCCTATCAAATAAGATTACCTACCTACATATACAATACAGTGTACAATTCTATGAAAGTAATATAATTATGTACAAAAAAAAATTAACAACGGGCTGAAGTTATTTAAATTTTAAAAAGGTTCTTTAAAATAATATAGTAAGTTAATTTTCGGAAAAAATAAAACCGATTGCGTGAAAATCGTATTCACAAACTTGATTATGTTTTATACTTTTCAGTAGATTTTCTACATTCAAATTACATTTAAATATATTAATAAAATTGTACCTATATATTTTTAATAGATATTTATAAAAAAATCTTTTATTTTGGTATTCCACTTAATACATTTTGAAGATAGATATTTCAGTAACAAATTAAAGTTTAGAAAACATAAAATAAAAAAATATATAAACATAAAACATCAGTCATTTTAGTTTTAGAAATTATCGGGAATGTGACTTCGATTCCCGGGTAACTCAATACTTCTAAGATAAAAGTATTGTACAAACCTCTAAAAATGTGTCATAGTCTGCGCAAGGGAACGCAGGAAAATGACACTTAGGAGATACTGAATCCGTGAAGAATTTGTAAGCACGTCTATGGTTGCAAAGAGATCGACCTTCGATGGAAGCGGCCGCCCATGGCAACACAAAGTCAGATACTGCGCCGACGAATCTGTAATAAAAATTGATTAGAATTTAAAAAATCTATTAACTCTCTATTACTAATCTACACAAGAAGATATTACAAAAATCTGCACTGCGAATAGAAAAGTTACTGGCTGGTATGAGTTAAAAGTCAGAATTCCCAATTCAAATCAATTTTATAATAACCTTATCATTACAATCATTTGTTTTCCAGCCATTTGTTTTAGTTACCATGAAAAATTTAATTGCTCGTTATTTATACAAATGCTGTCGGAACAATATTAATGATGTGTATTGTTTCGGTACTGCAAGTAAATTTATTGAGTTAATCACTTCTCATCTGGAAGTCTGGGTGTATAATTCTAGCAATGAACCTCGTAAAACCAGAGAAGAATTTTGACTTTCGTGTAACGATGAATCCAAGCTGAAACTTAAAATATGTTTGTTGTAGCAGTAAAGTTTAAAGCAGGTAAGTAACAAATCAATAAATATTTATTTACCGTAGATACAAATTACAAATGAGCTTATCGAATAGAAATAGCAAGAACATAAAATTGCTTTAAGTTGTTAAATAAGCTCATAATGGATGAGCATCGTGTGGTATAGCCGGAAGAGTGGATCGACCGGAGTGAAAGCACTTAAGTAATTCTTTTATTGCTTTTCACAGAGTGGGTGAGGTTACCAGAGCCCAACCTTCTTTTTTTTTCGTTTGGAAACCCTCATGGGTGATACCTCACCGGGACTATCGGTGGGTCGTATCTTGGACTGGTACATTCTAAAACCACACGGTGTGTATACTGCGCTTGAAATAGGTGAACCGTTGAAGTTGCTGCGGTATGTCCTCACCGAGCGTATGGCCTCAACGATCCAGAACCCAACCTAAGTTAATCTAACCCCTTCCCCTAATTCATGGGGTGGCGGTTGTTTATTTTTCCATTTTTAGTTAAATAATCATAAATACGTAGTAAGTTGAACTACTTCATATTAGTCGCGAGAGGTAGCAACCTACGGTAAACGACCACCTTCAAATATTATTCCGTCTGATGCGAAACTGGGCATACTTCAGAGTTATGTTGAAACGCAACATTTCTGTTACCAAGGGCCTGGTTTGGTAAATGGGACAATGGGATCTTGTTCCAGTTTAACTGGCCTGCCTTTCGCTGTGATCATATATGGTTAGGCGAGTTACCCGATTCAGTTTCTATAAAAATACTAGTTATACCCTGCCATGCTGCGCTGCGGCACACTGTGGTTGCAAAAAATAGATGGTTTTTATCTATTTTTTGGAACCACAATCTTTAAAGCTTTTTGTATATCGTGTCAAAGTTTGAGCTCAATCGGTCCAGAACTTTTTGAGTTTTTGAAGTGTAAGTACAGAAACGAACTTAACATTTTTATTATCATATTATTTTTTATATATTATAGATGACGACAACTCGATTGCCACAAAATCAAAAGACTAAGGGGTTAGTTACCATAGCGCTTGTGTTAACAACCTATCGGCAACTGAAAGCTTCGGGGTCATTGAACGGAGAACGCTACCGCTAATTCTCAGTTTGGGTGGTTACGGTGCATAAACTCATGGGCACTACCCTAAAATATAATAATTATTATATATATATATAATCTTTGCGACCAAAAAATACGTTACGCGAAATGCAATTGTAAATATTAAAATTAGAACACTAAGACAATAGCTAGGTATAGTGTAGGTTGTTAATCCAACCCTCAGCTTTGCATGTCTTTTTTGCCTATAGAATATAGGTTACTATAGCAGCATTGTGGAATTCAACCTTTCAGTATCAGCTCATCTGAATAATTTTAAAGAATACAACTACAGGTCTATACATACATGTGGTATTTAAAGAACCATCCTCTAACTCCTGACCGTTAAGGAATTTCACCTTCCATCATCAGCTCACCTAAATGACGTGAAAGAATACAACTAAAAGTCTATACGTTCATACATATGGTATTTAAAGAACTATCTTCCAACTCCTAACCGTAAACAAATTGTACCTTCCATCACCAGCTCATCAACACGAGATGTTGACTATTAGACTCAAATACTACAATAGCTTTTGAAAATATATGAAATAATGCGTGCCTATAACATTTGAGAGTGGCCCTCGATTTCCCTGGGATGGGATCAGATCCTGACTTCGTGACAATGTTACCACTTCAGGACTATACCCTTTCTAACAAAAAAGAATTTTGAAAATCGGTCCATAATTAACGGCGTAAGCAGTGTACATAAATAAAAGAAAAAAAAACATACAGTGGAACATAGAACCTCCTCCTTTCTGAAGTCGGTTAATTAAATCAAACGTTGATCGGTTCAGACTTGAGTTGCAAGTATCTATGGGTTGCGGTAGTCACTTACCTTCAGGTGATCCGTCTGCTGGTTTGCCCCCTGTGCCTAAAAATGCTCTTAGCCACTTTCTTATGGACAATTTTTTTTTTAATTTATGAAGTAAAAGTATCTATAGATATAGCATAGAGGAAAAAAAGCATTATGGAGTACGACTTACAAGTTAGAACATCCATGCTGCACTCTACCACCGTTAGGGTAAAAGTCAACATGTCCAAGAGGCTGAGCAGCTCCTAGACCACCCAGTATAAGTGTTTCACCATTAGAGTGGATCACATCCACGAACTTGGCGTCAGAACGGTCTAAACGAGCACGAGGGTCCTGGAACTCAAATAAAGGTCCTGCTGGGTCTAATCCTGTAAATAACATGAAAATGTATTTAGTAATTACAGTTCTGTGGACATTGTTTGTAGCACATCTTCACCACACACAGCCTGTTTAATCGTTGCGGCATTGTCACGTCACGTCTCGATTTAAATTGAGTCTAAAGCTCGTTAAAAGGTAATAAATCCGGACAAGTGCGAGTTGGACTCGCCCACCGAGGGTTTCGTACACATTTGTACATCATATTAAAAATAGTTCAGGAATCAAATCTCGCAGTTTTTCCGGGCTTTGCCCGAAATTCAGTTTGCAAAACCTACTTACTTATGTAATTATACTTATATTCTTGAGTTTTATAAAGAAATTGTACCTCGATTATTGATAACGTGCTTTAAACAAAGACTATATTTTTTTATGATTTATTTACAAATGTATAGTTTTCAGATTTTTCCCTTGCAGTATAAGACAATGTTACTTGCCAAATTTCAGAGTTAGAAAGAGGTCAACGAGAAGTATACTATGAATTTTGATTCCCTTGAGTGTTGAAATATGCTTTTTTTGCGGCATAAACGGCTGTATCTTTTTTTTACGTTAACTTAGGAGTTTGATTATTTACGCTCCATGGCCGGTAGCGACAGTTGTTTTACCGCGGTCGCAACCTTCTGCGAGGAAGTAATCTCGCAGAAGGAGGCGGCGGAGAAGGCCCGGGAGGACGACCTCGACTCGGACCCGATCCGCCGCCGGCGAACCGGGCGGCGGAGGCGCGCTTATCACCGCCTCATGCTGCCCTGAGTGTGGCCGCTGGTGGACGGGTGGGTTTTACCTCCACCCGCATTAGTTTGGCCAGCCGCGAGGGGGCGGCGTCCGCGTGTGCCGGACGTCGCCTAAAGAGAGGAAAATTTTGAGACGGAGCCCGCAACAGGAGCGGGCCGGCGCTAGGAGGGGTCCGGATGTTTTAATAACAGCTGTTCCCGGATCCCTCCTATTACAGGCGCAGAGAGAGAGGCGAGGGGATTTCCACACGTTAAAAAAAAAAAAGGAGTTTGATTATTTCACAGCTTCAAGGGATCGTAGACTCGAATAAGTATATGCTTTTAATTTCAACCTAATACCTCCACGCGTTCGCGAGAATAAGGTCTTGACAGACAGACAGACGGACAACAAAGTATAAGGGTTCCGTTTTATTCCTTTTTAGGTACGGAACCTTAAAAAAAAGAAGAAAAATAATTGAATTAGGGGAGGGAAAAGGTACCTACGGAACTTTTTCAAAATTGCCTACTTATAACTACTTATTATACGTAAGTAGATTTGAAATACTTGTTGCAAGCTCAAATAGCGTTACAATTTTTGCTGACTCGATTTAACATTTTCACCTCGTTTAATCCGCCCAGGGATTTTAGAGTTTACCTAGTTTAGTTTTTATTTTAGTTTAGGTTCCCACTTATACTCGTACGTACTCCAAAACTGTAATCCTCAGTTACTGAACATTGTTGTGAAAAAATAATATTTGGCGAACCTAATTTGTACGATTTCGTATCTTTTAGATACGAGGTTAAATATTTTGCAATTTGAGTCAACTGTTGGGCATCTTACAAAATAAACAAACTACAAAATAATGAAAGATAGACCTGTAATCCGACTGATGTTGCGTAATTCAGAGCCAGCAAAGCCGGCGACGTGCGCACCCAAACTGAAACCGATTAGATGTACGTCTTCGAAGCGCAGGTCTATATGCTTAGCAAAACCTACAAAATCATAGGAAAATACATACATATTATTTAAAAATTAAAGTTGACCTAGTTAATTTGATCTTTTTGTGATAAATCACCTTGTAACAGCATAGCAAGCTGCTTGCCAACCAGCCTCGTGTTTGCCGCTGCCCTCAGGTAGTTGGGCATTGACGCTCCGCCCTCCCAATCCACACACACTACGTTGCATTCTTCCTACAAGCGTACAAAATTTTTTGTGTTGTATATTGTATGCATAACCCATTCCGAACATAATAGCATGTCCGTTGCGTAATCGACATAATATATAATGATACACCGGTACAGTTGTTAGCGAATAAGTAGTATTTATTATAGGTACATACTTAATGATTTGTTACTTCTACACATTTTTAAAGAGACAAAAAAATCATAATTTATGCTTGTGTTATTAAGTCGTAGAGATTGTGCATATTTTCTATTGAACAAGAAAGGAGAGGTAAATTTATTTTTTATACTTGTATCATTCTGTTTTGTTTCCAAGTTAACTCAAATCACATTTAATGTTAGATACAGAAGACAAAACGATGTCCTATTCATTTTACAGGTAGGCGTTATGTATTGTAAAATGTACATTTTTCTCATACTCACGGGCTTTCAAAATAACCATATTTGGTAAATAATGTAAAAAATCGATTTCCCCCTTGAAATATCAGTTGCGCCACGGTGTTACTTACCACAGCCATGAGGGCAGATCTCATTTCATAGACCCAGACGTTGTCACAATTGGAGCCAAAACCGTGGACAATGATTCTGGTCGGTCGGTTAGGTTCGAAGGCTCGTGTAGCCCAGCCCCAAGCTGCTGACATGTTGCTCGCCGACACTGACAATAACGGTTGATCTCCCCTAAAATGCATAATAATTTAAATAAGTATTTGTAACATTGTCTTTTTCTAATGATTCCGCTGACTAATCTTCTAATGACAATTTGGAGAGATTTTAATATTCAGAGTCAGAGTCATAGCCACAGCCATACGATAATATGGCATGCCGAATAGATTGCACAGTTATTACAATAATCATGCTGCTAATGCATCCACTTTCTGACACACCAGGTATAGGTATATACTTCTCTGACTTTACATGTGTAAGTTAGAATTACATTGCCCACTCCTTTATATCTCTAAAACAAACAATAGTATATGTACCTGCTCACTGTAGAATACAAGAGAAAGTGTGTGCCAACTTCCTGTGGTGAACTGGGGAGTGTCTCTAGGTACGCAAATGGACCACTATCTTCAAAGCATCCGAACTCTCCATAGCACACGCTACGTTGAGACCTCTTGCTTCTGTTGGCAAACATAAGAAATTATAATTATTGTTACGTATATTACTAGTGAGATCTTTAGCTTTTGGATTAGACACCTTGCTGGGCGGCATTGAAAAATACAATGTTCATCAATCAATGAGCTTAAGTGTTCAAGTAGGTAATACCTACGTCAATTTATATTTTTAATATCAAACTTAGTCTAACCATAAATACTGTTACAAATAGAACAAATATAAGTTCTGATACACTTTACAATCCCTAACTTTATTGGTTATCCTTGCCGTTCAATATTCTTTTAAATTTGTTTTTGCCAAAGTTACGTAATCTCGGTTACGTAAGTGTTTGACAAAATGTAGCTATCTAAAAGACATCTCCTTGCATACAGACCTCACGTCTGTATCTATGTAAATTGTTTGAATAATAAATACAAAATGTTTATAAAAGCAAGAGCCAACATTATGTAATTTCTCAAAATATCCTACACAATAGAACCAAATAATTTAGACGTGGAAGAGGAAACAAAGAGTGTCACAACTACAAGGGAGTCAAAAACGTATATTACCAACGTTTAACTCTCACCAGCTATTGTTTGGTCATTGAAAATTTTCTTACGTAACATTATTTTTATAGTTTGACAAATATTTTTAAACATGAATCGAAAATGTAACTGAGAGGGCTAATAGGTAACGTATAAGAATTTTTCCTCTTTTGTTTACCGGTGTAAAATGTTTAGGAAATAGGACGAGTAGCGCTTTCGGCTTTTTCCATAGACTTATTATGAACGTATTATTTCGAGTTTTACGAAAATGTTTTCACTTCTCTTCTACTTCCTTTATTTCTAGATTTTACTTTTTAAGTGTTGTGATTTTCAAATCTTTCCACTATTTCCGTCCCTTAACTTAAAATATCGATTTTGGAAAGCTTATGCTGTTGTGACTTTACGGCCTGAGTGAACTGCTCTACTTTACTCACCAAAGTGCACTTCTGTTTTAAAACTAATTTTTTGAGGCCTTAGAAAGTACAAAGTAAATTTTAGGAGTGTAAGAGCCGTTTTTTTACATACGATAGTGGCGATTTTAGAAATCATTGAAATAATTACTTTATTTTTATTAATTATTATCTTAATGATTTATCAACGAAATAAGCTAGACGGCGTTATTCGTACCATACGAAACTTATTTGCCCTCGTGGTATTGGCAATAAGTTAATTCAAAATCATATTTCGGAATTACCTGGTACGAGCCCTCTTCATTTCCCATTCTTTCATGGATTTCCTGACTGCTGCTAATAATTCAATATCTCGTTTTTCGTCCTCTGCTTCCTGGGCAGCCGTCGCTGGCTGCCCCGCTCCGCGCCATGGCTCTAACTCAGCATCTGTATAAATAGAAATCGTACTTAGATCGTATAGCGATATTTCAATGTGAACAGGTCTAAGACGATGTCTTAGACAACTTCATTTGGCTGTCCTATGTGTGTACCGATAAGGTAGGTCATCAGGTACTAGTTTTGTATCGTACAGACATAGCATTCGTGCCTTAAGGTCACAAGCGCTGTGACTATGGCACACTAAGTAGATATCTAGCGTAGTTGAAAGTTTAAAACGTAAATAGACAGCCGTAGCTTGTAATAATTTATTAATTATACCGTTATATATGTTATCAACAGGTTTTAGTCTGTTTAGAGACGATATAAAGTTTACTCACTCTTTGTGTTAAAATTAATAACTTGCTAACATTTGTTCCTTATATAAACTTTGGAAAAGGTACAACAACAAGTACAGGGTAGTGTTATTTCAGTTTTACTGAAGAGGTACCAACTTAGAATCCAAATTTTTTCTTACGAGTATCAGAGATAGAAACTCCGTTGATCAATTTAAGTTGATTATTACTGAAAACTCATTATTAATAAAAATACTCAAAAATGGAAGTAGGTAGTATAGACGGAGTAGAAAATAATATAAATTCACTTTTATATAAGTTTAAAGTCCCTACATGATTTTATCGACACATTACTTACTTAATATCGTATAATGAAAAACACACGCATGCAACAGTTGCGGTAAATTTTATTCAAATTCAACGTAGAAATATTTTAATGCCAGATTTCTACTTATCTGTGTCTACCTATTCTGGGAAAAATAGTGTTATAGTTGTTTTTAGTAGCTTAGTTATTCAATATGAGTTTTTACATGTCGCGAAAGGTGTACAGAGAGTAGGTAACCTAAATGTTGCAGTTGTGTCCGGGTGAACGACTGTCTCAACTTTTTGCTGCTTAGGTAATGTGGCCTTGATATGTCTACTGTTGTAGGGCAATGTGTAGCTAGAATGCGAAGCCTAGTATCGAAGAAAGTAGGTCGCTCCCAGCCTCCGAGAAGCATGAGAAATCCGACGATCACGGATTGTAAGGTTCGTAACATTCATGGAAAAACTTATACAGGTGGAAACGTTAAGTGTATCCAGACGATAATTTTGTTAGTTTTAAAAATATTGCAAAACTTTAAAGTTAAATATAATATGCACCAGTTTTTCTATAAAATGACATAAAAACTTTAAAGATCCTTTGCCTTATGTTCAGTGTTTGTACTTAAGCGACAGGAATGTGTGAGATATTCATTGTGGCATGGTCATAGATATTTTTATAATTAAATCCTTTAAAAAAAAGTTGAACCGAAGAGAAGAACCGTTGAACTAAAGGGGAAATATAATAAATAAAACAATATTTTAAAAATCGGTTTACAAATGAAAGAGTTTTGAGGTAACAAACATGAAAATAATTGCGTAACAATATTTTTTTATCTAAACGTTTTGTAATTTCATATATTACTCTTTTGTGCACGTATCTCTGTAACCCAACACAAACTCCTAAAGATCAAGGACCCTTCCATCATCAGCTCAGCAACATGACATAACGACTACTAAACGCAAATACCTATAAATTTAGAGAAATAAGCTAAAACACGTTGTCGGGGCTGTAATATTTGAGCGTTTCCTTCGATTTTTCTAGGATCCCATCATCAGATCCTGATTTGGTGGATCGGTCCACAATTGACGGAGATATCGCGTAACAAACATACAAAAAAATACAGACGAATTGATAACATTCCTTTTTGTGTTTTTGAAGTCGGTTAAAAAGAGTACTTTATTTTTGTAATATTTCATATAATAATATTTTAAGAGTTAAGATTTAGGGTTTGTGGTGGTAATTTCATTACTTACATTTCGCTATGACTAGTGTAACTACACTGAGCAGTAGGACGATCGAGCGGCAGGCGTGCGCCGCCATCCATGCGGCCCGGCATTCACGACCACCTGTGGACAAGTCACAATTACATTTCGATTCGTAGATACGAGTACATTATAATTGACCTTGACGGTCCAATTTTAGGAGATAACGCAAGTAAATGTTAATATTAAAAGCTTCTCAATGCCTATTTATATAAAAAAAACTTGTACAGATAAGTCTTAGTAGTTTCCACTTATGCTATGAATTATGATGGTTCTTACAATATAAGCAAATATAAATAACTGGAACCAACTTTTTGTGCCACCCACTAAACGTGTAACACTACGATTTGAGTGTAAGTTTTTAACAAAACAGGCGAGGCTAGTAAGTGACGCGGGTGACGCCTTACATGACTGAGGTATTGGGACACGCTTCATTTAAAATATTTAATAGTAGCTTTTGCCCACGGCTCCGCCCGCGTATACGTCGGTTATCGTGGTAAAAAGTAGCCTATGTCCTTTATCAAGAATCAAACTATCTCCATACCATATTTTATCTGATGCCGTTCAGCGTTTATTGATTGCCCATAAAAACTTCCTTTGCACCCTTAAAGCCTAATTTCTCGGATAAAAACTATCCTATATCCTTTCCCTGGAGTCAAACTATCTCCTTACCAAATATCATCTAAATTGGTTCAGCGGTTAAAGCGTGAAGAGGTAACAGACAGATAGACAGCCAAAGACACTTTCGCATTTATAATATTGATATATATGGATATGGATTATCAATTGAGATGCAACTGAGAACGTCATTTATTTTAATTATTACATAAACCAATGTACTACAGTTTTCAAACTTTCAGCCGTCCGTCTAAGGCCACGCACGGTGCATTTTTTATCACTACTAATGTGAACCAAAACCAATACCGAATCTGCATCTGAATGTAAAATTTTGCATTTTCAATATCGGTAGGTGCAATTTTATACATCAACAACTTGTTTTTAGTTGTGGCCCTTAAACATTTTCTCCGTTTCCTAATACGCAATCGATTTAGAACGAATCAATAACCAAAACCGGACAGTTAGACAGTTAGTTTTACTTGCGCGTGTTGGATTCCGTAAGCAAGCAAACTTGTATAAATATAATGCGAGTCTCAGGAGCTGATCCTCGAAGATTAATGAGTGTTTTTCCAAAAACCAAATTTAACTTCGCAGTTTCAAAAATAGACACTCTCCATAAGTAGATATAGGTCATTTTCATTTTTCCAACCCTAAAATATAAGTTTGGGATATAACTCAACATACACAATAACAGCAAACAGTGCAAGTGTATCCCAATATCAATAATATAATATTATTATTTGACTTGACTTTAACAAAAAGGTTGTTGTTGTGGTACCAACATGCAACAGAATGGCAATTAATATATTCTGAGTAATTGCAATACCTATGCATAATGTCCTATTTAGTACATACTCGTACAACAATCTATTATATATACTCATATATAAGTAAGCTATATATAAGTAAGCTTTGTACGTAATAAATTACCAGCAAGACAATGTCAAATATCTTTCGACTGCTAATTGTATAATTAACGGGAGTCTTCCTAGTTCGTGATTAAGTAGCTAAATTCTGACACTTTGTTCTACCGACATTATAACCTATTATGAAACAATGTTTTGTTTAAGTTTCTATGAACGTAAATAGCATATCCCACCGTGCGTTGCATCACAATCATTGTCGTAAAATTACACACATTATAGCATACTTTGTTTTATACAAGAGTTACAAGAAACTTAACTCTAAATTATATACTTTAACTTAAAACAGTATTTTATTGTCTTTTCTCTAATCCTCTCTGAATTATATTTTAATATTACCATGAAGTGTTAATTTTAGATCTTTTTGCGTGCAACTTCTTCGATATTCACAAATCCTCATCTATAACTCTTACTTATAAATATTTAAAATATCTTGAAATTATCAACACTTAATGCTGGATTGGGTTACTTTTTAAGTTATAAGTTCAGGAGTTATAAACACAGAACTGAGGGTGTCTAAGAGTCAATTTATAAAGCATTAAGAAGTGTTTTTGAATTAGTTTCATTAATATTAGTTTCTACTTACTTACTTAGTTCTATGTATAAATTAAATATGTATAAATCCTATCCTAGTAATTAAACCATGTAGCGGTTCTGTGACTTCTGCTATATCATCTGCAAGTGTAATGAATTTAATTGTGCCTTCGTTTTCTGTACCGTTTTAAGACTTCAGATATTTTACTTTATCTTCCTTTTCATAGTAGTGATGAAAGTGAGCCCTATTCTTTTTCTGGCTTTAACTTTATTTTCGTTTAGCAAGGAAAACTGAGAAAAATGTCAGAAGTCAGACCTCGGTTTCAACACAAGTGTACCGGTAATTACCATCTTGCTTGTTTATCAACTTAGTCAAAGAACAGAAATTAATCGCCGTGATTGACCGTTTAATTCTTCAGGAATCAAGCATCAACTAATATGTTAATAATAGCAGTCTTGCAACTTTAATCAAACTTCCACCTAAAGTATTGCTGTATTTTAAATACATAATCTCTAACTGAATTACTTTTCGTGATACTTTCGTGCGTTGACAAGGCTGTTATTACCATAAATCAGCGTTGATGACAATACAATAAGAGTACTGTGTTAACGAGTGTTGTTTGGTTTAAGAAGGTTATATTCGGTTTTGACAAACATACTGTTCATTCAAAAATCAATAGTTTGTATGAGTATGTTGGTCAAATTTATTGACCTGAAACCGTGGTTCAACAATCACGTCCTAATGTCCTAATTTCACAGTCCGTTGCACACTCAAACCCACGGCAAACTGGAATAACAGTGAGTAACTGCACTAGTGTAATTTGAGTAAATGGATCATTTTGCTTAGCCGGCCGTTATCCTCGTACCACATAACTTTTTTTGTCAAGCTTAATTATTTCAAGAGGACCTAAGTACATTTTTAAATTCCTTTGGCATTATACGTTTGAGAATCATTTCAATAATTCCAGAAAGGGCAATGACTATGACAGGCAGCATTGCAAGCAGAAAGAGTAACTACAATGTAATCATAATAAAGTACATATTAAGCGAGATTAATTCTCTTATATTAAAAGTATTTTTCTATCTACTGTAAACCTAATTACTGAGTTATTTATGACATTTCTTTGGTCTTATGTTGGGTCATATGTTTAAGTTTAATTTAAAATTGATTTGTAACTGGATCCATTGCTTGAAATATCTATATTTATACTAATATTATAAAGAGGTAAAGTTTGTGAGGTTGTTGGGGGTAATCCCTGGATCTACTAAACAGTTTTTCATAATTATATTAGCAATAGAAAGCCACGTTATTTGTTAGTATATTAGGCTATATATTGACCCGAAAAAATGAAAATACTTTTTCGTGGTAGTCCGATTTGCAAAGTAAGTCGGAGAAAAAACGGTCGAACGAAAATGTTTCTTACGAACGCTCCCTTAACGATGAGAGATATATGATTGAGTTCTAGAGGAAAGTTGTAGAGCTTGATAATGCCTACAAAAAGCCAGTGACAGCATATGTCAACTTTATATGTAAGTCACAAAAATTAAGTTAGGTCATGTTTATTGGTCATATTATCAACAACTAGCTGACCCTGCAAGCGTTGTTTTGCTATTTACATTATTTTAATATATATATATTTTTTGAATTTCTTAAAATCCGTTCTGAGCTGACCTCCACTCGGTGAAAGGAATATTCCTACCAAATTTAAAGTCTTTATCTCTAATGGTTCCAGAGATTATAAATTCTTGTCGTGTCGTGTCGTAATATATTGAGTGATATTTATATTAGAGGTTTTTTTTCATATACAACACGTCAATCTATTTAGAAATAAATTGCTTTATCACTAAGGAAATTTTATTGAGATAAAAATCGTTTTTTACAGTAAGTATGTTTTTTTGAAATAATTCAAATATCAAATAAAAGTTCGGCCAACGCGACGGCGCGCGATGACAACGCGTCGGTCGCTGTAGGGATTTGAAAATTTTGAGAAATTAGTTAGTTTGTTCTCTAACTAATTTCGCAAAATTTTGATGCAATTATTGACAGTTTGCTAAATAACAGAAGTAAAATTTTTTTTTTGGACGCCACAGGAAGCACTGGGAAAACGTTTCTCGCAAATTTGGTATTGGCAGAAGTAGCCGTTACCTCTTCAGGGATTGCCGCAACTCTATTAAATTATGGGAAAACTGCACACTCCAACTTGAAGCTACCACTGACAGTATCATTGGAATAAGCCTGGGAAACTTTTACAAGAGACTTCTTTAATTATACGGGACGAATGTACCAAGAGGTAATGGCACAAGGCTGCTTATAAAAGAGTTGCGGGAGCATATAATCGTGGCATTCTCACAGGACTAGCAGTGGGACAACTGGCTTATATTCCGCGGATACTCATGATTCCGACGGATTTACCCATACCATTTAAAAGACTACAGTATCCCGTCAATATCTCTTTTGTCCTCACAATTAATAAGTCCCAGTGTCAAACATTCTCTCTGGTGGGCATTGACCTGAGAAAGCAGTGTTTTATCCAAGGGCAACTCCTGAAAGACAATATATATTGATACCAAATAATAACATTAGATCTAATATAGTATACAGAATAGTTTTGAACCATTAAAATAAACATAATTTATTCAATCATAATCATTTCATTCACTCATTTGAATACCGGTGATATAGCCAAATTGGCATGCAAATACATATGTACATACATATGCAGTAAAAATATAACTCTCCTTATGGCAGTCAGGAAATAAATCAATTTAGTGTAGGTACTGAGTTCTCAGCTTTATGATAAAATTAAGAAATAAATTTCACTGTACGCACTAAACAGGTTCAAGCGATAACGTATTGAATGATTAGTTACAAGCAGTAAACTACCACTTTTGAAATTGCACTTTCCTATGTAAGAACAACGATTGGATTACAATGAAGGGAATGTAAGTAGGAATACAAAAGTCTATAAGCAGTCCTAGGCCATAACTCCATACTTATAGCTGCTGATA